AGTCATATCAGAACAGAAACACCTACGCATTCGAACCAGTCGCCTACTATTAAAGGCATGGTGCTTGCTCTGGACGGCGAAAGTGACAAACTGCCGATAGTAAAGCTCCTGGATTCGAGGTGCAGACCTCCGCCAAATATCCAGATCAATAAGTAAAATACGATAAGCCAGAGGATTCACAATGAACGATTCGACAGGTGAGCCATGGATGTAACCCACAAATCCAAGGATCAAGCTAAGTATCCGGAAGGTGAGGCTGTCCTTGTCGGCGTTTGAAATGAAGAGACGCGATACAGGCCCATCGTTGGCGGCTGCACCGGCATAGCCAAGTTTGAAGCGCAAAAGCATGCTCAAAACACCATACCCGTTTTCTCGCTCCATCGCTTCGCTATTCCTCCAGTTTTGGCGAATACTATAAAACATAATTTCAAGGGCACGGATGGTCTCATCTACAGTTGAAGCTCTCTCCAGAAGCTTCAACGCAAGGGGAGTAAATCCGGCAAGACGCCACAAGTCTTCATCGATATATGAAGGAACGCTCACAATCGGACTTCCTCGGAAAGACGCAATGCCGTGAGTCCGGAACAAAGCATCGGAGATAGAAGCAACAGCAGAGTTGACGGCTAATGGGCCGCCTTCCTGACTTGAAATACGATGCAGGCTCCGCAAGGCCGGGCGTGGTAAGGACCTTAAAAGGCCATTGTAGAGATAATGAACATTCTCTGGGAAGGTCGCGGTGGGGGTTACGCTCAAGAGAATTTTATTCTCCGGTAAGATGCTGCTAGCTTTCTCACGGATAGCTCTCAAGATATCCGAAGAATCATTATGCCCGGGGTTCATAAACTCGTTCCTGAGGCCCAGAGCGGCAGACGCTTGATATGTTTGGAACCCACCTAAACTATCTTGGAAGTTACCTTGATAACGAGGGCCAAGACCAAAATGAACAGCCAAGTAGTCATCACTCAGTGCATCCTCGAACAAGTGCGCTGAAGCAAGCGATAATTTAGAGTATACCTTGCCCCTGCCGATCTTGGCAGAGAGTGCCCTGGGGGTGCCGAGGAACGCCTGGACCGGATTGGTTTGGTTTTGCGAAGAATTGAAGGATGCAAAGCTTTCATTCTTAGCGTTTGAAAGGGGAGGGACCGAGGGATAGTTGCAGCGGGCCTGCTCAACGAATTCGCCGTTGACATAAAGTGATGCTTTGCTGGAGACCATGGTCTTGGGGCGGCGGTGGACAATGGCGATATGATACCACAGCTTTGTCTGGAACGAAACCGTCTTGAATCTAACACTTGGTTTACTAGAGACCACTGAAGTCTGTAGGATAAAATTGTGGGTATCCTTCTCGAGATACATCAACAGAAAACAAGTCTGAGTAGCATCATAGACACCAAAAATAGTAGTATGGGAAGAGGGATCATAATTGTCTACTCGGATCCAGGCTGTAAACGTGTAGCCAGCGGTAGATTGTGGTGGAAACGACCGGCCCATCGTAGCCAACTCCAAGGATGAGTATCCGTGGAGTGAGAGGTCAAATTGGAAGAAAGGCGGTCCCGAGTATTTGGAAGTCATCTCCAGACAAAAGTCGGAAACATCAGCCCCAGGCGTTGAGAGCAGAAACTGGGTGTCTGCTGGCTCGTTGACACCAAGATACATGAGCTGTTTGCAAATATCCAAGACCCGTTGGCGCTCAAGCTGGCCAAGATTTGAGTCGGTTTGAAAGACGGCTCGTAAGAACTGTGAGAGCACACGGGTGGAGTGGATGGCAGCGCAGTTGCGGACAGAGTCCAACATAAGACAGTAAATGATTTCAAGGACAATCAGAGACGCGGCCGTCGGTGGTGTTTCCACCGTCCTTGGGATTGCAGACCAGAAGCTCACAACAACTCTGAGGATCTCCGGATGCCGGACAAAAGTCTTGGCATCAATGATTTCCCGTACGTTTGGTCCGATATTTTCAATAGACTTGGCCAGAACAAGGTCCCATTGTTCATCTCCGCCAATATCAGCCTCTGTGTATTTCGAGTTGTCCTGTATTTCGCCCGTTGAATCGTCCAGCGAGTCGTCTTGGGATGAGTGGAGAGTCTTAGCAATGGAGGTGCAGAGCAAATCCGGGCCTTCGTCATCGAGAGCAAATGCAAGGAGCTTCCCGAAAACATGGCAGCTAATCCATGGGTCAGGCTCGGCTCCGCCAAGGCCAATACTTGCGATAGTCTGCTCCAGAGACTCCCAACCACCACCCTCAACCTTGAATCGGAAGAACCGTCTGTTACCAGCATGATCCCGCAGAGCCGCAGACAACACGGTCAAGCACTCCCCCAGAAGTGTGAACAATAATAGCATATCCACATCGCTTCGTTTCTTCGGATCGTAAAAGCCTGAGAAGGCACGTAAAACGTCTAGTATTCGCTCGAAGCCTCGAGCGTGTCGAAAGTCGTCCTGGTGGCTAGAGTTGCTGGCCACACCAACATGCTGGGCGATTTGCCGAAGCCCCTTAACCAGCTTGGAGGCATCGGGGTATCCATCTTCGCATCGCGGTCCTGCCGCCGGGTCGACGCCATCGAGCAGAGCAGTGAGGACTTCGAGAGATTTCGATTTGGTGGGTGTCGAATTGGAGGCCGATGTGGACGACCGATAACGTCGCGGGAGAGCAGACATGTTCTGCTTATTGCCGTGGCAGCATTCCAGAACACTGGATTCTCCCCAGACACCCTTCAAGGGCCTAGGTTTATGCCTAACTGAATCAGCATCGAAAGGCTAGATCGCCAGTAGTTGGACGCGGGGCGCATGAAAGCTTGCGCTGGGTCCTGTGGCGCAATAATCACTGATATGGGCGTCCAGGAAGATAGCGGGAGGCAATGCGCCAATATTCGCGAGGGCCGTCTGGGCTCCGGTACTCTGCTTTTACGAATTAAACGGCGTGGCTGTTACGGGAGCACCTCTCGGAGTAAGATGAGAGCGATCTGATAGTAAACATGGTTTCTTGAACTCCTGGTAGGCTGTGCTGCCGCTTACGGGGCCTCCAGGCTGCGACTGCAGGCTCCAGTGAAAGGTGGCTTGACGTGTGGCTCAACCAATTACCCACCCTCAATTACCTTAGTGAATTGTGCATTGGAGAATCCATGCCCAGAACCTTAACGATCTTTGTGGTGCAGCAACAAAGATGTCATCAAGACTTCTTCGAGATGAAGAGCTAAATGGGAGTTTTGTCATGTTCATTCGTGTCGCACAGATACCGCACGAATTGATGTCTTGAGGCGGTTTGGTTGTCGTCTTACAAGCGAGATTCGTAAGCCAAACGTACGAGAGAACACGAGTCCAGATTCAAAAAGGTTAAGATCTGGAGAAGGACCAAACGAGCTATAGATCTTCATAACGGTATTGCGTTCACTCGTGACAAAAGACACCATCGAGCATCTCCCACACAGTCCGGAAGTGTAGGGTATCTACATTGTCAAGTAGCAAGAGGCAAGGCACCTGGATTCCAACTTGAGTAGCCCGAAGCGCGTTGTAGCGTTAAAGTGGACCAACTGAGGCCCATGTCGCAGCCATTTCCAACCGGCTTGGGGAAGACTGCTAATCATATGCTATCTACGAGCTGAATCCCCAGGGAGCCCCCAGGCACCTGGGCCAGACAGAGCGGAGGCATGGGGTTACGTGTTGAACCTGGCTCACTGCTACTCAGCCTGGCGGCATGGATAACTCCTGAATGAATAATGCCTGCCTGGCGCTTACAGCCTCGTTGGTTCGGTTGGAAGTTGAGACTTGGTCAACGCTAGACTGAGACAGGCCCTTCCAGGTACATCGAGGCTGGACACTGTACCGAACGCACCGCCACTGGATGTCTATCCTCACAACGCCAGACGAGCATGTTCTCGGCTGGCCTGACTCTGGCGGAGCTCTAGATTGGCACCAGACCTGCCTCTACCCCAACAATGTCAGCCAGTAGCCCTCGGGGTTACATCTCCGGCCAGGCCGCCCGAGACAAGTAGCTCGCTCGCCGAGTCTCAACGTGAGGCACGTGCCGTATGTAGGTAGCTGACCCATGCACCTTAGCAGATCAGGCGGCCAGCTCGAATGGACACACCTTGATGAGGGTCGAGGGAGCTTCCCCCGCATTCGTGCCAGTGGTCGCGGCTTAGTGGGAGCAAAGTACAGGTACATGAGAGGCGTGACGAGTGGAACCAGTGAGGCGACCGCTAAGTCCTGACACAGGGTGCCTGGTTGCCCTGCAGGAGCTTGTTGAGATCAAGGTTCAGAGCCAACCACAATGATGATGCGATCTGGTAGGGAGCTGGCGCGACTGGTGGCGTATGGTATCTCGCTAGTCGGTGATACCTTGAGCCCCTGAATCGCGGCAGAAGTTTGTTCGCTACTTGGGACGAGTTAAAAAAAAACTTCTGCTGTGCACATTTTGCCTCCCACTGGTGCTTGCTGTCGCCATCTGCTCCCTCATCTGCTCCAGAGCTATCACTGCGGCCTAGCTGTGGGTGCATGTAAACCGCCCGAGGCTCCAGGGAGGACGCAGGAACGCACTGCCAAGCGGCGGGTGACCATAGGCAGAAGTACTGGTACATCAGGAGGCTGGCGCGGGCAGGGTTGCGTTGCCGTTATCGCATTGCTGTGGGAACCACTGCGTCACCACATTGGCCGTATTCTGAGTTGGATTAGCCCTTCTGAGACTTTGGCGGCCCACACCCTGTTATCAGCCCGGCTGACTGGATGCGTCACAGCGCTCGCCGCCTATCGCTATCAGTCCTCCTACAAAGGTACTCGCCTGCGCCCACCGAGCTCCCGTCCTGTTCCTTCCCATCCCTCATCCAACTCTCTCCTTCCATCATCGCCAACCACCCCATCGCCATCGTTACTGTTCATTTGCTCCGTTCTCTCATCGACGGGCATCTGAATCTCTCATTGCTGCCTTTCAGCACTTGAATTGCGCCTCGGGTAGAACCGGCTGATTCCAATCTCCCTTGATCACCACATTCATTATCATCATAATGCGAAGTGTTGCAGCTCTTTCCCTGGCCGCTGTTGCCACTGCTACCTCGTTCAACACCGAGACCATCCATGGCAACTCGGCGCCTGTTCTGAGCAGCATCGATGCCGACCAGATTCCTGATTCCTACATCATCAAGTTCAAGGACCACGTAGATGACGCATCAGCCACCAACCACCACTCCTGGGTCCAGACCCTCCACCAGGGCTCTGACGACAACAACTATGAGCTCCGCAAGCGCAGCTTCGATGACAAGGAATACGCTGGTATGAAGCACACCTTCTCCATCGGCAGTGCTTTCAAGGGCTACGCCGGTCACTTCCATCCCGACACCATTGAGGAGCTCCGCAACCACCCTGATGTAAGTATTTAGCTCCGCATGATTCATGGTAGAGTTCTTATCTAACTAGTCTTGTTCTCAAGGTCGAGTACATTGAGCGGGATACCCTCGTTCACACCATGCTTCCCGTCGATAGCAAGAACGCCGTGACCGAGGACAAGTGCGATGGTGAGACCGAGAAGCAGGCTCCTTGGGGTCTTGCGCGTATTTCGCACCGTGACACCCTTGGTTTCGGTACCTTCAACAAGTACCTATACACCGCCGAGGCTGGTGAGGGTGTCGATGCTTACGTTATTGACACTGGTACCAACGTTGACCATGTCGACTTCGAGGGCCGTGCCAAGTGGGGGAAGACAATCCCCGCTGGCGATGCTGACGAGGATGGCAACGGCCACGGTACTCACTGCTCTGGCACAATCGCCGGTAAGAAGTACGGTGTTGCCAAGAAGGCCAACGTCTACGCTGTCAAGGTGCTCCGATCCAACGGTTCCGGCACCATGTCCGATGTCGTCAAGGGTGTTGAGTACGCCGCCGAGGCCCACGCCGAGCAGGTGAAGCTGGCCAAGGACGGCAAGCGCAAGGGCTTCAAGGGTTCCGTTGCCAACATGTCTCTTGGTGGTGGCAAGACTTCTGCCCTCGACGCCGCCGTCAACGCCGCTGTCAAGGCCGGTGTTCACTTCGCCGTCGCCGCTGGCAATGACAATGCCGACGCTTGCAAGTACTCTCCTGCTGCTGCCGAGCTCCCTCTGACTGTCGGCGCTTCCGACCTGAGTGACGACCGTGCCTACTTCTCCAACTACGGCAAGTGCACTGATATCTTTGGCCCTGGTGTCAGCATCCAGTCGACCTGGATCGGTTCCAGCCATGCCATCAACACCATCTCTGGTACCTCGATGGCCTCCCCTCATCTGGCTGGTCTCCTGGCCTACTACCTCTCCCTTCAGCCCGCCGGTGACTCCGAGTTCGCCGTGGCTCCCATCACCCCCAACGAGCTGAAGAAGAGCCTCATCTCCGTTGCCACCAAGGGTGCCCTGAGCGGACTGCCCGACTCTGATACCCCCAACCTGCTCGCCTGGAACGGTGGCGGTTGCAGCAACTACTCCAAGATCATCGAGGCTGGCAGCTACACCGTCAGCTCCCGCCCCACCAACGTAGAGAAGCTCGAGGATGTTGTCGAGAAGAAGCTCCACTCTGTCACCAAGGAGGTTGCCAAGAACGCACACAACTTTGCCAACAAGGCCGAGGAGTTCGCCGACCGAGTTCACGATGTTGTTGATGAGGAGATCAGCAAGTTCCTCTCTGAGATCTCTATGTAAATGCCAGCTCGCATAATACTGGCACCCGATACCGCTGGATCATGCAAGGATGGATAGTTTTTGGGTAACAATTTGGTAGATTGGCGCAGAGTTTTGTTTTGATTCTTTATGCAATTTGACGGAGCTGGGGACCTTATCCCAGCATCCACATTCCCTCTTTTTTTTTGCCCTCTCATCAGGAATTATTTGTATGAAACATGGATTGTGCATCATCAGCCTAGAATACATTCATTGATTGTTATCCAACAAGGTATTGCTTGAATACCGAGTGCTGTGTTTTGTGATAATGTGGCGCTTTTTTGACTTAGAGTTTGGCCTCCCTGCTCGTGTCGTCGTGGTAACTGGCCGCCCAAGTGCAGACGTGTCTGAGTTATGCTTTGCTCTAATGCCCTGGCATGGCAGCCACATGAATAGGTACGCAGGCAGAATTCAACTGTCCCGTGTATGTTTTCGGACGCGAGGATGGTGTGCTTGAGGAAGTGACTTTCCGGTCGGCCTATTTGATGGTCACTCTGTCCACGGCGCGCTGCCCAAGCAGGCGCCCAGTTTCAAGCGGCAAGAACGATGGCTGGAGTGCGCCTTCTGCCATTTCTGGCTGCTTTTACTTTCCTTGAGGGTCAGGCCAAGAAGGTCTGTTCAGCAAGGGCATAAACGAAGTTTTCTGTCCTGCTGCTCTCCACGTCCATTCTTGCTTGTTGACATCATTGTTCAAGCCTCATGAGATTATATCAGTGATAGCTTTTCCACAGCTCTTATTCATCTGCTACAGCCTTCAAGTTTGCTCAGCATCTATCTAGAGCAGCACAATTAGCACGGGCAACTAGAAGCCGCACCGTCCGTCGCTTCTTTCGACAACAGACCCTTTTTTGTTTATCCAGACTGGCGATGCTGCGTCGAAATAGCTCCAGGAAGAATCTAGATCGTCCGCTCGGTCGAAGCAAATCAACCAGCGCCATCTTTCAACACTCAGTTCGGGATCTGTCCAAATTAGACCCGGTGATTGCTGAACGAGACGCACACATCGCCGCGAGACTCTCTTACTACAGGGCCCAGGGCCGATTCAGCGAAGGCATGGCAAGCAACTCTCAGGCATTTCCTCTACCCCGTAGTGGCAGCTCAGTGAGCCGGCATAGCCTCAGCAGGAGCGAGAGTCAGCGGAGCAGGCTTTCAGAGACGCACGGGATCAAACGACAGCAGAGTATTAGATTTGCAGGCCGCAATGGCCACCGGAACAGAGACATTGTTCCCAGAGCGAGCGAACAGCATCTGTCTGCAGCATATTACCAATCTAGCAGCGCAATGAACCATGAGAAGACACATGGATATCACTCCCACCCTAAAGGTAGCAGCTCCGCTTCTCACAGTGCCATGGAGGACCCCGTGCTCGCTCTCGCCATGGAACCTACAATTCAGAGATATACACCAGAAGACGATATCGCCTCTATCCCTTCCTCATATAAAAAGCTGCGCAAGTCAAAATCCATGTTTACCACTTCGCACCAACCGGACACTGGCCACCGAAGCTTGATCTCCCAAAAATATAGAAAATGGACGGGGACCAAGACTTCCAAATACAATGCGCTTAACAAAGAGAACAGTATAACCCCGAGAGAGGAATCAATAAATTTGCGTGCTCCAAAATCGATGAGTTTCCTCCGAAGCCGCCAAGAGCTTCCTGTCATTCAGCCAACCAGCCGTGCGCAAAATGATTTGGCTGTGCAGCTTGCTCGAGATACCTTCCGGCAACAGGTCGAGCAGCAGTCCCGGTCAAAACCTCACCCATCGGAATTCTTTCGGTCCAAGACTCGTCGGATGGATGGCTCATTTGGAATACGCCGCTCGTTACGAAACAGCAGTAACAGCAGTGGTCCTTTGCCGTTCTCACCGTCAGGAGAGACTCTGGTTGTCCCCAAGCAGGGCGCTTTGCGGAACACGGCTCGTAAAGTTTCAAAGTCACTCAAAAGCAAGATCAAGGGCTTTTTCAATCGAAAGTCCTCCCAAGGCGATGCAACTAGTCAGGAGGAGGGGGAGGAATTTGCTTCCTCGCAGCATTCCGACGATGACGTTTCGCATCATATTGAAGGCGCACATCTTAATGAGAAGGCATCTATGTCTCAGGGTGCTTCTAGAATTGCTTCACTGCACGCGATACCCTCAAGCCAGCATATAAGATCCTGCCGTGTCAGTATAGAGAGCTGTGGTTGGGAGGAAACAGCCAGCGTGGAGGAAAAGTCTCGTGTGACAAGCTGGACTGATTCTCTCACCAACACTCTTGGGAGCCAGTCGGGGTTTGGAGACCGAGAATGGAAGCGCCTTTCAGTGATCAAAGAAAATGGGCTACATGCATCCTCTATGCAACCAAATGCTTTCTCTCAACCTCAGTCATCGGACGGAGAGGTCGATTGTCATCACACCTACTTAGGACTAACCACCGGGGAGAATGTGGCCAAGGAGGACGAGAACGGGACACAGAAGCATGAAAGTGGCCGTATGCGAAGCTTTAGGAAAGCTCAATCGCGAAGCGGTTCTGTTGACCAGTTAGGAGCATGTGGATGGTCCCCACCAACAATCCGTTGTGTGAGCACCGGGGATGATGATGTCTTCCAGGACAAGAGTCGTGCAACAAAGGACTCTCACATACCTGGAGTTTCGGAAACCACCTCTGAGCCCTCGGGGCCATCCGGAACAGAGCTAGAAGCCCAGAAGTTGGATGCTGAAAATAAATATGCCCAGCCCGACCATTCTGAGAAAGCATTCAGCACAACCTCGAGAGATGGTGGGAGCTGTCGCAGGAAAATGGTGGATAGAAGCTCGGCATTCTTTGCCAGTCCTTCGAGCCATTTGTTCAGAACCACCAGTCCATTTAGACGAGCTTTACGCGAAAACATGTGTGCTGCTAAGCGCAGCGCCGAATGTCGCTCTACAACTTCTACGGACTATCTCGATTCACTATCGAAGTTCACGCTCCCACCCCGTCAGCCAAGCAGCCGCGGTTCCCCGACCCTGGAGCATAGAGAAGATACGGAGAGTATTTACTCTCCTGATGGGGCAGATGGATCGGAGAATCACTGGAAGAGAGATGAATCTCTTTCAGCGTTCCCCAATCCACCTTCTTCTCGCAATGTCTGCGGGCAAAATGGATTTTCCAACTTTGCCAGCCTGACTGAAGATCCTTGGACTTGCAAAGGTCAGCGAGAGGTCTCGGGCGTAAGCTCAATTGAATGGAAGGCGTCTCTCAGCACAGATATTGCAAGACTCGAGACGATTCCAGCAGCACTGGCAACTACCCTTCAAGCGACACCGGCAGTACCGGTATTGGGAAACCATGTGAGAGAGATGGCTCAAATAGAATGCTCACCGGATTTTGTATGCTCGTCACCAATAGAGCCATCGAAGGGAGCGACGGACGAAGCTAGTGATCCAGAACATTCAGCCCCATCGCATGAGCGTGGGCCTCCCATCAAGAAAACCAGTTCAGGAGCAGCGAAGGAACAGCTTTTAGAGAATGAACAACCCAACCCTCGGGCCAATTCAAACCAGCTGGTTCATGGCTCCAGCCCGTCTCAAAGAGATCAACTTTATATGAAGCGGCGACAGCGAAACCGTTTGGCGAAAGACTCTGATTTATCAGCCAAGTCAAGTCCCGGACTGACAAGGGCTGTGGAGAGGCAATTCGGGAAGATAGTGACGGGCTCGCCCAGACCTTAGGAGGATGGAAAGGCGAAATCTTTAATTTTGACCCCTTCTCCAGGTACGGCATCGGGCAGCACTCGCGGGCGCAGAGGGCGAGACCCGGCTAGTGCAGAACTTGAAGCTCAGGTTTTGGGCAGCAAACGGATGGTTGAGTTGTTCCTTAACAGCCGCAAGCGCGAGACACCTCAGGTTACGCCGCTGAGCCAGAGCGAATGCTCACATCTTGCATTCCTGTGAGCCCGGGAGCTGTATGAAGACCTAGGAAATGCATCAAATATGTAATTGGGAGGGGATGATTAACGGGCTTCTTCTTAATATAATAGTCGGTCATGACCATGCATGGTCGGGAGAAGAAATGCTTATATTACTCCTTGGTGGCGGACACAAGAATGACGAATACTTTGATTTTATTCTTAATAGAGATGTCTACGTCGATGGCCTAGGTATAGATCAAAAAGGGAAAAGGAGGACAGCCCTCATTGGCCTGGTTATATAATTTAATCATTAATGTCACAGCCTTGGAAGGCGTAATAGTTCATCTATGTAAAAGAGAGAGTGATATGCGAATCGTGATATCATGTAAAAGCCAAGCCGCCACCCAAATAAACAAATGATTCCCATTATCCTTTAGTCTGTCTATCCTTGCTTCGTCTCCGGACTGACGTGGACTTCCCACAGCTTGGCCATGGCCTTGGGAAACTCCTCCTCCCTCTCCTTGCTCACCCATTTCTCGTACTCGCGATGCGAGGCGGCCTGGGCGAGGACGGAGCCCTCCCTGACGGAACCCGTGGGGACGAAGGCGAGGAAGTCGGCGGCGGCGGCGACGTACTCTGCCAGGGCGCCCCTGACGTCGAGGCCGGCTCCCGTGGTCCAGCTGAGTAGAAGGGGCTCGAGGAGGGGCGCGTCGGTGACGCTGGGGTGGGAGGTGCCGATGGCAGTGAGGAACCAGGAAGGGGAAGGGCTGGAGGCGACGAGGTCGCGGACGGTGTCGAAGTGGGGGCGGCCGTGGAAGAGGATGCTCGAGGGGCGGGACCAGGAGTTGGAGTGGATGACGAGGAGGGGCTGGGTGGTGTTGTGGTTGAGGGGGCCGGAGCCCTTGCCCGGGTCGAGGATGATGCCCGCGGAGGCTGGGAGGGTGTCTTCGTCGCCCGAGGAGGAGGAGTTGGGGCCGGCGACGGTGGTGAGGGCTTGGAGGGCCCCGGTAGCGCCGTAGGAGTGGCCGGCGATGGTGAGGAGGTCGAGGTTGAGGCGGCCGGCCCAGGAGGGGAGGGTGGTGAGGGCGGCGCGGGAGTTGGGGATGGGGTCGCCGGCGTTGATGCTGCGGAGGAGGTGGACGGCGCCGAGGATCTCGGCGTCGCGGAAGGCGAGCTGGGTGCTTTTGAGGTCCGGAGTTTCCATGGGCTCGCTGAGGTCGGACTGGCGGAGGGGGAGGACGCGGCGGCCTGGGTCCTTGGGGTCGAGCTTGACGAGGGAGCCGGGACAGGAGCCGTCTCGGTGCTCAACTGCGGCGATGATGTGGCCGCGGCTGGCGAGCTCGCCGAGGAAGTTGGTGTAGTCGGTGCGGGAGCTGGCCATGCCGTGGGAGAAGACGGTGATGGGGAAGGTTGTGTTGTGAGGAGCGTCATCGCGATGTTTGAGAGAGGAGGTGGTGGGCACGATGATCTCGTCTGCGCTGAGCAGTGGTGCGTCTACCTCGGCGGGGATGGTGATGCCTCCGCCCACAGCCCAGAGGAAGAAAGTGAAAATTGGGCGCATGATGAAGTTGTCTACATGGGCGAGCTTGGCATATCCTGCCGCAGTCAGGCTGACGGGCTTGGGGATCCAGTAGTACCGCGGCTTGGGGGAGCGATACTCGCGGCTGGTTGGGTAGTAGATGGAGACGAGGACGGTCTCAACCTCGAAGGCGGCATCTCCGGAACTCTTGAAGGCGGCTTCCGAGATGCGCTTGGTGCCTCCGGGGAGGGGCACCTCAACATCGACGGCGCCTACCCCATACGTCCCTGTGTAGCCCGGCAGGTTGGAGGCGAGGAGCGGCTGGCGAGTGATGAAGCAGAAGAGGATGTAGAGGGTGACGAGAGAGGAGAGGACGTAGCGCCATGTTAGGCGAGGCCGGAGGAGAGGCCAGACTCTTGCGATGATTCTGGGAGGAATGGATCGGATCCAGGACCGATGGCGGGACTGGGTGAGCCATTTGGGCTGGTGGTGGTGGTGATGAGCGCCGAAGTCTGGCGATGCAGGCATAGACAGTGGAGCATCTGGTGCTGAGAGGAGATCATCGGCCTCTTCATTGTCGATGAGTGCCTCCAGCTCAAAGTCTTCAGGGGGACGCATGGCTGGTATCTATATGGTACAAATATGGGCAAACTGGGAGATTAATTATATGAATACATACTCTACAAGGGCGATGAAATAGGTGATGACGATGGCGATGAGCGAGGCTAGGCGATGACGATTCTGGGTGGAGGTTTTGAGGGTCCCGGTTTTAGCGCTATGCGTAGCAGATCAGAGAGCTCTGATTGGCTCGATGCCTCTTGAGACTGGCGCATCTGCCATGACTGTAGACAGAACGTGATATTGGAGTAGATGTTGATTCACTAAGTTAAGGACTGAAGTGTTAAATATAAATCGATGTATACTCGATATACACTATCTATAGCCATCTATATCTTCGGTAATATGCGACGAGGCCAAATCGTACAGGTTGCAACATGCCTTTCTAGTTTCTGCAAGGAAGCTTAATACTCGTAGCTCTTCTGAAGCCTTGGCCAAGTGGTCATTCGCCTAAGGATCCCATGGAGACAGCGCTCTGCGTCCGGTCAGAGGCACTCCGCCAGTCTCAGTAACGAGGATCGGATCCTCCAGCCTGACACCGAAGCCAATCTTCTTACCAACCAGCCCTGCCTGCTCCGTTGTCACGTATATGCCCTATGTCAAATTAGTACCTATCGTAAGGAAAATGAAACACCAGGGGTCTACTTACCGGCTCATTTGTTGCAACCTCGCCAGCCTTCAGCTTGTGGGAGTTGGCGCCGTTCAGATAAGGTGGCTCGTGCATCTCGAGACCAAGACCGTGGCCCAGACGGTGCGTGAAGAACGGACCGAACCCAGCCTGCTCGACAACAGCCCTCGACGCCGCATCGACGTCGGAGCACGTCTCATTGACATTCATGCGCTCAAAGGCCGCCGACTGCGCCGCGTGGACGGTGCGCCAGATGCCGATGAGGTCGTCGCTGACGGTGGCTCCCACGGGGAGGATGGTGCGCGTCACGTCGCTGCCGTAGCCGTGGAGTAACGACCCGATGTCGATGAGGACGAACTCGCCGTCCAGCAGCGTCCGGCCGCTCTCGCCGCCGTGCGGGTACGCGGCTTGGTGGCCGAACAGCACGATCGACCAGTATCCCTCGCCCACGCCGGCGCGGGTGAAGAGGCCTTGCGCGGCGTCCACCACGGCCTCCTGCGTCGCGCCCACCTGGATGCACTTCTGCAGCGAGCGTACCAGCTCTAGCGTGAAGGCGTTGATGCCCTTGAGGATGGCGATCTCGGCGTCGGTCTTGGCCGATCTCAGCGACTGGACGTCGTCAGACATGGGGACGACCTCCACCCCAGCCTTCTGCAGGCCCGCCACGATCATGTACCTGGCGTGCTCGTCGACCATGACCTTGGACAAGCCCGCGGTCCTCACCAGAGGGTCGTAGGGCGATTCCTCCTCGCCCCAGGTGATGGTCGTCCTAGTGTCGTAGACCATCTCCAGCTTGGCGATGCGCCCTTCCTCGAACTTGGGCACCAGGGTGGTGAACTGCCCCCGCTTGTCAATCACGACCAGGAAGGGCCGCTCCGAGAGGTCGAAGCTGGAGGAGACGTTGGCGTAGTAGGCGGTGGACGCCGACGGCTCGGCGATGAAGGCGTCGACGCCCGCGGCCTCGAGGGCGGCGGCCAGCGTGGCCTGGCGCCGCAGGAACTCGGACCTGGGGATGGGCGGCACGTCGAGGAGCGGTGCGTGCTGCTCGAGGTGCGACCACGCGCACGCCTCCAGCTCTGCTGCTGGGCTGGGAGAAGAAGAAGCCTCATCGGGACCGTCTTCCGGCAGCAGGCTGAGCATGGACCAGCAGCCGAGGACCAGGAGGAGCAGCGCCCAGTATTTGGCGCATCGGTGCCTCTGTCGCGGTGGAATTGGAGCGGAGTCTTGCGATCCTTGGAGAGGCTGCTTCTCGGGGGGGTAGTTGGCCGCCATGGTGATGATACTGACTGTTTGCCAGTAGTTGAGTTCCGGCACGTCAACCCGATGGTGTCAGGGCGCTGTTATATGAGGGAACGAGCTGTGGGGATAGTCGAGAGATAAGCATCAGGTAATCGGATCTCTACACCGGGATCTGTCTGAAAATGGCAAGAAAATACGACACATTCTCCTCTGATCTGCGTATTTTGAAACGCCCTGGGCTTGGATTGACATTCATTGCCAGTGCTGCAATCTAGGTACACCTTTTGATAATCTTAGGTAGGTGGTAGTTTAACTACGAACGGTCTGGTAGGATGGATGAACTAAGAACAGCAAGAGAGGTCAATTTCTAGTTATGAAATATATCGTTATCAACATGTATTATGATTTAATGTAAGATTCCTTTCAGAAAGCAAAGCCCATATGCACCGCTCCGAGTGATATGCAAAGCTAAATCCAAAAATGCAACCACGGAGAAGCATAAAAATCCCAAAAACTCCCTGATGAACCCATATGCTAACCAGCAGCCCAAAAAAACAAGACATGTCTTTTTTCTTTAAGAAACAGAAGAAGAAGAGATGCAATGCTCATGTCTCCTCAATCTCGTGATACCGCCACAACCGCTGCCGGTCCTTCCTCCACCACTTGCCGATGGCCTCGGCCTCCTTGGCCCACTCGACGGCACCCTCGCCCATCTCCTTCTTCGCGCTCTTGAGCAGGTCCTTGAACGTCCAGGCTGTGAGGGCGTGCTCCTCCTGCTGGTCCTGCTCGAGGTTGCTGAGGGTGTACTCGAACGTCTTGTCGAGGGGCATCACCAGCCTCCACGGCGAGTCGGCGCTGGTGACAGCGAGCATGCCGGCCCCCGAGTTGGTGATGCCAAAGTTCCACGCGCGGCGCCCGTTGTGGCTCGTCTTGTACGGGCGGATCAGGGACTGGCCCTCGTAATCCTGGATCAGGTCGGAGGCGACGGCCGTGTCCTTCTCGTTGAGGGAGCCCGAGTTGATCAGCAGGTCGAGGATCGTGGGGAGCGTCGAGACGGTGGTCGCGTTGACATTGTACTGGTACCGCGGGAGGTGCGGGTGCCGGAAGGTGATGGGAACGCGGTAGTTGCTGATGTGACCGTTCTCATACGTGCCCGTCTTGCGGGCGTCCTCCTTGAACGCCTGCCCGTGGTCGCCGGCGAAGACGATGAGGGTCTCGTCTGCGATGCCCAGCTCGTCGAAGAGCGCCATGAGCTCCGCCATCCAGAGGTCGTGGAAGCGGATCGTGTTGATGTACTTGTTGAAGTCCTTGTGCCAGTTCTGCAGGCCGCTGCTCGGCATGTAGTCTGTCATGTTGAAGTACCAGGGCAGCTCCCAGGGGTGGTGGGTGGTGCTGGTGAAGTGCGCCATCATGATGCGCTCCTTGTTCTTGGTCGCGTTGGTGAGGTAGTCGGTGATGTAGGGCTTGAGGATCGGCTCGGCGAAGCCAAAGTAGCCAATCTTCTGGCCCTCGCCGCTCGTGACGTTGCGCTCGATGTCGTCCTTCAGCTCGGCCTCGCACACCCGGTCCTCCAGACCAATCTTGCGGTCAAACTTGTCCATGTGGTCGTAGCCCTCCGTGACGGACATGAAGAACTTGGGATGCCACTTCCACTCCCTGTAGTCGTCCGATTTGCTGTCGTCGCTCTTGAATTCGTTCATCAGGCCCATGATCTGCGGCAGGCAAGGCTGGTAGCTGTCCGTCGCGTACTCCTCGAATTTCTCGACAGGCATACCCCACGCGCCGCAGAAGTTGGTCCCGAAACTCTTCGTAGACATTGTCGAGCCGGTCGTCCCTCCAACGATGTTGATGCCTCCGAAACCCTCTTTGCTGGAGTCTTGCCATTTGAGCTTCGAGCGCTCATACGAAGACCCATTGGCGGCCCTGAAATTGCCCGCAACACCAGTGATCATCTCGATATGGGGTGTCAAATCCGCAAGGCGGCGATTCATCTCGTCCCTCTCCTCCTCCTCGTTCGCGTTCAAAATGTTCTTGTGGATGAAAGAGTCCTGCTGCAGCGGGAAGAGCTCCTCGCGCAAGCTCTCCATCAGGATATATACAACATGCTTAATCTTGACTGAACCGTCCGATAGAGCTCCTTTAAGGGGCTTGAGGATGTCGTTATCCAAGTTCGAGATCTTCAATGGGTCGTCAACTGGGTTATAGAATGGTGAGTATTCGGGGATGCTCGGGCACATCTGCTTCTTCATCCCCTTAGGATGATGATGCTCCCCGTCCCGAGGGAAATGTCCAAAAGGGGGCGGTGGTGGAGGAGGATGTCGACCGAACGGGGGAGGCGGAGGAGGAGGGAACGGGGGAGGATGGTGACCACCGAACGGAGGAGGTGGCGGTGGCGGAGGAGGAGGAGGGTGATGCGGGTGGTGAGGACCTCCTGGTCCATGATGATCCCAAGGTCCTCCATGTCCCCCAGGCCCCCCGGGTCCGTGATGTCCGAACGGAGGAGGCGGGGGAGGAAGACCGATCTTCTCGAATCGTCTGGGATCCCATCTCTCAAATCCTCGGTGAACCGCCTCGGGCATCCACTCAGGATTCCAATATCGGTAGTTGAGAACCTGCTCGTTCCGCGCACCAGGAGCCCAACCCCTGAAGTGCTCGTTGGGCGCCTCCCAGTTCTTTTCGGAGAGAAGATGCGGGAAAGGGAACGGGTTAACGTGAATTCGTCGTTGCTCGGAGCAGTAGTCTGACTCGGGCCTGAAAATGTTAAGCATTGACACTGGTAGGGTGATCGACATGTGGTCGTATGGCCGGTGAGGGCGAACAAGCAAGGCGACGAGGAAGAAGAGAACAACTGCCACCCTGATGGCCCACCAATCTCGCATCTGGATAATTATCCGTGCCAATTTTCCGCGGCTACCACCCTCCTCGTCCTTCTCACCGTCGCCAAGGAAAGTGTGCGACTCGGAATCCGAATCAACGCTGCTTGGGAGGTCCGAGTTGATGGACCCGACCTCCGACTCTTCATCGCGTGCTGGTCCCCTGAGGAGATAGTACTGCGTCTTCCTGATAATATGGAACTGCGCCCTTTGGCATCTGGTGAGGACGAACTGCACGACTGGGATTATGAAGTTTGCGCCAAGTGCCGAGTTGAACAGGCCCACAACTCGGTAGCAGAGGGTCTGTAGGAGAAAGGAAACACCCATGAGGAGACCGGCAGAGGCGAGCACCGCCCAGCTGCCGGAAAGCAGGACCTTCAGCCCATCCTTGTTGGTCGCGAAAGAGGTTGCCTCGTGCCAGGCAAGCTCGCCACCCGTCTTGTAGAAGAAACCCAGCTGCGAAGCAGCACCACACAGAGTAAAGAGGCTGTCGCGCGCAGGGGCATGAAAACGTTAGCAAAAATGTCTCTCCATCACGCTCCCTCTTGTTTTAGGTTGGCGGTTTGAATTTTAGATTTAGCGGGTGTCGATCAGGGGTGTCTTGTCGCAGAGCTAACGGCCGGTGGGAAACAGGAGCGGTCACTGGGAGCAAATGCACCCAAGCCGAAAGCTGGAGACGAGAAAAACTGAGAAGAACTCGTTTTTACCTGTCTAGGCAGCGGGAGGAATAGACGAGAGAGATGATTCACAGTACAAGACGAGTCTGAAGAGAACTTACGAGATGAGAATGCCAATGATGAAGCCCAGCAGGCTGAACCAACCGCGCACAGGGTTCAGGAGGAATCTAAGAAAACATATCGCAATGAAGTCGAAGAGAAAGAACGTCGGCAGGTAGAAGACAAAGGCCAGGAACGGCACGGCGTGGAAATGTGTACCGAGAGTGATGAATTTAGTGAATATGAGCGAGGAGCAGAAGCCCGTGAAGATGAGGGGGGCGAGCGGGAACGACAGAGAGAACATATTGGGCAACTCGAGGCCCAGGAATCTATCGAGGGCGTACGACAATTACGATTGCTGGAGGAGGATGAACCCCCAGTGAATATAAGGAAATCTATGCTGTAAAGGAGGGTACGAGTGTTGACGGGGGGAGGAGGCCAGGGGTGAAGGAGCAGAAGCAGCTTTCCCGGGGAGAAACCATGGGAAAGCGTCAGCCAACCAGCCAGTCGATCGTGATCGATGTATGTATGCCTGTAGTAGGCAATGGGCGTATTTTGGCGCGAGTACGATGATGTCAAGGCGTGGAGATCCGACGAGACAGATCAACGGGGCCGCGAAAGAACAATGAAAAGAAAACAGAAGGAAAGAAGCCGGCGTCGCGGGGCCTCCCTACACAAGCAAGAAAGGAGCAGAGGATTATACAAGGGGAGAGGAGAAGAAAGAGGGAAAGACGGATGAGATGGATATGGAGATGGCCAGGCAGAACCAAGATCACGTCGGAATAGCCACCCACCGTCCACGGCGAAAAAGCCCCTTGGCCAGCAACTCCGCCAACAGGTCCGAGCGAGGAGGCAACGGTAGGGAAAAGCTCAGTCCAGGCCAGCGGCAAGGGCTTGGCCAGCCAGGCCCTCCCGCCAAGGCTGAAGGACTATGACTAGATACATGGGAGACCATAGCCACCCGTACCTGCGGAATTGTATTGCAGCTAGGCCGCACCGCACCCCAGAAACACGAGCAGGCAATAAAAAGAAATTGGTCGCGTGCCTGTCTGGGCTTCCAGCAGTCCTGGAAGCCCCAGCCAGCTGCACCTGGGACCCTCCCTCCCTTCCCGTCCCGCGGCCGCCTTTGCTGTGGTGATCTGGTTGGACGCCTCCGTGGGCCAAAAAGAAAAGAAAAGCAGCTAGCGGTGCTGGTTAGATGCCTGTCTTGTCCTAGTATGCCCAATAACCAACAACCAGCACCACAGCGCATACTGGGGGCCCACCAGCCAACACCAACTAGCATCGCCAAAAAAGCATTTGTAGTTGACGAGGCACGCGATCACCTACGCTGTCAGCCATTGACTCAGGTCGGAGTTGGTCGCTGCTGAGTCATGGCCACTACACACGAGCGAAAAGCGCCCCCCTAAGACAGAGCCGCTGGCAGAAGTTCCTCGCCAGCTCTAGGGCCGACGAACTAATCCCCTCGATATTGCGGGGGCTGAGCCACTAAACCGTAGGCACCTCAACCCCTAAAGCTGGGCCAAGCCTGCTGCCTGTGGGTGAATGCAGACCTGCACGAGGAGTGGCGGCCGATTGTGCTTTGGGGCATTTTGTAAAACAAGCATTATGCATGGTATGTGCTTGGCTCTCACCAATATGGAAGCCGCGGCAGGAACCAGATACTGGAAACAAATTAGCTTTCCCCTTCCCTGCCCTCTGTCCACCCCTTTCAATCTGCTCGTAGCTCTTCACGACCAGCCCTTTTCAACTCCCAGCTAGTGCTCACCCGTACAGGACCGGTACACAGTCAAACAGGACAGTACCGATCAGCCACTCGGGCAACCGCGCAGGAGCTCGGACGAGATCTTCTTGATAATCGCCTACCTGGGCGTCGAGGCAGCCCCTACGTAACAGAAATCTCCACTGGGCTGCCTACGCATTACAGGATGTCTGTTACTTTACTGCTCTCCAGTTGTTAATCAACCCACAACAGTATGGCTGGATCTGGCAGGCAGAAACACGAAGGAACGCTCATGGGATCTCCTCTGGGCAAACAGCGAGTCAGGGAAAGCAATGCTAAAAGCACCGTTGTGCCCTGGACTAAAATCGTTACACAATGGTACGAGTATGCTTATTCCTGCATGGGCAAGCTTACCGGCACCTACTATGTATGTCCCAGAGGCACGCGACAGCGAGCTCTCTCTCCCTGCTCCTTGAGCCTGTAATGTCGATTGTAATGGCTGGACCCGAGCTATCGTTGCAGAATACGGCATAGCCCATCCCAATGGTGCCGGGAGCCGAATGCCAGCATGTCGCCATCTGCTCTGAATGGTAGCAGACACCGTGATGTGGGGTGAGACAACCGGGGCTGTCCGGACATGCCTGCATCTGAAGTGCTCATCTCTCAAACTCAAACACTCCAGTGGAAACACATCTTACATCACTGTCCAGGAGCAGAAGGTGGCACCACCCATCCTATCGATGCCCTCCTCTCCTCGTGGTTGCATGTGTCCTCCCAGCGCTCTGTTTCTGTTTACCTGATGAGATGGATGCAACCCTCAGACGGTGTGTGCGCCAACAAGCCTATCCCTCACCAAAGCTTCCCCTTCTCCCAATAAGGCTGACACGACCCTGTCGTCCATGTGGGGCTTGATTTTTAATCCAGTGGCGGAAAGCTGGACCGCCGCTGCATTGCATCCTTTTTTGCACTTCAGCAATTCTCCACACGGAGCTAAGTGCCAATATATCCCAGCACGCAATTCGAACACACAAGTACTGTCTACGCGCCATAAGCACAGGCTGGCAATCGCCCGCGGCATCGGAACAAATCACCAAGATCCCATCAAGCCAAAACGCATTAAAATAGCAGTGGCGCGGGCCCCCAGACCGACTAGCAGGAGCTGAATGCTAACACTGCCACTCCCCATGGAAAAGGAGAGTATTGTTCCTTTCTTTTTTGCGACCTGATACTCATGAGCCAATCCCTCTCAAGATATCGTACCCAACGCGCATCTTATACGCTCGCTCGCTTAGTGTGAGGGTCGGAAATGGTTCCAGAACGGCCCTAGGCCTCTTGGCCCCCTGGCTCTGGCATCTTGGCATGTTCCATCCAACCATGCATTCGTACGTAAACAATGGTCAAACAGCAACCAACCGCGCATGGAAATCAAGGAATCATAATCAATCACGACACTTTGCTCCCCTTACCCCGCCTTTCTGCCAGATCTCGGCCAACTCGTTTCGGTGAGGAAACGGCGAGCGCCTAGAGCGGCCAGTCCTTCTCTCTTTTGCCATATTCGGGTCTCGCCGTAGTGATGGACCTCGCTCTACTGTCCGGTTTCGTATTAATAATTGGGGCACACCGGCCTAGGCGCCGTTTTAAAGTCGTGGGAGGGAACAAATCACGAAGCTGGATAATGAAAACGGCCTCCCCTGAGCGTGCATTGTGTGCCCCCCCTTTCCACATCCACCTTTTCGCCTTCCATGGATTCCGCGCTAGTAAATATCCGAGAAGAAGGAAGGAAGAGGGGAAACGGCCGAAGAACCTGCTGCTCGACAAAGTTCCAAGAAGCGCTCCTCGGTATCTCGGCCCCGGACCAATTCGCTGGATAAAACTCCACCCACCCATGCGATGTCATTATAACCAGTCTGGGAGGGAGCCTATTTGCACGGCTTCGCTGTTAATTACCACTCGTAGCATGAACATAGATCAAGGTGTAAGACGAGTGCGAGAATTCATGACAAATTGCTTTGTTTTGAAACAGCAAGGTGCGCTGACTGCTGCTTAGAAGGCCATGACTACAGTGCACTGCCCACTTCCAACAATTGATGAGGCCGAATCAACGAAATGATCATGTTCTGATATTCGCCTGGGAGGATGAGATAATTCGTTTTATTTTTATTTTAGTTTGCATCTGTAACTTGTGACCGAGCCGCACCGCCGCCATGAGATAAGTTGGTTTGGTATCCTAATACATTCCCCCGGAGTGCACAACTCTCCGTCCCATCCCTTCTTCTCCGTCTATCACCGACGGAGTATCTGTCCACCGTTCATCGGCGTTCGCATTCGCTGCTGGGGTCTGCCGAGAACTTCGAGGAATCGCCTGTGCGGTGCTTCACAGCTTGCCTGGCCTTCATTATCAACCCCCAGCAAAGTATCAAAAGAGTTGTCTTGCCTTAACCCAAATCAATACCCCTAGGCATGAGAATGCGTGCAACAAAATCCTTCGAAAATGGTGTGTACCATAGTAGCGATTGTCGAAACCTATTTCCAGTAACTGCTATGCCTTCGGGCGTTTCCACCTCTTGACTCTTAGTAGATAGCTTGTATAGTATGTAGCTATAGATAGCAAGTGTAGGCGATGTAAAGGCCGATTAGAACAAGAAAGACGCCGAGCGTAGGATTTCGGAGAGTAGGCGATGGTCTGAACGGTTCGTCACTCGTCACCTCTGCCAGTCGTTCATGCTTCTAGAGGTCGATAGAACAACAAGGCCTTCCTGTCCGCACATGGCCCTATCTCAGGCCAACCAGCCTTCTTTGCCCCAGCAAGACACCGCTCCAAATCTGCCTCGAGGAACTGCGCAATCTCTTCGCTGTCCCAAACAATCTCTCTCCTCCTCCGCAGCCGTAGCAGGGTGATGGCCCGCCGCCGCACTGCCGTGTCCGCACACGAACCATACACGACAATCAGCGCGGGGATGAGGTCGGCGTGCAGGGTAAAGACACGCATCGTAGACGGAGTCATGGACAGCAGCCGCTCCACCTGGTCCATGACTTTCGCACACTCATCCGGCTCCATCGTGGGATCCGCGTCCCACGACTCTTCTTCGTCGTCGTCCACCATCAGCCTCCACATGTGCCGTTGCAGCCGCAGGTTCAGAACTTCGTAGCTCTCGTCACTCTCCAACCCGAGGGCTTTCAGCGTCTTCTCGAAGCGGGCCTCCCACACCAAGAATCGCTTCTTGACCGTCTCCCACGACGCCCGCTCCACCTCTCTTTGCTCCAGCGGTACGTCTGCCCACTTCCCACTCTCGTCCGACTCCCATTCGGTATCGTACATTTGCATCTCGATCTCCGCCAGCTCGTCCCACACCTCTTCCAAGCTGGCAAACGGCTTTGTAGCCGCCTCACTATCCCCGGCGGCTGGGTTCGCGAAGGACGCAAGATTAGAGAGCATCTTATCATACGTGAACGGTGTCACATCCGACCCAATCCCCCTGAACAAGGCGGCAATCTCTCGCAAGGTCTCCTCGGAAACCGGAGGGGTTGGGGATACCTCTGACAACGAAGCAAGGAGACGGGAACCAGATGCCAGATGCTGGAATGCCTCGTTGCGAGCACCTCGCAGAGCCTCCAGGTAGACGAAGAGAAGGCAGCATATAAGTATAAGGGGGATATTAGGGTTAGAATCTGGAGGGTGGGACATCAGCGGGACGAGCCGTGTGATGGCCTGGTTGTACTGGTGGTTGAGCACAGCCTCGGAGGAGGCAATCTGGTTCGGGGTTGCGACTTCATGGCCCATAAACAACCAATGCGTGGTGCCCAGCGCCGTGACGGCGTGACGGATCAAGGGTTCGCTCTGTGCCAGCGAGGGGAGGGTCCGTCGCCAGAAGTCTTGAGGGCCGTTTGTATGAACAATATCCCCCAGCGTACAGTTGAAGAAGTGGCCGAGGAAGCGCAGCTCGAGGGCTTCTCCCTCGTTCGCAAAGATTCTCGTCGGTCGTATAATGGCCCGAGGGGAGGAGGCGGCGGAGGCGACGGCGGCGGGAGTAGGCGAGGGGGAGGGGCTGATACTGGTGGTGTTGCTGCCATCCGATCTTTTGACTATGCTTTTGGCGTTGTTGGAGGAGGGCGTCGCCTGTCGGACGACGATGCTTCTGGCCGGCGTGCCAGCTCTGCTTCGGCTACTATCGACGCTGCTGCTTCTGCTGCTGGAGGTTCCGGGAAGGACTGCACTGCCAGCAGTGCTCCCAGGCAAGTGGGCGTAACCATCGCACTTCCAGCCGCCGTCTCTGCACCGGCGGCAGGTAGGCTTCTCTTCATCGCATTTCTTGCGGCGAGCTCTAGTGTTTCATTTTATCAGCATACTGTCGCAAATATAGGCAGACAAACTTGGCTTGGCCTGGAGCGGAAGGGATGTCGTAGGGCTGGGAACGGGCTGCCAGCGGCCGCAACGATGGTCTGCAGATGAACCCTTCGTGCATGAACCGCCGGGTAAAAGCCAATGAATGAGGCCGCAGAGGACAACCTACTTGCTGCAAGTCTGTCAATACGATCGGATCTCCACAGCATAATTCTCCATTCAGCATTCGCAAAAAGAAGGCCAGCGGTCCGGGTTCGCTCTCGGGTTGGTGGCTGTATCGTGAATCCACACACCTGCTCGGCCCCGAGAGACGTTGTGCCTTACCCGTTTGGGTAGGCCTGGTGATGGACCAACACGAAACTTGGAAGAGGGGTTATTTTTTTGGGAGGGAGGGAAAGAGTCTGGAACAGCCTCTAGGCCCTGTCAACAGACTGGGCTCTTAGAGTGCAGGAGTCTAAGAGGCTGGTGCAGCGGGAAGAGGACGCCATGATAATAGATGGTCTGGTTGAATGGATGAATGAATTGAGGATGGAGAAAGGAAGAAGTTGAGAGACGGGCCGCTGGACAAGGAGGATGGTGCGAATGTACTTACCATGTGAGACACCCGGTGCGAACTTTGGGCGCGTACGCCCTGGTAAGTTTGGGCTTGTGGACGCCCTTTCCAGCAGCATTAGACGCCATAGCGGGCCGAGAACATAACAACATAGAGGCGCGCCTTCCAATGGAGGTTACCGCAGCGTACAGAGGGAGAGAGGAACACGGTGTGTAGCATATAATATATCTCGGCAGGGAAATGAAGGCATCGCTGAACAAGCTCGATGAGCCGAACCTCCAACCGCGACGCTGGGAGCGGCCCACAGGGCAGAGCGATACGCTGCGGCCAATCAGAGGCGACTAGTCACCCGCCCTCCATCGAGCAATGGCACCGTAGTGGACGGTACTGTGGTTATAGGGCCTGAGTGGGGGGGAGGAAGAACTCCCGATAGGTGCAGATACGCTGGCATTGCCAGTGGCCCACTGCATTGCAATGGGGGTCTAGTGGATTCCATCAAACGTCCCGTTGGGGTCGCGGGAGTGGCATTGACCACATAGGATGAGCTTACTGCGTGAGCAACTGCCACTGCGACCTTCACGTCGTTTGACACAGCACTGCCATCTGCCAACCGACCCCAACGCATCCCAAACGCGTAGGTTGACGCGAACCCGGTTCTTGGCACATCATCCACTTTCATGACGGCCGCACTGCAGGGACGTCGGAAGGCGATGCAGGAGGTGATGACGCCCAAAGGGCATGACGTGGAATCCAGTGACGAGTCAACGAGCCCTTCAAGACGACAAGATATTAATAGATATATGGAGTTTATTATCAGGCACGGCATATTGGATGGTTGAAATGCTCCAGGGTTACCATGCGAATCATACACAGCCGGTGATCTGTGACCAAGCTTGGAAGGCCGGTTCGATCTCGAGGGTCGCGACAACCTCCACGTCTCTATCTGCCGTCGAAACGTCGTTAGACCCCCACCATGCCTCATCCTGCCTCCGCTCACCAAGGTCTGGGGGTTCGGGGACTGCAAAGACAGCATTTGATCAACGGAAGATGCTTTGTCCTGCGTGGCTCCCGGCCGGGTAGACTACCCGAGTCCATCCAACAGACAACACGAGCTCGTTCTAATGGATCGATGGGCAGATAGCCTTGCAGCGCTGCACCGTCACTCAATGATCTGCCCCAGATCTCTCTAGGCTCGGCCCTGTTCGATGACAGGTAAGTAAGTATACATGTACATGAATGCCGGTGGCCCAGTACGGAGTGGCCTAAACTTTGAACGCTGGTACGTGGGCAGACAGTGCGTGATATTGTCCATGTAAGCATATACAGGCGGCGATCCACGATCATGATCGGTCTCGCTGATGGTCAGCCACAGTGCCCAAGTGCTACCTCTCGCCAAGCACCATGGCGAGCCGACATCCGAAACGTATCCAGTCTGTAGACTACCAGAGAGACTATCTACCGTAGGGTAGCCTAAGGCGAGCACGAGCGACCTGCCACGGATGAGCAAGCGTGGGTGCGCGCTGCCTGCGTCTAGACCAGGCCGGTCCCCAGATGTGATGTACGTGCTCGCGTACAGTACACGAGTGTCGTGTGGGCTGAGTGGCCTTGGCGCACATTATCCCCCCCGTGGCTCCTGGCTCCTGCTGAACGCTCCCTTGGGTCCAGAACCTCTGGGCTGCCGAGGGGCTGCCGATGGGGCTGAGAGGGCACCCCGAACGCCTATTCGGGTTAAAATGCTGCGGTCCTTTTGGCACATTCTGGCCCTAGAGCTAGTGGAACTTACCGCCCGTCCTCCGCTTCCAGGGCCCAGTCCCGGACCCAGAGCGCTCTTGTGTCGCTGCCTCAATTCTCCAGAGTTCAGTTATCGTATCGCAATATAATGCTTATGCGCGTGCCGTCAACCGTTGGCTGCCTCCTAGCAGATCCCAAGCAGCTGGATCCTCCACCTCGCTGTATTAATCGTGCCTGATCCCCCTCATTCTGGCCCGGTTGACAAGATCGCCATTCATCGACAGCAACTCATTCCTCGCTTAGGCCCGTGTCCATCCTTAGCTCTCCCCGGTTGGCCTCCGTCGAGCACCTGCGCATTCGCACCAATCAGTCACTCACTCCACCACATTCCCGACCGACTACTGGTGTCCCGCTACTGAAACTAATAGGATTGCTTTGGCACCAGTCGCATTATACAGCAGCCGTCTCACTCAAGGTTCCTGCGGGCTAAGTTCCCTACCCAAGTCTCATTGCCCATCTTTCCCTTCTGGGACGAATCTCGGCACTGAGCGAACTTTGCTTTTCCTCTTCCCTATTTGAATACTTAATTTCCTCTGCCATCGATCCGCCCTGTTCCATCCATCCTACACAGAGAGAACGGCTTTTGTTTCTTCCATAATTAGAGTCTCACATGTACTCATAAACCCAATCTGCCTCACATCACTCATTTGGAAAGAAGAACGCAAGTATCGGCAGGGGGATAAGCCGTCGTCACCATACAACCCTCCATCAAGGACCTATTCAGTCAAGGCGCAGCTGCAGCTCTCTTCCTACGACGACCAACAGTCACTAATCAGCCAAATCTACACCATGCGACCTGTTCTGCTTCTCTCACTGGGCGCTGCCCTGAGCCTTGCTGCTCCCGCCGCCATCGTGCCATCTCACGGCCTTCAAATCGACGACAGCGACCTTCTCAAGGTTCGCGAGGAGACCACTATCCATATCGACGACAGTGATCTTATGAAGGTGCGCCATGTCTCCTCAGAGCCCGAGCAGCCTTCGCGGCCGGCACATGAAGGCTGCATCTTGATGCACTTCTTCCACGCTGCCCCGCGATATCTTTCGAAATCCTTGGGCCGTGTCGAGACCGTTGGCGCAAACTCGAGGCTTCTCCCTGTTTTCTGGTTCAACAAGAAGACTGGCGAGGAAGATGGCCAGGCAACGGCCACTTCCCTAGAGACCACCGAAGACAGCGAATCAAAGCACGGTGGTGATATTCTGTATCTGGCTGATGGAGAGCATCAATCATTGGGACGACACAATCGCCATCATCGCCATCACCGCCACCACCGTCACCGCCACCCAATTATCCATACCGTAATGGTCTGGGCACATATCATTTCTTTCTTGTTTCTGATTGGCTTCACTGTTATTTACCTCGTCAGCTTCGTCCTTAGCAAGGTATGTTAAAACCACCATTCTACTCCAGCAAGACTTGGATTCAAACTAACTCTGAATGCGTGTAGACATGCGATGACTCCGAGGAGCCTGAGGAAGAAAAGGGGCAAGAGCGAGTTTTCCTCGACGAGAAGAAGGCCCTCGGCCTCATTGAGGAGGTGTAGCTTGAATCACTGCCTCGTCTTTTCTTATTTTTCAAACTACTAAACTACACATCACACGACGGAACTAAAAGGATTATGCACGGAAATACCCCCGGACGGCCTACAACTTCCTGGAATTTTTTTTATTGTACAAATGTATCACCGATCGGATAGATACCAGCGCGCGCGTTTAACGGTCCCAAGGCGTTTTTTGTTTACTTAATTACTACCATTGGATACAGTCGGATTTCCCACCATGTTGTTCGCTTCGGATAATGACCCAAGATAGAATGACAAACCGGCGATGATGAGAGGGGTGGGTGGTTCTGACTGGGCGTTTGATTGGCCATCGATGGCGACATTAGCCTATGGCTTGGGTTATATCTCCTCGGAGTGGGTTATGCATCATACAGTACACACTTACATTACTGTCTCTACCTACTACATACGATTTTATTTTGTTTTGCTAGAGAGATACCACCAATAAATGAACTCAAATCTGACATTACATTAATCTCCGCCTTCTTCTCCCCCCAATCTGCTATCATGACCTGAACATGATGGAGGCTAGCCCCTCGTTGAAACGATGGGACTGCTGTACGACCCTGGCCCGACCGGTAGGCCAGTCTAGACTCTCAGCGGGGGAAGAAGAAGACTGGTCTTGAGAGCACGTGCACCAGCGGGAAGGGGTTTGGGGGTCAAGGGGAGCAAGCAGGGCTGATGTGACATGGGGGCCTAGCCTGAGTACTAAGAATATTAGGTCGCCTCCACATGCTCTACGGCCAGATGTGGGTGAGGACTCTTCCTGCTATAGCACGCTTACTATGTAGGCGGATTGTGGGAGCAGGAGCAATAAGGATACCCTCTGGACCAACGAAGGAGCCTCGCCGGGTACAGGGTGTGGTAGATAGTATGTGTCCTGGGAGGATTCAGGACGGCCAATTTATTTCTCGTCGGCAAATGAAGCGAGCTGAGGTTGCTGTGCGATGCATAGCGCAGGTGGTATTGATCAATGATGCTGAACTGGTTTGATTACGGCCGTCCAATGTGGCTCGAACTAAATCACACCCACAGTAATCCAACCTTCCCCTTATTAGAGGGACGGCCCGGCCGCATGAATGCCCTCATTCGATTTATTTGCTTCCGCCTGGTGTTCCTCTCCTCATCATGCCCAACCATCCGTGTGCTGGCGGGGTGTTACTGAAACGGGAGGCCTCCATATGGGTACATATTTTGCTTAATTTTCCTTATACAGGCACATTGATCGTGCCTTAGGTGAGCTTGGGCGACACAAGCACGGCGCCATGCATTAGGTCCCTTGATTTCTCACTCATCACGCAGGTGCAGATCCCACCAAGTCGATTTAACTCCCCTATGCAAGGAATATTGGGATCGAAAGATCAAGTACGTACAGCCGATTCCCCGAGACCCCTGCCAAGAGCAGCCCAGCGCCGCTCACTTGAAGCTGCTGCTGTCCTACATGCGCCCGTGAGCAAATGAACTTAGTTTGAGCCACTGGCGCTGCGCTGACGTGAGATCGCCCTATAACCCCCCAAGCTCGCACCAAGTCCAGTTTGCCTCGTCTGATCCCAATCTCAACTGCCGTTTTCAAGATATTGTTGACGCCTGGGCCAGGTTGAAGGCAGGGAGAATTTGTCATGTTTGGCTAGTAGTCTAACCTGACCACGTTCTCTGCTATTTTCGGGGAGCCACTTTGCTATTTTAATTTTTCAATAATATGCCTCCTTTTATTGCCTTTATCGTTGCATGAGTCGCTTTCAATCCAATCACTCGTGTCTTGCACAAATCCCCTGCACCAGCCGGGCAACTATAAGGAGCAGCATGGACCGGTGGATTGATTAACACATCCCACCCAACTCGGCACTGCGGATACCGAAATAATGAGCCCCAATGACCTGGCCGGTGCGTACAGTATCGGCACTTGCTGGAGTTCGGTCTTCGGTCTTGATTGCATGTGTGAGAGGAACGAGCAGCGCAGTTGCGCCGACGGCTCCAACGGCCCAGACTGGAGAAAATAATCCCATAGAGAGCATAATCCCATACAATTATGCCTTTGTGGTCATGTTACCTCACTGTGAGATTTGTCTGGAACATGATTAATTATACTACCGAAGGAAGTAAGACTTGTTCCTGCTCGGAGTATGCCGACCAGAATTTTGAGACACCCTCACCGCCGATGGGCGGCCTACCCTAGAGCCCGTAACACTGAGAACAGCATCTGGGATGGGTACATTGAATAGCAGCCCTTAGTTTGTCCATTTCTACCTTTTTAATTGCTTTTTCTTTGGGTTGTCTTGTTTGTGGGTGTTTTCTGGCTTTGCATCTATGGTTGTTGAAATAATCGCCGACGAACAAAAAGGTACTTTTGCGTAGCTTCATGCCAGTCTCGTCATAAAGAGCGGGTTCGCAATTGTCTTAACACGCATGTTTGACACACCCAGCAGAGAAATACCAGCACGGAAATAGAATTCCTGTCTTGAGAAAAGGTTAATGACATGCTGTCCTAATCGAGCGCAATTAGCTACCATCTACATGGACTTTATCAGACGACCATGTACACACAGGCCAGGCCAGTAGTGTCTGGTATCTGCTCATGCACTGATGGGGTAGTAACTCAACATGAAAGACTTTGTATTATCTCATTGTTCTAACAGGAACTAAAGAATGAGAATGAATAGGTATGTTTGAGCCGCAATTAATCCACACATTTCACAGTCAAACTGCCTAAGCACAAGGCTGCCACCAGAGAAAGCCAATATAATCAAAGTGTTCTTACATGAATTATGTCCTAGAATAAGTTCATTGTTCACCAGACTATAAAAGCCGTTCTCGAGCTATTGTTCAAGAACCAACCTAAAGACTACATCTAGGTGCACTTCAATCAAGATTTGGCTGAGTGGTGCATCAAGATCCCGCTCAGCTCCCCCAACATGAACGCGATCTCAACGCCCGTTCGGAGTACCCAGTTAGGGGAGGCCTCTCTACGGCCAACTATCGAAGCAAGGGGACAGTTAACGGGAAAAGAAAAAGGCCAGAAATTGGCCCAGGTGGTGCAGCATGCCTATGAGTCTGGCAACAAGCTGTACACCAAAGACATGTTTCGGGAGATCGAAGTATTCTTAGCGAAGCACTCCTGGACCGAAGCTACGTACATCACGCTTCCCTCCAGTACGTTCCTGACTCCGCCATCCAAATTTGGTATCTAACAGCAATTGAATAGTGATTGGCATTAACACCAGGGTTGCTATACCTTCACTCGAGGATAGGGAGTACGGCGAACCGCAATCGTGGGTGATCATCCCCGGCTAAATTATGCAAGGAAATCAACAACTAAGGAAGTCGAAACTAGGGTTCCATTTCCGGTTATATATCCATACCGGAAACTAATGAATCTAGCACAAAATGCTTTCGAAGGAGAGACTGATGAGGAACTCGTGGATCCAAGTATCCCCGAAATCAAAATGGCCGCTTTCACCTGCCCTATCAGAATAAGCACCGTGTTTACAATGATTTCGGACGTTCCCCATGAACAAGTGGAAGAGACCTGGAACTTCATAGAGGAGAGCTGGGAGCAAAGCAGTTTTCGGATAGAGTTGCTTGATATGCTGAACCAGGTGGATCGGATACCCAAAGCTAGCAGAGTGGTCTGTCTTGGACTGGGGAACCTTGCTAAAACTCTCGCGGAAGATAACCTCTATGAGACTCCTGGACCGCCGAGCACTCTCCCAGGTTACCGCAATTATGTCAACCACTTGGTCGCTCTCACTGTTGCCCAGGTCATTGCAAGTCGCCAGGCAAATCGCTTGTCACCGGATACAGAGCCGACCCATGGGCAACAGTCTTCACTCAAAGTGATTGCCGAGGATTTTAGTTACAGCCCACAGGATAAGGAAGTGTTGGCCAAGGCCGGCTTTCAGATCTTGAACGGCTATGGTACCTCGTCCTTTCGAGTGGTTGACGACGAAACAATTTTTGTCTGTTGCGATCCGCGAAGGGCGGTAATGGAGATCATTGCTGATATAGCAAGACCAGCAGCTATGCTATGGATCCAAGATCTCCCAGAAGTTGATGATGGAGATATCCAAGCAGAGTACTGGGAATTCATAAAGAGAAAGTTGTGAGTATAATAACTGTTATTTCATGGGTTGCAACCGCCAACAGTTTGGTTAATTTTGTTCTTATTCTTAGAAGCTAATCGGAAGATCACTAGTTCCTTTAAGAAATACGAAGATTCACCAAGGACTATTCAGCTTCTTGAGGAGTACACGAAGTACGAGGTTGAAGTTAAAGCTGAGCAGCTGAGAACAGACTTGTACATTCGGAATATCTGACCTAGCGGCACATCTATCACAGGGAAATCTCGTCATTTATGCATATTGGAAAGAAGAATGATTTGTAGTATGAGATGAGCAGTCGGATATGGTAGAAATGAGTCGAGATACTCAAGTCTAACAAGGGTTAATCCGTGGGTGAGAAGGGCCGAGCAGGTCTTTGGTATAATTCTTACCAACATAGTCACGAAACATTTTCAGTTTTGTTTATAGATAGAAATATTAGAGAATTCCTCACGGGAAAGGTAAAATCATGCAATTGGGTCGGAGCCAAGATCAAAACCTAGCTGCCTCATTTTACACTCCGAGGCTATTGTTGGGCAATTTCACGATGAGGCGAGGTATCTAAACAGAGATAATAGCTCTATACTTGTGAAGTGCTATGTATCTAACACCCTTTCATAATTTTGGGATTTTCGTATTTTGGAATTTCGTGCCCGGAATGATACGGTGCTTTAGCCCAAAGGTTCATGGGCGAGCGTACCAACGGATATTAACTTGACTCACTAGAATATTAAAAGATGAAGTAACAACCAACTCTTTTGATTACTTCCTTTTTCTCTTCATTTTCTCACTCGCTCTTAGTTCAGTACCTCATTTGTATAATTTTGGACTTGAACAATAGTGATATCATAGTAAAGCTGTTCATCTGAGATATTGGGCTTCTTGAGAAACCAAAATTACCTTGCATTCGCTAAGAGATATCCTTGGAAATTGTCTAACCCTGACGAAAGTGGCAGGATAAGTAACCGTCGTCTCAAACAAGATGGCCAGCTTCGGTGTCAAGCTGTTAAGTAATCCGACCACCGCAAGTACAAATACCAGCGCCTAGAATCTAATTATTTCCTTAACTGCCTTGAAAAGGTAGTTGTATGCTCGTGGTTCTTATTTCTGGGAAATATATAAAGCTTGCTTTTGCCATTTAAGGAAACGCTGGTTTGAGATTTGTCTCTTTTTGCGGTTCTTGGAAGCAGGCTTGACTGATAATTGTTCAAGCTTCTTTATTGACTACGGAATTGGGGATATGAAATTGCACTAAGGCGGGTACCTAGGCTGCTAGGTACACTTTAGTGCTTCGTTCCCCGGAAAATTTACTTTGATGTAGCGATTCTAACCTCATTCTCAACAAGCTTACTGCACATCTGGATGGAATGAGGATTATCGGCATCGGCTCGGATATGTTATGTATGTCGTTTCATGCCGACTTTAGTGAAGTAGACAAGCTTCCCCCATCGACGTCACATATAAGTGGGCCGATTATTTATGTTCTTTGGAACAAGGCCCTCCTGTTTATCGTGGCCTCATGAGGCGGGTCTTACTTACGAGGGAAATGGAGACAACTCGGAGGTCCGAGACTAACAGACACGCCATCACATTACAGGTCACTACGTAGCTGCAAATGCTTTGATAGGACCCTCGGACTTCGGAGCTTGGTATCATTGGGCTTGGCAACGGAAAAATGATAGGTAATGTTGGTGGGTAAAACTGGAAAAAGGAGTCGCTTGTGAAGCATTTGTGACATGGCGATCTCGTCGGCATCGCCATTACTCAACATACCTTGTGTGAGCGCACTTTAATCTAAAAATGGAATTGCAGCCTTTATTTGCCTTCCTCCATTACGACCGATATGGGTACTCTGGCTGGTTTATATGGCGGATACTGATGAAATGATACTAATTGATGAGCGGTAAGAGAATGCTCGGGATATGCGGCGAAAACAGGTCAATGTCGATGGTCCAATAAGAAGGAATCAATTTCTAAAATTTTCCTAAATGAGAAAAATGGAATTAATAGCAAATCACAACTTGGAACGCGCACATACGCACTTTCGCGGCCAATGAGTCTTCACTCGGGGTTCTCTGAGACGGTGTCGGCGATTCGGAGATATTGACATCCATGTTTGCACTACACCAAAATATTGGAGCAAGACAGACTTTCTCGGGAACCGAGACTGACACTTTGTGAGCAAAATCTTTTGTAGGGTGATGCAAAACAGGCACCAAGTGTGTCGCACAATGATATAAGGATGCGGGAAGACCGGTGAAAAGGCAACATCACAAGCCACTACATCCCTCACAGCCGACATCAATCTTTAAAATGACTAGCGAAGAATTTGCGAATCCCCGGCGCTCTTGCGCCGGCATCCTTTTCGATGCCATGGGATTAGACTCTCTGTACCGGTCTGCCCCCGATGTCAAGCTGCTTTGCGCTCAGCGTTTTGTGCGCCTTTTCGCCTACGGTGCCTCGACACTCGTGCTCGTTTCCTTCCTCCGCGAGCTGCAGACATCCCAAACCCTTATCGGACTCTTTATGACTCTGACTCTTGGCGGTGACATCGCCATCAGCTTCCTCCTTGCTCTGTTTGCTGATGGGATGGGCCGTAGGGCTACCCTCGCCCTGGGAGCCATTCTTATGACGGCCAGTGGCCTCGTCTTTGCGTCGTCTGATAACTACTGGATTCTCCTAGCAGCAGCTATTCTGGGAGTCATTAGCCCAAGGTATGACTTACATGGTTTGATCTTAATTGTGGATGGAAAGAGTGCTGACGAATGATCGTGTAGTGGCAACGAGATTGGTCCATTCCGGGCTGTTGAGGAGAGTATCATCGCCCATCTCAACACATCTACCCACCTAAGCGACATCTACGCCTGGTACAGCCTATCAGGGACGGCTGGTACAGCGTTTGGTATTGTGACCTGCGGCTGGGTCATTCACCATCTTCACCAGGTCCTTTCTAAGCCTCTACTCGAGGCTTACCGTCTGGTCTTTGTTGCCTATTCCGCCGTTGGCGTCGTTAAATTTGTCTTGGTTCTTCTTCTTAGCCGAGCTGTGGAAGCTGAGGTTGAAGCGGAAGAGCCGACACAAAGCGAAACAGCTCCTCTACTGGGAGAAAGGGAAGAGTCCACAAAGCCTGCCCAGACTCGTCGCACCCAGACTCGTCGCAGCTTGCTTCCCAACGTCAGCAAGCACAGTATTCCGGTTGTTGTTAGCCTGTGCATCCTCTTTGCGCTCGATGCCTTCGCTTCTGGCCTTGCCCCTCTGTAAGATACAATCAGCCTTCTACTAATATGAGTGTGTGAAAGGCCTAACTGACACGTTCACAGGTCATGGGTCACCTATTTCTTCAAGTCGCACTACAACATCGAGGAGGGCAGGCTCGGTTCTATCTTCTTCGTCACCAGCATCATCTCGGCCTGTTCGACCATTGTGGCCTCATTCCTGGCCAAACGTTTCGGAAATGTCAAGGTGAGAAGCACCATCTGCCCTACTGGATCCTGCCCCCCCGAATGAATTTGTTCATTGGCTGACATTTAAACTAGACCATGGTCTTCACTCATCTGCCCTCCGCCGTCTTCCTTGCTCTGATCCCCATTCCCAACGACGCTCACTGGTCCATTCTATTCCTCGCCCTGCGTGCCTGCACGCAATCCATGGACGTCGCGCCGCGCTCCGCCTTTCTAGCCACCATCCTCCAGCCCCAGGAGCGGACCGTGATCCTCGGTCTGGTCAATGTAGTGAAGACGAGCGCGCAGAGCATGGGTCCGCTGATCACCGGCGTTCTCGCCGACTCGAACTACTTCTACATCTCGTTCGTCTGCGCCGGATCCTTGAAGGCATGCTACGACCTTGGGTTATTGGCGGTCTTTAAGAATCACGAGGCGGACAGGAAGAAAGCCACAGCAAAGCATGATCCCGAGGAATGATTTTATAGAATCGGCCTTGTGCCCCGGAGGAAACCTATTAGATGTAACGAGTTTGATAGACAAATTGAATACTTCATTAGAGAAGCACACCTCGTCCTGGCGATGCAATAGTGGCGGCTAAGATATCTTACCTGAGAATACATAAACGAGCATTGCGATGGGACAGAAAAATTGCTGATGAAGCTGGCATTATCTGTGTAGAATTAGTGAAAACGTGCTTCATTGATATGCCTATTTGACGATTTCGGTAATTGGAGGGGATTAAGCTTAAGTCCCTAGTAAACATGTTGACATTGTTGCCGGCATGTTCACAATTGGGCTGCACATATTCCATACCAACAAGATTATTTCCTTCGGGTATCACGGATTTGTTTGTACGCGGGCCGGTTCCGGGACATGGGGCCAACGCATGCAAGGCGAAAAAAGAAAAGAAAGGAGGAGCTTGTCGATTGTGGGATTATTCAGCTTCATTGCGGCCCGGTTACGTGAGAGATGGTCATTCTATCGTGACCTGGGGTAGATTATTCCCGAGACAAGAAACAGGCGTGCTGCCTCTAACTGGGTGACTGCTCGCCGCACTGCATGTAACCACTGGCGGCCGATGCGGGAGAGGCAACTACAGTACGTGGTCGGAAGGCCAGGTAGATCAGCCTATCATCGCTCTCGGCCATCCTTGCGTCGTTGTCTCGATGGCTATCGGGAGGGAGGCCAACGTGGCAGTGGCGGAGCCTGAGTCAACCATGAGTCGTCTGCTCCGCAGGCCATTCGTCGGGCTGACCAGGATGAGAGGCAGGCTGACTGGCAGAGAGGTGGTCAAAACTGTGCCGACTTGAGAGCAGTTGGATGACGAGTCGAGTAGGGCTTGGTTCGGTTCTGTATTGGGAGAGAAAGGGCTGCCGGCCCTCCAAGCCATGGCCGTATTGGTCTATCTGGCTCTATGAATAGGATCAGGTCTGATAGCGGTTACCGAATGAAGCAGCCAGCCCTATCACCCCGTCCTGGGTACTTCTGGATGATGTATTGTTCATGTACTCTCTTAATCAGTAGCACTTACTCACTGCCACGACGAATCTGGGTGAGAGTGCATTAGCATCGGCTCTTTTTGCCTGCCTGCAAGAAGCCACTGAGTGATGGCGCCTGCATGCCATGCATGAATCTAGATGCGTCATCCGCTGGCTATTTCGCCTCTATGTATCTGTGTAGGCAAGCATGGGAGCTCGTCAGAATAGTATCGATACTGGTGATGCTCCTCGAGGGAGGGTTGGCGGCTAATTAGCACTTCGTTGTTTACTATTGGAGCCTCTAGCGTCTCTCCAGCACTACAGGAATCGCAGCGTACATGGTACTCCGTCCGAGTATGGTTGCAAGACATCCAGTAGCAAGCTGCTCTAGCAAGTTGAGTGGTGCGTACAGCATCTTGTCGCGTGGGTGTCACGCGTCAGGCTGAGGTGGCCCGCTGTCTGGCAATAGGAGTATCACAGCATGAATTTAATGGCGGCGGTGTCGAGAGCGTTCTACTATCCTGAACCCGCTTCATGTGTCCCCCGAAATACAGCAGTTCTCGGTCGAGTTTTTCTTGTGGAGATGACGGCTATTCAACCCTTAGTGAGGCGCCATCCCCACTGTCATGCCATGGCCCATGGCCCATCTGGGTCGGAGATTGGTCCCCCGACATTAGAGACTCGCTAATAAATGAGAGACGTGGAGAGGCTGAAAGATGAAGGGAGCACGAACTCGCGGGACCGTTGGCTTTGGAGCCCAGTGACAGTGTCCGAGACGGCCCTGGAAGGATATCCAAGGAGCATTTCATGTACCAGCCAAGGGGGGTCAGAGCTCATTCACATTTACACGAACCTACCTGCTGTCCATTCAGCACCTGCCTATCAATTACGGAGTCCTGGATGGGGTGAAGAAATCGGGTGTTCCACTTTGATGAGGATCTTTGGCGGTAGCGCCTTGATCCATTGCAAGTACAAATCGCCAAGACTGTGGAGACGTGGGTGCCGAGAGAATGACGAGGAAAATCCGGCATGATGGCAACAGAGTACCTAGTGTGGACGTTGCACGGTGTACTGTGATTTTAGTAATGTGTGATGAAATGGATTGAGAGATGGAATTGGGCGAGGGATGGATGATGCTCGTTTCTGGCAGTGATGAGATGTACGTACTACCGCGTGTTGTGTGACCGAAATTGAGGCCCCCACAAGAAGACCAAAGCCAAGAGAAGAAGCTCATTCTTTGATCCATCCGTGAGACGGGCGTCTGTGCCATTTTGCTCCCTCTCTTTCCGCCCGTCTCTCTGCATGGCATCCGCAGCAAGATGTTACTTGGCGGAAGATTACGTGTTATAAATATGCTTTTGCATGGCAGATCCGTCCCCAAGTCGCGAGGCGTCCGCATCTTGGGGACTGACCAGGAGCCAGGTGAGCCCCTAATCCAGAGATGACAACCAAATTAAAAATAATTTTGGCTGCTGATCGAGAATGTACTGGTTGACGGAAGGACGTGCGGACCGAACGGGGTACTGACCAGGGTCCACGTGCTGGGACCGCTCTGCTGCTCTTCTGCGCATCCTGCTTGAAGGGTCTCCTCGGGGTTGAGCCTTGTACATGAAGATACTTAGTAATGTGCGTCAAGCCGGGTCAGCCCCGAGTAGAGCCGCGGTACCCACTGCTGAAGCTGAGGTCGTGAGAATCCGGGTGTACTTAGGCCGTCGGGCCAGTGTGGATTGAGCATCTGCACAGTGTGCGTTGCGCCCTCTCTCAGTTCCGTTGCCTTGGCACCCCACCCGCCAACGGCCGGTCGTCGGTCTTCTGTTGACCTGCTCCCCAACCCACGGGCGCGTAGTGCGGTTCGTTTTGAAATCCCCAAGGCCGAGCAGCATGGCGTGAGGCGTGCTGTGATATGGCGGTTGGTGTGCCACCGGATAGAGCTAGTAAATCTGCATCAGCCGACTCCCCAGAGAGCGCGCTTTTCATGCCCTGCCAACGCGCTGATTCTTCGCTGCCCCGCTTACCTTGACAGGATCAATGTACTGGTGCAATGGATGGATGCCTTTGTGGTACAGTGCGCTAAATTCGATAGCGGCCAGAAATACAGTGCGGATCAACATTACAACCCCCTCCCTCCACTAATCTCTGATGAAGCTGGCCCCTAACTGCATGGGTAAGGTACTACCTGCGTTGTTATCAGCAGACCGAGTACCTGCTGGGCCTCTCAAGTCCCCGAGAGGCGGCCATTTACCTGTTTGCTCCATGTGTGGTATGTATCGGTATTCTGTACACATACCTGCAGATGGACGGATGTACATATTACCTACCTGAGGTGTCAGGTTCAAGGCTGCATTGGAGTGCCAGACCAAGCCGACGGGCAGAAGCCCAACTCTGCAACCTGGAACGCACCCAGCAGCACCACACCTGATCAGGGACTGCCTACGGGCTCTAATTACGTCCCCCTCCGAGGTGCTAGCCCCATCGGCCAGTGCTGTTCGGTGTCTGCTGGTGGCCCGGAAGGCACTACCTACGGCTGCTAATTACCTGACCTGCCGGCCTGCCTCTGCGACCTTGTTGCTGTGCAGGTGCCGTGGAGGGGTTCTAGGTACCTCGCTGCTGTGCCCTACCTTGTGTACCAACCCTGTATGGAGTACCTGCGCTCTGCTTGTCAGTCGTCAACCCATCATCCTTCCACCCCATCCAAATCAAATCCATCCACCCGGTCTCCTCTCTTTCCTCTCTTCCTGATTTTGTCACTCCTCACCCCCCAAAGATATCCATCCCCTTTTTCCTACCCTCCTTGACGACCTAGGAGTTGCTCTCGAGTCTCGGACCATCTGTTTGTCGAACCTTTTCCCCAGCTCAAGGTGGTGATAAGGTTTCTGCATCCTTCTCTTTGTTTTTTTATTATAGCTCTCACCTCCAAAATATCGAGAATACTGCCCGAGGACGGTACGACTTCCTGCGCATCGCTTCGATTGTTCGTTTGGCGCGACCTGGAATTCTTGCTTATATCAAGAGCGCTTTTCTTTCATCTTGGCGCCTTGATCTGGATTTGCGCATCGCTGTTGGTTGTACCTTTAGACCTGTGTCTCCTTTTTTGAGGTCGGTACCCATTTTCCTCATTCCAGCATCCGGCGGCGAAAGTGGATGGATGGGTAGTTCGACATCTGTCTCCTCTGTACGGAGAGCGACTTGCGCTCTTGTTCCAGACGGACCGCACACCCAGCGCTTGCCGTTCATCCTTTGCCCGTTTCTCGTTGGTGGCGACCGTTGAATCATCGATGTTCTCGTTTTGCTCTTAAACTTCTCTGAATCACTAACACCCGCTCCAGCTAGTTTCCATACAGCTACGAACGCATACGCCATATAAGCAACTGCTGTGACCCTTCGCCCAGCTCCCCTTGTCTCGACAGAAAGCGTAATTCGTTCATCAAACGGACATGTCCTACTACGAGAACGCGCAGCAATGGGCTGGTGGGCCAACCCCTCCTCAACAGAACAACTGGGAACACCAGGGTGCTACCACTCCCGTTCGGGCTGGTATGATTGCAATTCTCTCGTTCTTTTGCGCTTGCTAGTCAGTACTGACGTGACTTTGATATTTTAGGTGCCAGCGCTCCTCAGCCCCAAGACGAATATGCTTTCTCGTATCAGTTCGACGGTAAGATGCTCCGCGCCTGTTGATTGCATCCGTGCCTTCAAATCACAACTCGATCTCGGCGGAAGTTCCTTAATCGAAACCATTTCGATGGCGATACCCCCCCTTTCCCGAGCCTACCGAGATGGTGACAATGAAATTGGGAGGAAATGGCTAACTGATTGCTGGATAGAGGTTGACCGGGCTTATGAGAATCTCCAAAAGTCTGGGAAGGGTTTCATGTCGGGTGGCCGACGTAAATTCTCGCCCATGCACCATGGCCCAAACTCCGCTAGAAGCACTCCAGACTTCGGTAAGTGTATGCGACCAAGGGCAAACAATGTTCATTTAGATAGCAACTGACAGATCTCCGCTGTTTAGACGGCCGCATGGCACACGGAGGTCCTCGATCGCACTCGATTAATAGCTTCGACGAGTCCCGCGGTTCTGGCCAGGGAGCCAATCTCAACAACTTCTACGCCTCTCAACGACACCAATCATCACGCGGCTCCAACGAGGCAGAGCAGGTCATGCAGGCAAAGAGGAGGATGGCGGCGCAGCGCGAACGTGAGCTTCGCAACCTGCACACAGAGCAGCAATATCAACGAAGTAGGCCACCCTCTGCTGTATAACAACACTTCCTATCGCAAATACGAACCCCAAAATATAAGAAGATTTAGTCGGCAACGGTTAACGGTTCGCCGACATCCGTTCGTTTTTTCCTGTTTGAGATATACCATACCCCGGGAGACCGCAGTTGGCTTACCTTACTGCGGAGTACTGGTTTATGGGCCTGTTTTCTGTTGCTTGATTGTTTATCCATATGACAATGGGCATGTGCTAACAGCTTTTTTACGTAGATGCCCTGGCTGAAGTCGCAACTCCTCCTAACAACAAGCACATGAGCGAGGAGGAGACTCGAGAACTTATTGCCCGCCAGCGCAGCGCATTGTATGGCGAGGGCCCTTTCGCCGACAAGAACAGTTATATTGACGAGACGGGTAACATTCGTACTGGTGCTCCAGGACCCAACGGCCCTCCCAGCCTTCGTGGTGCCTCCCCATTGACCTTCGGTTCTGCCAGCCGTGCCCCCCCAAGCGGAGAGGCTAGCACACCTGGCTCTGTCGCTGATCATGCTTCTGCACCCGCCGACCCGAGCCCTCGACCATCGAGCACGGCAAGCCCGCAGACCGCGGGCCCTACCAACAAAGTCTTTGACAACGCTGTGGGCCTCCAAAGCCGCACCAGCACCTCCAGCCCCACTGGCGGATCGCCACCCCGTGATCTTGCCCCTGGGGGGTCCAAGTCGGGCCAATCTGGTGCCACTGTAGCTCCAATTGGTACTCGCCCATCCGGTACCCCATCCGGAACTTCATCAAAGCGCTCGACAACCCCTCTTGCTTCCTCTGGATCTGGAGGCTGGGGCCGGGGAAGCGGCGTTTGGGGTCAGTCTTCCGGCTTGGGCACCCAAGCTAGCGTCTGGGGCTAATTTATTGAACATATGAGAATCATCTCTGCAGTAGGCAGCATGTTTTGGGTCTGTATTGAAAGGAGTTGAGATACTGCATGGTGAATTTGGGCGCTGGAATGGTCGATCAACATACATAAGAGCGGTCCGCGTGGTTCAAAGATGGGAATTCGGTTGGGGACACTTCTCTTTCGGCGTTTCGTCTTGGGATTCAGAAAAGACGATAACGAATGGCATTACCAAACATTATATGGAAAGGAGGGGAGACTTCGCTATATACCAAAGGATCTGGGATTGGCTTTTGGCCCGGGCGCGGACACAGTCTTGCTGAAAGAGCTTCTGGCATTCGCGAGGGAGTTTCTTTGTTTTGCTTTATTATGGTTGTTTGTTTCTTGTTTCTCTCTTTTGTTGTTGGTCATCCGGGTGTTTGATATGGGAAGGAGTTGCATCTTCGATGGGTCACGGTCTCACTACAAGAGACTCTTATTCAAAACGCTGTTATTGTGACGGCTTGTTGGAATTGGCACGGCGGTCACACCATTACGACACAGGGTGAGATTGCCAAGCCATGGAGACGACCGTTACATACACGCAGTTCTGAACCTCTACGATCAGCAGCGGAAAAACGGAAGTGCGATAATGATTTGACGAGACCAAGTCTGGTGCGGGAATTTCGAAAGGACATGGGCTTTTCTGGGGTTGGCGATCATGACGAGGATCGGTGAGCATGAACCTCTATTATCCAACCAATATATTTCGGCATGGCATGGGCGAACCTTAAGAAAACAAAATTGAGTATCAAAATAAGCAGGAAAAGGGGGAATGGGATTCAACGGTATGGGGTTTATGGGGTTTATCTGAGATAGTTAGGCTCCTGTTACTGCACAAGGTCCAAAACAGAGTGGCTGGGATGGTCTTTCTGATGCCCAGGTAACGGAATCGGGGAGTTTTTGCTTTTTCATATTCATCTGGGGGCAATGGGGCAGGTTCTATTCTATTCTTTTCATTTCGTTGCAAGGTCAGAGAAGCGAATGGGACAAGTTTCTTCCATCTTTGATTTGCTAAACTGGGAGCAATCTCGATAGTAATAGTAGTGTAAGGACGCGGCTATAATGTCTGTGCAGTACATCCCGTGTATCGAGAATGTGGTGATAAGTTTTTCGAATTGAAGTTATGATTAGACAATATTCCCATCCGTCATGCTATTTAGAGTCGTCTCGTCGCTTTAAGTTGGCACAATTCACCTAATCACGTTGATGTTTTGTATCATTTGAGATCAAGAACCAACTGATATGACTTTCATTTATTGATATTATCTCTCCAATCTTGATCATATCATCATATTTCCATGTTTCGAAAGTAGTCTCGAAGTGGAATTACTGCGATACATACAACTATGCTCACTGCAAGCCACCATCTGCAACGGCAACGACATTGTTACCGCGAGCGGACTGATCCATGCTTCCCTTGAGATTGTCCACCACCCGGGGGAGGTCACCGCCAGCGTGCATCGCCGGCACCCCGTTTGCCGGCTGATAGGCACTGGCAGGGGTGGTGGTGTAGTGCCCGTTGCTGGCGCTGTCTATCTCCTTCTCCTGGACCGCTTCAGCAACCTCGCCCGTGTCGCTGGCGTCCACGTAGGCGTCGATGCCCGCGCCTGCCCTGGCGAACTGGGTCATGAGCCCCTTGTGGACCTCGAGGGCTTTGCACATCTCCTCGTGGGTGACGTCGTTGAGGAAGACGCAGTCGCCCATGGGGCTGACGGGGACGGCGGCGCGGAGCTTGCCGTCGCGGGTCCTGAGGATGGCCGAGGTGGCCTTCTCGAGGATGGTTGGGTCGAACTGGGGGTGGTCCATGGAGAGTCCCGCGCGGGAGAAGAGGCGCAGGAGGCGGGCGTGGTCCGGGCTGGAGAGGAGGCCGCGGAGGTGGGCAAGGGTGGCAGAGTAGGCCATGTCGACGGAGATGGCGTGGCCGTGGCGGAGGGGAGGGTCGGGGATCAGCTCGTGGAGGGGGGACCAGCTATCAAAGGTAGGATTAGCGGATGAAGAGGAAAGAAGGGTTTTTGTCTAGTATGAGGACTCACGTGTGGCCGTAGGCAATGATGCGGTCGAGCATGATCTCGTGGAGGTTGGGGGTCTCGAGCTTGAGCATCTCGTGGATGCCGGCGCGGCAGATGCGGTCGGCGGCCTTCCTCAGGTCGTCCGGGGAGCCGTCTGCGCGGCCGAAGCCGGTGGCGATGAGGTCCTCGCAGTGGGCGTCGAGGAGGTCGAAGGTCGTCTTGTCGGCGCAGGAGGAGATCTTGATGAGCTCGGCGAAGCCATTGCGGATCTGGGCGACGGGGAGGGTGCGGAGGAAGGTGAAGTCAAGGAATGTGTGGATGGGGGCATGGTAGGCTCCGAGACGGTTCTTGTAGTTGCCGTAGTTGACGGCGACCTTGATGGACACGGAGGCATCGATGAGGCCGATGACGGTGGTGGGGATGCGGATGAAGTTGGTGTTGCGGCGGTAGGCCGCACATGCAAACCTTGGGCAGTGTTAGTATAAGTATATTATATACATATGAGTGTAGAGGTGAAGTTGTACGCGTTTTCAAACAGGCATCACATATCTTGGTATGTTGACGCAGGAGTGTGCAGATGACCTTGGGGAAGGATCAAACTTACCCAGCAACATCGGTGACGAGGCCACCGCCAAAGACAAGGACAGGCTCCTTGCGGTACACGCCAAACTCGTTCATAGAGTCGACGATACCAAGGAGGGTGTCCATGTTCTTGGCCTTCTCACCAACCTTGGTCTGGTGGACCTTGAGGTCGATGCCGTAGTGGTTAAAGTACCGCTGCATCTGGTCGCCATACAGCTCAAACATGTTCATGTCCATGATGGCGAGGCAGCGCTTCCATCTCTGGTAGCACTCTGCCAGCTGCGGCTTCGCAGGATCCAGGACCCCGTCAAGGAACTCGAAGTCATACTCGATCTTCTCGTACCCGCAGACCGAGAAACCCTTGGAGGTGGGCTCGACGGTTGCCTTCATATAAGACATGATAACGGGTCAAGAGGTGAGAATCGAGAGACAAATTGGGTTGAATGGCCAAAGAAAGGGCACACTCTGGGTTTTTGAAAGTTAGAAAAAGATTTAATCTGGAAGATAGAATGTTGAATGATCGTGCAGAGAGAAGGACTGTTTGTACCAGGACAGGAAAGACTCTTTATACGATTTCAACCTCTCAACCTCACCAATGAACGGATATCAATGCTGTCATTCATTCAATGCACAAGAACTGACTTTGGTCAGCCGTTCTATGCAATATGCGTTCAGCCAAGGACAGCAGCGGGCGGGCACCCGTGCGTGGTTTTCCACATCTCCGTCCTTCGTCTCGACCTGCGAGTGTGGGAGGATTAGGCCGACATGCTTCGGTGAGGTTTCCCAAGCCACGCGCGACCCTACCCACATGGCTACTCTAAAAGTAGAGCGTGAAGTTTCCACAGGAGATACTGGAAGCTTTCCCGGTATACTGTACACGGCCAAGCCGCCCTGGCACACCCAGTTGGGTTGTAGACTCTACGCGAGGAGGGAACTCGGTTGAAATGGCGCAATTCACACATTGGAATCAATGATATTTCCTCCCTTCCCTCGGACCAGTCGATGAAGAGCGTAATGATGCTCACACTTTCCCATAATGCGTCCGGAATTCCGCATTCAGGGCCTTGCAGGGGGAGGGACGGTGTATGATTGGTGTGTGGCACAATATGACAAGTCATGGTGTATTCGATGAGGGGACGATGAAACATGGCCTGCGAATCGAGACACGGTGAGAGGTCGAGAGACAGTGTTTATGCTCGACGCTACGCGGGGCCAGGCGACTGGAAGTGCACAAGCTGTAGTGTCGAGGCGTCATATATGTATGAGCGGGAATGCGGGTTGGGCATACCGAGGATTGGGATGATGGTTTGGCGATTGCCATTCGAGGACCAGGGTTTCCCGCATTTTCCCATGACATGCTTGGCGGGACTGAAGCTTAAAGCACTGGAACGTGGAGATGGAATCGGCCAAGGGAAGGGTGTAGTGTGTGCAAGGCATCACAGGGTGGCATCAGAAGTGCGTGTCAAGGTCCGATCCCGCGCCCGGGTCGGAAGGGAAGGGTCCCTGGATCTCAGCTTATTTTAGAAGCGGGTATCTGAAGGACATTGAAGTATGTAGTATCCGTAGCCTTTGCTAGCATAGCGCCATATAATGTACTGTCTGCCTGCGAGTGAGCAGATGCGGTGGATTGCGGGCGGGGACAGGCAGTGTGCGCGTCATGGGGACAAGCGGAGACTCGGCGAAGCTACATACATGTGTATGTATGTACCTAGCTATGCAGAGAGGAGCACCGGCTTCGGGGGCAGATGCCAATTGTGGAAGAGGCATTGCGGGGGAAGATGGATGCAGATGGGCGGAGAACCACCACAGCTACAGCTACTTCTGTTGATAGGACAGAGGCATCATAGGCTCGGCGAGGATGGATCATGGATGCATTGTGCGTTCTGGTGTGCCCGTGCTACTAATACGTGGTCGAACCACACTCTTGTCTATGTACTGCTAATTCTCTCATCCTCTTGTATCTCGGCCGAAGCCTGTATTTACTTGCTGGATTGGTACTGTTCGTTTGGTCTTGTATACGATCATCCCGGGAAATACTATGGCTGCTACACCCTTTGACTCCGAGCGGGCATACGCTCCTCAGGAAGACGTGTTCTTCGACGATGGTCGCGAGATAGAGCTCCTCCACTTCGTCTACTCACGGCCAAACCTCAGTGAGATCCGCGGCTCACCGCAGCGAGTGCTCGCAGCCATTGATGAGTACGGCCGCACAAAGAAATATCTCATGAATGTGGGCGAGGACAAGGGCAAGATTGTGACCAACTTGATTGCCGAAGTCAAGCCCAAAGTCATGGTACGCTGCACATTACCCTGTCTAATTATTTTCTCAAGACTGACCACATCTCCCAAAGGTTGAGTTGGGCGGCTATGTAGGATATTCAGCCATTCTCTTCGCCGATGCTGTGCGAAAGGCTGGAGGCCAGCACTACTACTGCCTGGAGCGCAATCCCGAGTTTGCGGCCGTGGTCAGCTCCCTCGTCGACCTGGCCGGCCTGGGCGATATCGTCAAGGTCTTTGTCGGCGCCAGCGGAGACTCTCTCCGGAGGTTGAACGCCGAGGGCAAGCTGCCGCAGATTGACCTGCTCTTCTTGGACCACTACAAGCCGGCCTACGTCGTGGACCTCAAGCTCTGCGAGCAGCTCAAGATGGTCGGCCCCGGCTCTGTCCTGGCGGCCGACAACGTCATCAAGCCGGGCAACCCGCCCTACCTCAAGTACGTCCGGAGCTCGGTGGAGGAGAAGCGCCAGGCTGGGGACGAGGCCATCGACACAGGGAGCTTCTTCCCGGAGACGACGGCGAAGCAGTACTTGAAGAGGGAAGGTGAGGAGCAGCTTGATCTGAAGATTGTGGGCGACCCGAATCTTGTGTACAAGAGTGAGATTGTGCATAGCTATGAGCCTACTGGGGTTCCGGTAAGTAGACATGACATTCCCATCCGGTACCCCCTTCCATCTTGTGCCCTATTTCTAATCTTTTCTTGATAGGATGGTGTTGAGATTTCACGCTGCGTCGGGCGAGAGACTTAAATGCAAGGGGGAATGCACCGAGGGTTAGGGCGAGTCCGAGAATGGATTCACCGGTTCTCTTTCGTAGAGCATTTCACCGAATACCATCAGTTAGCAATAGACGAGGCCTGTCCTTCGTCCCACCTGGATACATCATTGATACCTGCACACCCGGCCCAGTTGGCCAAGATAGTGATCTTGTTCTCTTAATTGAGAGTGGATTATGCCGGGACATGAAGCCGGACCTGTTTAGCATTCTTGGCTGGTCGGAAGCTGGAGAAGTAGATAAGATCTCGGGAAAAGGTTATTGTGTAGTGCCTCACTTGAATTTGGACCCTGGAGATCTTCCCGACAGCTGATCTTTCTTCCCAAGATCCGTACGTTTGGGCAAAACATTGCACTTTGGGTGATACTTGAAACGGTAATTTGATCATGGGCGTCTGAAGAGCGGCCACCCCCCCGTTGGATTGGTATAAGCACTGTTTGCTTTTCTAATCCTTGTTCTAGACTTTGCCCGACGCTGCCGGGTTTTAAGCAACTAAGGCGTCTTCAACTAGCGGGAGAGATTAAGTTTAGATGGCATTGGGAAGAGTCCTCGTTGAGTAAGTCAGATCAGTGTCTTTTCAGCAACAGGTCCCGGCTGTTGCTGAACAGGGAACGGAAGAGAATGGATGAGAGACAATCCGCTGGCATTTTTTCAAGAACATCGCCCTTCTCATTGAGCATCGTCTTTCCATAATGCGCCAGCGATTTTTCCATGTATCATGGCGGCTGATGACTCCATTGGCTTTCAACGCCATCATCCACCCGAGACCTGGATATAGGAGAGAGGGATGATCTCTGGGCTTGTCCACTCCGGGTACGAGCTTGTGACCTCAAGAGCCTCTGTCATTGACCTGACACTCAAGTCTTCCAGAGCCAGTACAGGCCCGTGCAGAAAAGGCGAGACGCCCTGTTGGTGCTACCAGGCCCCTTGCCACGGAACAGGACACTCTACGCGCTGTGGAGAGCGACGTGCCGCTCAAGCCCACAGCCCTGTCTGTGCTTCAAGCGCGTCGATGACAACAGCTACAGCACAGATGCCCTCGCTGTTAGGGGTCATGTCCAGGCTTTCGTCGCGTGCGCGTGTTCCGACAACTGCAGTGTCCTCTAACCTGATTCTACGTTGAATAAGCACAGGCTGGAATACACCACAATACTGGCAGGGTCGGATTCTGCAGGCTGTTTTGGTTTCACGTTCATTGCTAAGAGCAGTCAAGCTCACGAAGAGGTGGACAGGCAATGGAGTGTAACCCGCAATTGACTGTTCCGTGGCACGATTGAGTTGGTCGATGAGGACCTGGATGTTATTTTCAGACCTTCGCTTCCAGAACGCGACTCACCGTTCGCCACCAGTCAGTCCACTACGCCCAAAAGAACACTACTGGATTGGTCAAATTGGTGGTACATGTCATTCTTCCTCCGTGCCAAGCCTTCGCGCCCAGGACTTTGGTCCCATGCACGGGCGCTGGCGCACGTGCTTCAAGCATGGGCAATACCGCGCTTGAAGAATTGGATGCTTGGTCTCTTGGTGGTGGTTTCAACATATACTGGACCTTGCGATTCTTGGGAGCTTTACTATGTGGATGTTGGTGTGTTGTGAGCTGCAGCACGTGAGGGTTCTCAAGCATGTCATGATATAGCATCTCTATTGAATCGTAACGTTTGTAATATTCATCAGACCCAGTCCAGCTGCAGCATACCAGCCAGTGGCTGCTGATCTCGTAATTAATTAAGTATACATGTATCGCTCAAGAACAAAGAAAACAAATGAATGGCAATCCGACAGACTAGGCGCACAACAGACGCGCCCCCATCTCCAAATCCATGGTGTCGTCGGACCGCTGTGCTTTGACACCCCAGATGACCTTGCCCGTGCCGTCTACGGCGAAGACTCCCGCCTCCTGCCACTTGCTTCCCATGACCAGGACCTCGTCGCTCTCGTCGTCGTAGCGGGAATCGGCGGCTCTCTTGTACATGGTAGAGGCAACCTTGCTGCCCAGCCAGCCCTTGTGTTTCCAGCTCTGCACCTGAGCGGCAGGGTGGAACATGTACATGTAGTCTCCGAGGCCGAGCCCCCAGGCGGAGTAGAGAGCTCGATCCTCATCAATGACAATGTCGACCAGCCATCGGCCTCCCATCAGGTCTATCCACCTCTCAGTTGCCTCTCTGGAGGAATGAGAGACGGCCACGCAGCGGATTGTGCCGACGCTTCTATTTGCGAGTTCTCGAAGGTTTTGGAAAGTTTTCCTCGCGACTATGCATCATTTGTCAGTTTATTCTCGTTCTTTTGATATGATTCCTCATGCAAGGAAGGGGCAGGGGACCTACAGGCACAGCCAACACAGCGCAGAAACACAACGAGAGTCTTCCTCCCGCCACCGAGTCTCAATTTCCGCATGGGATCCTTTGGTGCTGGTTCCCCGATGGTCGGCAGCGGGCGAATCTGGTAGGAAGCTGGTGCGGTGAGCCACGGCTGCATGGTCAGCGGCACGTCCAGCCAGTGGTGCGTTTTCTTTCCTCGCTTCTTCTTCAGCTTGGCCTTGGCCTCCTCTTCCTCCTGCTGCTTCTTCTGCTGTTCCCGCAGCGCTTGGTTCTCCTGCTGCCGGCGTCTCTTCTCCGAGAAGTCTTGCCTCAGGCGGCCGTCCTTGTCTCGGACCAGGTACCGCTCGTCGGCCTTTTCCCTCCGGTTGAACTCATCTTCATTCGTCTCGCGTTTGTTGAAGAGTTTGAGCTTCTGTTGGGAGAAGTCGAACCTGTCCTTCTTGTATAGCTTCTTCTCGTCGAAGAACTCGAGCTGCTTCCGGCGGGAGCGCTTGGTCTCGAAGTTGAGGATGGACTTATTGTTGTTGTTCTTCTCGAGGAAGTCGAGGCTGTTTGAGGAGAGACCAGCTTTCTTCAGGGCGATCTTGGTGGTGACCTTGGTGGCGAGCCTCGTACCAATGTCGGACAGCATTTTTACGGCTATGCTTTGCCTAATTAAGTAGTAGTAAGTAGAAGGGAAATCAGTCTGAATGTTTGAGAATAGGAAATGGCAGTCAAAAGCAAGGGACGAAGGTTAGTCGATCGGCCAGCGATCGAAACACGAAATGGTCTGGGAATAAACGTTTCAATTGAAAGAGAGTAATGCTAACATGAAACGACAATGGGCGAGAGATAATATATGGCCAGCCGGCTGCGTAAGCCCAGCAGGCGGCAGGTATTGCTGCACCGTCCAGAGACGGAGAGTAATCGTGAAGCTCAGCATCGTTGCATCACGGAGGCAGGCCGCCCCAGTATTTTTAGTGCTGGGTGCAGAGGTTGGTGGTGCTGATTGGCTACCTACCCAGTAAATCACGCCGGTTGGTGCGCTGCCTGTGCGCCGACTTAGCGCTGCTTGTGGCATGACCAACGCCACCCGCCAGTTGGGAGTTCGATGATAATGAAATCCAATGCCACCTTCACCACAATCCGGTATGGTGTAGTGGCTAACATCGCTCGCTCTCACCGAGCAGCCCTGGGTTCGATTCCCAGTACCGGAGTTTGTTTTCTTTTTGCTGCTCTTCATGCTGATTATAATCAGTGAGCACAAACTTGGCTGATCTTTTTCCTTTTTTAGTTGAGGGCTCGTATGAGCTCTACAGTGTTCGAGTGTGTGGCATGTACAAAATTTAGTGGCTTGGGGTTTGAAACAACGCGCATTCCAATGCGAAAGCCAGTTCCAAGACATACACAAAACAACATTACACCGCTCATAGGGCTGTTCGCAATTTTGCTAGCTGCTTAGGTAGCTACAGGAGGCAAGTGTCGGCGGGGATTCCCTCCCACGCGAAAAATTGCCCAAAAAGAGCGAAGCGCGAGTGTGCTGAATTAGAGCCGCGAGGGTCACGTAATCTAGCATTAGCAAGCCTCTCGGTGCATGGTGGGATTTTGATGAAAGTGATGAATCAGTCTAGTTGTCTCACGCAATGTGCGTGTCACAAGATAACTACCGTTACAGTAGCAGCGCAGCAACAGCATCCCTCTTTGTTAGTGATTAGCAGGCGGAGCGAGCAGAAGGAGCAAGTGGAAGGGTGATGATGCAATATTTCCGCTTTTCCAGGGTCTGCAACCCCTACAGCAGGCACAGCACATGCGGTTTGGCGCCATGCACAGCGATGCCGTTAAGCGGCAGCTTGCTGAAGTACGCATCTGTTTCGTTTCACCTCTCCCGCTCTGTAGCAGAGAGACCTCCTTCCCCTTTTAATAAGTAAGGAGCCGTTTCGGGGACGAGTGGGATGGGCCTAATTTCGCGGCCACCTGCTGTAAGCATGCCTGCCCCAGCACGCCAAAGCAGATGCGGCGCGGGAGTGCACGGCAGATCGGATCTAAGACTCGCCCTTCAAAACGATCCGTATATCCACCTCCGAGGCTAGAGACAGACAGCCATCCTGTTCTCCTGATCTCGCATCTCCATCCACAGCATTCGAGATCCCCAATATCCACACATCACGCTATGGACGACGAAAAGAGACCGGTTGATTCACTTCCAAGTGGCACAGAATCCAGCCAGGACTCCCCTGACCTGGAAGGCCACCATGTGCTCGGGCAGGAGATCTCCCACGTCGAATCTGTCTGGGTGGCAGATGGGCTCCCTCTCATGCGCGAGGCGGCCATGGTCTTTGTAGTCTGCATGGCCCAGTTCACAACCCGTAAGTGAAACCCTGACTACTCCTTGCGGATATCGAACTTTGTCTGACTTTGGCACCATTTGCCCTGGGTTCAGAGTCCGCATTTCTGGCAACACTGGTTTTGCTTCGCGAAATCGGCAGCAGCTTTGGGGTCGAGGACCCGCCCAGCCTTGCGTGGTTGGTAGCTGGCTTCTCCCTCACTATTGGAACCTTCATCTTGTTCTCCGGCCGGCTGGGAGATGTCTTTGGCTACAAGCGAATGCTCCTCATCGGATTTGGCTGGTTCTCCATCTGGTCGATAGTAGCGGGCCTGAGCGTATACTCGAACTACAAACTGGCCGTAGTCGCCCGCGTTTTCCAGGGAATCGGCCCCGCCATCACCCTGCCCAATGGTGTTGCCATCTTCGGTGCATCCTACCCGCCCGGCCACCGTAAAGCCATGGTCTTCGCCTTCTTCGGAGCCGTCGCCCCCATCGGAGCTATCTTTGGAGGCTTGTTCGGGTCCCTGCTGAGCCTCGTCTGGTGGCCCTGGGCCCAATGGGTTCTGGCCATCTGGCTCTTGGTCCTCCTGGTTCTCGGCCATTTCGTTGTTCCTGAGATCCCACGCAAGCACTCGCTCCCCACCGGATGGAAAGACTGGGTGGTCTCGCTGGACCTTCCAGGAGCCGTCGTTGGAGTGGCCGCGCTTATTCTCTTCAACTTCGCGTGGACCCAGGCACCAATCAGCGGCTGGGTCACACCCACCGCGCTTGTGCCCCTCATCCTTGGTCTTGTGCTCTTCGCCGTCTTTGGTTACATCGAGTTCCGGCTGAGTCCCCAGCCGCTGCTTCCATTCGATGCCGTCACTGTTGACACAGCGTTTGTGCTGGCCGCTCTGGTCTGTGGCTGGGCCACCTTTGGCATCTGGACGCTGTACCTTGTCCAGATTCTCCAGGATATTCGCGGTCTTTCGCCGCTTCTGACTATCGGATGGATGTCCCCCGTCACCATTGTTGGCGCCTTGGCTGCAGTTGTGACGGGCAAATTACTTGGACCCTGGCAGGTCCGGCCGTCAGTGGTTATGACCATGGCTCTTACAGCATTTACAATTGGTGTGATTCTCACCGCCACGGCGCCCACAGACCAGATATACTGGGGCCAGATCTTCTTTGCGATTCTGGTGATGCCGTTTGGCATGGATATGAGTTTCCCCGCGGCCACACTGATTCTATCCAACATCGTCGCAAAACACCACCAAGGCGTTGGCGCGAGTCTGGTCAACACGGTCGTCAACTACGGCATCGCGTTGGGTGTGGGATTCGCTGGTACCGTTGAGGTCCATGTCCACGGCACGGCTTCAACGCCGGAAGAAAAGCTGAGAGGGTACCGGGGAGGCCTCTGGATGGGTGTTGGGCTCGCTGGTGCGGGAATGATGATTTGCATTGTTTTTGTTCTGAGGGACTTCTTGATTAAGCGGAAAAATTGAAGGGTAAAATGGGAATACCACCCGATCACGTACGGGTGATCATGATGTATAGATTTGGGATACTATAGAAACGGGCTATCAAAAGGAATGATTTACATACAATTTTTATTTTCATGATTTGGCATCGTACTTCACAACCTTGACCCTGATATCCTCTCCATCCAGTCAAGAAACAAACAATCCACTACATCGACATGCCACCTTGGCCCATCGCCAAAACATATTGTGTTGTCAAAGAGCCTGCATTGAATGTTCTCGAGCAAGGCACGCAGGGTAGGATCACCCTCCCCCCTCGCAGCCTCTTCTAGAAGCCGGAACGCGGCAGGGTCGTCGATTCTTCGTCTCAAATGCTCTTCAATGGCCACACTGGGCAGCCACACGTCCGGATTTTTGCCTCTCTCCAAGTAGTCCCTTTTTATCCGCTCGCAAATGACCATGCCCAGGTCGGGTTCGCCTGCGGCTGCATTTTTCGGGCTGATGGACCCGGTGTTCTTGAATTCGAGCCTTGCTTGCGCCATGGCCTTGACGAAACTCAGGTTGACTTCCTGCGTGACCTTGCAGTGGTCTACCGCCTTTGACATCAGATCCGACAGCCGCGGGTGGACGTGGCGTCCGGTGCACCCGCTCTGGCTGTGCTCCATGACCGACCAGAAGAGGCGGCCGGCAAAGGTGTCGGCGCCGGAGCCTAGGTAGGGTATGATGTCTTCTGGGGGGAGGGATACTCTCATGTAGTGGGTGGGATCAACCCACATGCCGCAGTCCAGGCGGCTGGGGGTGGACGGGGGGGCGATCTCCTGGTACCGGTTCTGTACCGTGCCCCTCGTCGCAAGGTCAAAAACGACATCCTCTTTAAGAATTTCTGAATGGTTCGATTCGTCCTTCTCTGAGTCTGTTGGGGTCTGTTGCTGGTGCTGAAGGGGCACTTTGGTGTCAAGCCCGGCGGCGTCAGCGAGGAAATTGATCGCGGCGAGGACCTCAGGGCGCTCTTCACCCGTGGCGACGCTGACTAGCCTCTCAATGCCCTGTATCAGCTGAAGATTCCGGTCCTCCAATTCATTGGATAACTTGGCTTTGCGTTGGCGGAATGCGGCTTGCGCTCGCCGACCACGTTCTCGGCGGCGCTGGAGATGAACTGGGTCAGTAGGACGGAGTAAATGAACAGGGGGAGTTGGATCGGTACCTCAAGTTCAGCCTCTGCGCTTCCCATTTTGTGCCCCTGCAGCAGTATCAATCCCTGAAATGGTGATCGAGGTGATGGTATGTGATGTTACGTGATGTTAGCTGATGAGAAAAAAGAGTGAGCAGGCGATTGCCCCGGGCGAGTGAGCGAATGCTGGAGGTTTTAGTGGGACGGTCGGGGCCATTATTCGGCCGGCAGTCACGTAACCGCCGGACTCGAGCCAACCCACGAAGAGGTGCACCCAGTTACGTGATATGAGCAACTCGAGTTGAACTGAACCTCTGGCTTTCTAATTACAGATTACAAAGCGACATGTTGATTTATAACGGAAAGAAATACTGATGGTATAAAAAGGATATTTATTATCAAGTGTGGCCTGCCATTCACCATTCCGAACAATCCAACGCAGATTGATAACATTGATAAAACAGCAACGCCTACAACAACCACTACCGCAAACATGGTCAAAATCGCTCTTGCTCCGGCGACAAGCCGTGAGTTTGATCTGAGTCATTCGAGCGCTATTGGATGTATTTCTAATTTTATTTCACTCTAGAGCTCTCCAAGGAAATTCTCGACTCGCTCGTGGCTACAGGAAAGCACGAGATCATTGGGCTGGTCCGCAAGGTAAATCTGGCTGACACCGGCAACAAGAAGCATAAAAATTGACACGGAAACTATAGGATCCCAGCACCCTCCCACAATTCCCGGGAGTCACCTGGGTCCAGACAGACTTCCAGGACGAGGCTGAGCTGGTTAAAATTCTCACCGGCGTCCACACAGTGTTGTGCTTCGTTGCTGTCCACTTGGATCCAGGAAACGAGTCACAGAAAAGACTCATTGATGCTTCCATCAAGGCTGGGGTGAGCCGCTTTGCACCATCTGAGTGGTCTAGGTAAGAGAATGCAGGACCTCTGTCCATCTGCTTTGTGGACTATCCGCTGACCCGATACAGTGGAGTGAAACTAGAAAGCTTCCCTGACACGTTGTCTTGGTACGCTGGAAAGCTTGAGGTGAAGAATTACCTGGAATCCATCAACAAGGATAAGAAGGTAAGTTTCAGCCTTGTGACCTTTTGGTAACATGGCCACTGTAAAAATGCTGACAGTGACAAGGTGATTGAATTTTGCAGGTTCCAGCCGGGAGGATTCTTGAACTATCTTGCGCACCCTCACAGTATCTCTAAGCATATCACCACAATACCTCTCACCATTAATATCGAGAAGAGGCACGCACTGCTTGAAGAGGGCTCTCTGGACGCCCATATGTCTTTTACGACCACAAAGGATATTGCCAATGTGGTGGCCCGTGCCGTGGAGTATGAAGGTGAATGGCCCAGGGTTGGAGGCATCCAAGGAAACCGACACACTCTACGAGAGCTTGTGGAGATTGGTGAGAAGGTTCGAGGTGAGTTCTCATCCATTCCTGCTAGAGTGATCATTGCCTCTCTTTGACTGAACACTGACTCCATGTCCACAGGCACGCCGTTTACCAAGGAATGGCTGAAGTCAGAAGATCTGGATGCTGGCTTGCTGAAAACGGAGAACTACACCCGCCTAGATCTCCCATCAACTCCTCCAGACCAGATCGACGCATTTTCCAAGGTGGCAGCGATTGGAGTCCTGAGAGCCATCAGCCGTGGCGTCTGGGATGTTTCAGACGAATGGAACAAAATTTTTCCCGACTATGAATTCGCCAAGACGGATGAAATTCTCCAGGGACTCTGGAAGGGACAGTAGATTGGCAGTGTTGGTTATCTGAAGCCATATTTAAACGTTCATTATTGTGTGTGAACTCATATTCATTATTATGTGTGAACCCATTTCACTATTGTGTGTGAACTCGTATTCATTATTGTGTGTGAACTCATATTCGTTGTTCAATGTTAGAACATCAAACTACCGGTCAGCCTATTTCTTCACTGCACTTGTGTTCATGTAACAGAAGCTCTTCCGAAGTGACAGTCAAACACCATTCACTTTTCGTTGAATATTGAGACGACTGTCCACAAGACTGAGACCCTGAACAAACACACTCGAGGTCTTAGACCTGTCCTCCTGTCACGTCTCAAAACATCGGTGTTTCGACTAGGCTATTGTTACATGATTGTAGGAGGTCTTAATCAGTGATTCACATCCAATTATATAAGCTCGCCAAAATATTCCTAGTTTGCGCCGCTTCATTCCCTCCCTTCCGAGAGTCTTCTCTCATACAATGTATCTTCTTCGCAATCCAAATGCCAAACGGATAGGAAACTAGATTGTATCAGTTAATACCTCCGCGAGATACTTAGTCAGGATTCTGTGATGGAACCTATTCATGACCCTGCAGCTGAAACCTGCCCTAGCAACCACCAGAACATCCTCATCCAGCTTGGGACGAAAGGGAAACTTAACGAGGGTTCTCCTGAAGAATCTAATGAGTCTCCTCTCTCTTCTCCATCTATTGACTCTGATCAGCAAACCTACCCTGAAGGTGGCCTGCAAGCATGGCTAGTGGTTTTCGGCGCATTCTGTGCCCTCGGTGCCGTCTTTGGCATCATCAACACAAGTGCCGTTTTCGAGTCACATCTCAAGGAACACCAGCTTAGTGAATATGGCGAATCCCAGATCGGGTGGATATTTAGCCTATATCTCTTCCTGGTGTTCTTCATTGGGATCCAGGTCGGACCTATCTTCGACACTTACGGACCACGCCTCCTTGTGCTCACAGGGAGCCTGCTAATGGTGGCAAGCTTGATGTTCCTGAGCATCTCGACAGGTTGGGATTAATTCAAGTTTAACGTCTGTTTCGGAACCGGGCTGACTCTTGAGCACACAGAATACTATCAAATTATCATGACCTACTCTGTCATGGGCGGCATTGGTGGAGCACTCCTCTACTGCCCGGCGTACGGCGCAATAGCTCATTTCTTCAATGCTAAACGAGGCCTCGCAACTGGCATTGCGACGACCGCTGGGGGAATTGGGGGCATCGTATTTCCCCTTATGCTTCAACCCCTCCTGGGAAAGGACGGAGTTGGCTTCGCCTGGAGCTGTCGCATCCTTGGCTTTGTCATCCTATTTCTCTGCGTCATCGCTAACCTTTTCATCCGAAGCCGTCTCAGTTCTGAACGCAGACCAAGAAAATGCTCCGTCTGGCCGGATTTCAGTATCCTTCGCCACAGAGGGTTTGCCTGCGCAGCTGTCGGAGTGTTCTTTACAGAATGGGGACTGTTCGTGCCTCTGACCTACATCATCTCCTATGCCCAGAGCCATGGAAACGGAGGCATAGAGAGCTCCATCTTGCTTGCATCTCTTAATGCTGGTTCGGTTCTGGGGCGCTTTCTCCCAGGACTTCTGGCTGATTACGTCGGCCGGTTCAACGTTATAATCGGTACCCTTTCACTATGTGTCATCACCCTTCTGGGTATGTGGCTTCCGGCTGGTAACTCCAAGTCATTGCTTTTCGCATTCTGTACACTATTCGGGTTCGCAAGTGGAAGTAATCTGGGCCTAATACCTGTATGCATTGGTCAGTTTTGCGACTGTCGTAATTATGGGCGGTATATCACAGTAGCAAACATGATTGCTAGTTTTGGCACGCTGACGAGTGTTCCAATTGGAGGGGCTATGCTTGGCTTGGGTGGGAGCACGGGTTGGACGGGGCTTATCCTCTTCTCGGCTATTGCGTATGTGATGGCACTGTCTTGCTTTGTCTGCGCTAGGGTTTCTTCGACTGGATGGAAGTTATGGAAGAGATTCTGAAGGATTTAAAAAACGGAGAAACAAAGGAAGGATCTTCATGTTTTTATTTGCCCCTAAACCGGCCTCTCTAATCACAGTCAGCTGCGGATTCTCCGTGTGGTATAGATTCCTTAGCTCAAGTCCTTCATTAACCTGCGACAACTCATTGAATGGATTTTCCTCCAGACTTCTGTCAGGTAGCAACTATATTTACGCTGTTGTATTAAAATTGACCAGACTAGTTACCCTTAAGTGAAGAAGTTTACTGTATTCAGCTGTTGATCATGTTCAGAATGGGACTCATGAGCTTGTATTGAGGCTGACGTGACTATTTCTGCCATTTATTCGCCCCTTCTTTGGGTTTCGTGTTGCAGTCTGCAGCGGTAGTGTATTCATGTTGTGCTTCTTACGCGATCTTCCATTCGAAAGCCTCTAATTCTTACTGTAGGAAGTCCCAGACTGCTGTTGCATGAACTTTTGTTACATGCTGAAATTCTCTGACGGAAGCTGATTCATTGACGGCAGCCACTTTCTCTGGTTAGCTTCTAACTATTCGGGAAAGGGGGAAGGATGTGAGGGGTTGGTTGTTGTAACAACTTGGATGAGACTTACTACTGAATGGACTGCAACCGTATACAAAAGCAGGTACGCCGGCGTATCGATAGTGCTTGCAATCGGTAGCCCCCATAGATGGTATGGCTGTAGTACGATCCCCAGGTTCTAAAGAGTCTGCATTCTTGGCTAAAAGTCGAACCATGGGATGACTTAGATGCGAGTAACTGGGTCGATTGCTTGCAGCCTCTTGTACTTTGATCTCAATTGTGGCATTTTCATGCTGGCGAACGATGGAATCGGTCACTGCCAGTACATCCGCTGCAACAAGCCCAATAGGTAGGCGGATGTCAAGTTCAAAGAGGCAAGTGTCTGGGATCATATTGACCTTCAGCCCGCCCCCGATCGTACCTATATTGACAGTTGGACGGGCAATGATAGTCGATGTATCCTTACCCATTACCTTGTTGACGACAGCCAAGACCTGTGGGTTGGCCATGTGAGCAGCTATTTCTGAAGGCATCTCAAAGTCCATCGACTCGACTTGGTCTATAACCTTGGACAAAAAGCCCACAGCCTCGCGGATAGCCCCTTTACTACTTCATCTTAGTATGATTTCATCTAGAAGAATTTGACACATGGGTAGTGGAGAAAGACGGAGAAGATGGAAATAGGGATAATCCAAAGCACAAACCTCAAGTTCAAATATGCTCCGTGGGCGCCCTTGGTTCGGACTGAGCCTGATAATCTCAAGGTACCTTTTTCAGAGAACCGTATCGTCTTTCCAGATGGCTCTGCACTAAGCATAAGATCACCCTTACATATCTCTGGGTAATTTTCTATGAGGTACTTGGTACCCCATCTCCCACCGGTCTCTTCGTCCGATACGGCGCAGAACGTAACGCTTCCCTTGAGATGCTCCCTTCTCGCATACAGGTGGGCAAATGCAATTATCAGAGAAGCAGTGCCGGACTTCATGTCCACAACGCCTCTGCCGTAGATACGATCGCCCTCGATATCACCAGACCAAGGGTCTTTGGTCCAGCCGGCGTCAGGGTCTCCCACCGGGAAAACGTCAATATGCCCATTGAGCACGACGCGCGGCCCGTCACCTCTACTGCCTTGAAACTCGGCAACAAGATTTGGCTTGCCCGACTGGGGTGTGACAAATGCAAAAGGGATATTTTTGGTGGAAAGGTATTCGCCCAGGACGGTGGCAGCGACCTCGGTATCGCCAGGGGGGTTGGGTGATGCAGCTTGTATGAATCGCTGTAGCAATTGAGTCTGGCTATCTTTATCAGACTCAATCGCTTCGGCTAAGAAGGATTTGGCACTCATCGTGGGTTATGCTTCGTGATCTAGACGCCATGTATGAGGAAACCAAGGGGCGATTTGACGACCAGATGGGAGTTGATAATGACTTCTTGAGATACTTTACCCCACCCCTCCTTGAATCAAAAGAAGTAAATTCTGCGACGATGACCAGTCCGACAGTATGAAAAAAAGTAGGGTCCGAATATGATTGGTGTGTCGTAGTTAGTATGACAGCTAAACTATCCTTTCGTTAAATTCACTGAGTGACTCACACCGACGATGGCATCATATGCATTGTGCCGCCGACTACGGCAAGTGGGTGAAATAAAACGTGGCATACCAAAGCTCTTTCCTCGTGAGACAGGGACCTCGTTTTTTAACTAAACACAATAAGAAGAGAATAATAAGAGAATAATAAACTATTCTATAATATTTAGCTTAATACTATGTTCAGTACTAGGTTATTTATTATGATATTGTGTTGAATTTCAGTGCTGAACTATCTCGATGTGCCATGTTTTATTTCACCCACTTGTACAGGCCCCTTTTTATCCTGAACCGAATCATGTTGTAATTTGAGATGTCGCACGAAGTTGATATGATTGCGCAATAACCCTATCCCTGTTCTGCCTGTTGGAATCTCATGTTTTCTATTCAGTTCCTCTATAAGCGGTAGCTAACAACTCTAAGATAAATCTGTCATGCCCATGAGTTATTGCTCCCCTACCAACCTTTGTAGGCCTTCTCCACAGATGGGCGTGCCACGAGACGTTGCTGCCAGGCGACATAATTCGGGTACTTCTTCTCAACCTCGTATTTATCCCAAACGTTGGCCTTGAGTATCGGGTGGCCCTCAACCACCCTGTTCCAAGGGATAAAGGCCAGATCGGCATATGTACTACAAGGACAGTTTCGTTAGCATTAGATGCCCATCCATCAAATTATGAAGGTACTTCATATTCTTTTCAACTTACAACTTATCGCCAACAAGATACTCTTTGCCTTTCAGGATGTTGTCGAGCACCTCCACCACGCGGACAATCTGCTCGTTGTAGCGCTGCTTGGCGACGGGGATATCTTCATGTGTATGGAACCACATTGCCTGCCCATAGTAGGGGCCCTGTGAATTGAATTGAGAACCTGTTAGTTTCGGGCTACTATGTGCATTACTCTGGGGTAGAGCATGATTCACATACCTGACCCGACATTTGAAAGTGGAGGTACTGCTTGAGCTGCCATTTGCTCGCGACATCGCTCACTGTGAGCTTGCCTTGCTTGTCATATGTCTCAACCAGGTACTCGACAATGGCCCCGGATTCCCAGAGCGTGATATTCGTGTTGGGGTCAACAATGGCAGGCACCCGCCCATTGGGATTGATGGCGGCAAACCATTCCTCCTTTGGATCTTTCACCACAATGGTCTTGTATGGGACAGAGAGCTCCTCAGCGGCAATGACGACTTTGTATGGGTTCGGTCCAGCCTCTAGGACAGGGGGGTCAGTCCCAATTGATCGACTGATATGTAAGGAAGAGGGGATTTACCGTGGACATAGACTGTGATGGGCTGCAACTCGGACATGTTTGGATTCTAGGACAAGGTTTGGGTTGCTGTTGCAGAATCAAATGGGACGTTAAATTACCTTCCTTCAATTCCTTTTATATACCAGGGGAGAATTGTCTCGGCTGGAACCATGGATCTTGTTGGATCTGTAATCCTTCTCTAGCGTCGCTCTTTCGGTGGCCGAATCTGAGCGGCGCAGCATCCACCTGCCATTGCAAGCTACTTTACCGAATGTGGAACAGAGGGAATAATACGACGTAGTATTACTGTGATGAGTTGTGACCTGAAGGAAGCAGGACGAAGCCAGTCTACGGTGGTCAAGCGGAGCACATTGAAGATCGCGGGGCCACAGCCAATGGAATTGAGACAGCTACAAGCTATTACCTGCAATAGCTGGCGGGCACTTCTCGGTCCCGGACAGGGCGAGTTATGCAAAGAAGAGGGTGTTTCGTTGGGGAAAACACGCTATTACGACTTGCCGTTGCAGTCGCGTCAATGCGGCCTGTTCCATTTCCCAATTGGAGCCGTAGCTACTACACCACTTATCTTCTCCAGGAGGCAATATGGCTGGATAATCGGCACGAAAAATCGAGTTTGGTTTACGCCTCATGCAACTGTTGCATGATAGTCTCACGCCAGCAGGCCGCTAAATAATCCCCCAGGGCCTCGATTCCTTCCCGCCTGTATTATATAACATCATCGCTCGCTGCTAATTTGCAATTGAACTCGTTGGTATTCATCATAGTATCCTTGTCCCTGTCAAGACACTGCTACTCACGTCATACCAAAGACGTCGCCCTGTAACAATCACCTTGCAACCTTCATCGGCTAATCGTCTGTGATCATGCTCAAAAGCCTCATCGGGTTTGGCCTCATCACGGCTGCTTCCGCCAAATACCCCGAGAATCCAGGATGTGGCGAGATTAATGTCCTATACACGTGCGTCCCAAGTCAAGATATTGCCCCCCGATCTCTTAAATCATCCGAAGCTAAATAGTATACGGTCTCAGCGGGCTCCCTGCATACCACCCATATGTGGTTGAACAGGGCTGGGACCCAAGTATGGTAGATGCAAGTATTCGCAGTGATACACAGAACCTAATCAACGCGGGTTACAACACTCGCAGTACGTGGAATATGAATCCCCCCCCCATTTCAGAAAGGAGCCTGCTAATAAACCTGGTAGTTGTTCTCATGGGTCCTGAGGAGGACATTAGCCAAATGGAGGCCCGATTCAAGGACGTGGAGTTTCATGTCACAGGAATCGGATACGGCATGCGGCCTTCCAAGATCCCCGAGGTCATCACTCGCTTCGAGGGTGAGCATATGTGTTCGGATACCACGCGAAGGTTTCTCGAGATTGCTGACCGGTGCAGACAACGTCTTTCTCTTCAATCAACTAGTCCCTGACACACCCACGGTTTACAACTACAACCCGAACACGTTTCTGTGGTCTGTTGAGCGCCGCTTCCCTATCAAGGAGGATTGCTCAAAGAAGCCCGGCAAGGACCTGGTAAGGAATCCGAGCTTTCATCTCCACTGAGTTCACTGCTGGGCGTACTGTATTAACACTTTTATGCCAGGGATACGAAGAAATCTGCGATGAGAGGTGTGAGCTGACCAAGACCTCCTGGAACCTGCGAAAAGCAGCCCTGAACAAGGACAAGGATAATGCTCTCTACAATCAGGCAGTCGAAATGAACCAGCTGTTTGGGAAGATATAAGCGTGACATCACATCAGACGGTTGCAACGCCCGACTGTGGAAATTTGCATCTAAAACGAGCATTCTGAAGGATATTTTATGAGCGTCAAAGATTTATTATGGAATATTACTTTTATGAAACTACAAGAGAACTGAAGTGAATCTTGAAGAACCGGGCGCTGCTGCTCATAGCGGGCGCTGCAGCTTCCATCTCATGACCCGATTAAAAAGCCCCCAATTACCGAAGCAAGGCAGGCCTGTGTGGCGTTTATTCGCATGTTGTAACCTTGTACTCGACCGTTGAATTGCCCGTTCCGGGGATCTTGGGCTTGAAGTCGATGTAAACCAGCTGGTTGCGGGCATTGGTCAGCGTCTGGTCAATGGATGCAGTAGAAGGGGGTGTTAATGCGCGATTACCTCTCCCTTCTTGGGCTTCCAGTCTCCATCAGTGTCCGAATAGTGCACAATCTCGTTTGATCCGGCATCACGGACTTCGGCCGTGGTGTGCGTGAGTGCCCCCTCGGTGCTCCATTTGAAGTGGTAGCAGGTGGACTTGGTGACGAGAAAAGGATCGGAACATCGGCGGTTGCCGTCGGCATCGATGCATTTCTCAACGGCGAAGTCTAGGACCTTGCCCTCGCTCACGGTCGAAGCTGCCACGCATGGGTTAGCATAGAGTCTGGTGGTGCTGGATTGAAGGGCTTGGAGTCGTACGGCTGGTCAATGTGCCAGTCAGCGCCAAGCCGGCAGTCAACACGCTCTGAGCAGTGGGGATATACATGGTCGTTTGGTGTGGTGGTTCGAAGGTGTAGAATCAATTTTAGTGAAATGTGATATTCAGGAACAAAAGATTGAGGTAAAACAAAGACAAATCCTGGGGTAGGGGATGGATGTTTTGTACCTATGTTTTGGCCAAATTGATGCACACGTCATAGATCGCGGCATACTAACGTCATCCGGCGCTCAGGCCAAACCCAATGTCCGCCCTTCGTCAAGAATTCCCGTCTTCACATTAACTCTAGTTCCGAAATTATTTACTTACTTCGGTGCGTTTATGGGAGTCGTGGTGAATTCATGCAGACAGCGAAAGAACAGCAGTAGTCCAGGAGCGGCGCGTGATCCATCCATCTTATACCTTACTGTAGTGCCCCCGTCCAAGAAAGCTGATATGGCGCACGCATTACAAGCCCTCGTAATGCACTCCCGACAATAGAGGAAATTTGTGAAAGGCACTAATTAATGTAAAAATTAAACGAGAAAGACATGATTGGGAAAATAATCGTGGTTGTTGATAGAGCGCTCGGTTTTGTTTGATCTCAATCAATGTGGGCTACCCTACACGCCAACAGATCTCTGCTTTCCGTATGAAGCTGCGGGTTGTGATATTTTAGACGAAATAAGATTTGAAAGCTAGTGTTCGTTGGTGAATATTTCACACCGAATAAGATGTCAAGGGGGACAATACGTCCGACAATACGTCCAAAATAAATAAGACACAATATAAATGCGCGTCAACGAACAGAGAGTCGAAGAAAAAGAGAGCCAAACTCAAAATGATGATCACAATCGCAATCGCAACTCAAACCAAAGCTACAACAACCGTAGTTGAATACATGAATGTTGAAACACAAGGAGATTAGCGAGGGAAGATAAATGAAGGGAAGTTGATAGTTACAAAGAACGAAGATGAGGGGTGAGTAGAGAGCGACTGGTCTGTACTTCCCCGACGAAATCGGCATTCACCCTACGCTGTCATTGACTTAATAAGCTTCTCGGCATCTGCGAATTCCAGTTCCTTCAATGTCTCATCCCAGAGTCTTTCCTCACTTGCCTTGCCCTCAGAGGTGTACATCAAGGGGTTGAAACTAAACTCATTGATTAGAAGACATTTATACTGAGCTTTGAATCGAGTAAAACTTACGGGCATAACTCCGAGTTCATGAGATATCCGCCATGGCTCTCCGGGCCTTTAACCGCAACTGCATCCAAGTAAAGCCATGCAGCCTGCTCTGGCGTTCGCGCGGTCAGCGTTTTGAGTGTACTGAACATTACACTTAGGCCTCCAGAGAAACTGCGATGGAGATCGGAACCACTGGTATAGCCAGGATCCACAGTGTTGATGATCACATCTTCTGGGCGCACCAATTCGCTGAGTTTATCCGTGAGCATGACAACAAGCATCTTCGATACCGCATAGCGATTATAATAATTGCCATAGTACTCCTGGTTATCAAATGATGGGAGGAGTGGAACCGCGCCCTGGCTAGGGAATGTGGTGTTGATAGCAACGTTTGAGGAAGCGATCATGAGGCGACCAGGATGCCCCGTGGAGCTTTTGGCTTTCAGGAGCGGGAGAAACAGTATCGCAAGCAGCGCAGTTGAGAGATAGTTGACTTGGAGGGTCTCCTCGTGGCCAGTGGGACTCATTTTCCATTGAGAGTTGAATACCGCCGCGTTAAGAATAACGATGTCAAGACTGGATAGGGCGGAAGCACTTCGAGAAGCAAAGTCTTGAATGGACTTGTAGGAGTTCATATCCAGGGGCCAAACGTCGATCACGGCTTTGGGATGAGACTTTCGGAGTATGGAAGCTTCACTCTCCGCTTTAGCCGTACTTCGTACCCCCATGACTAGGTGAGAGAGGCCGCGCTTCAACATCTGGCGGCAGGTTTCAAGACCGATCCCCACATTGCTGCCAGTGATGATGGCTGTTTGACCTGCAAAGGAAACGGAAGCATGGGGTGGCTTGCTTTTGGTCAAAATCTGGGCCTTGACAAAAACACCTAGATCGGAGTATTTTCGAGGTTGAAGTGCTCTCGACGCCATTTTAGGACGGTAAGATCTGATAGAGAAAGGGTGTTGATTTGTCGTTTTGTTCTTTTCCTCCCTGTTCTGGACGATGAGAGATCATGGAGAGAAGGTTTTGAGCCGAGCTCTCAGAATTTATAGATTCTTTCATCCCCAAACCAAAATTGACTCCGTTCGTCCCATCTATCCCAATATGTTCAACAATGTGGTTTTGCTTTTCCTCGACAATATGGTCATTCCCTGAAGTCCCGGAGCCTGCCCAAAACAGGGGAACAATATGGCTTACCCTGGGCAAAACTCCTGGCCATTTGAGATATGACGACTCCGCCAAGCTGCTTCCTAGCGTCATGGAACCGAAAGAGGAAATCAATCTGGTCGTGGTGTCAGATGATTACTAATTAAACCGGGGCCATCACACACTGCATCTAGGCTCTGTCGTGTGCCCTGCCTCTTTCCCATCTCTCCTTCAAGAGTAACCACAGCGTTTGCCGAAATGAAGAAGTTTGCCTTCGTCAGTGTGGATAATCGTGGCAAAGCAAAGGACACCCTGCAGGTCCGGAGTCACTGCATGAGGGGCAAGAACCGGCGCGAAGATTCCCGGCGCTCACGGAGAGCACTCCGTCAACGCGAGGCTGAAATCGCGGCTCAAACCGCCATCAACCAAATACCGAACGACAAACTAGGTCTTTCAAGCAAAAATCTCTGGGAAAGACAAATTATACCCTATCAACCTATCTTAGACTATAAATTGCTACCTGATAGCTTAAATGGCTCCGTGGACCTCCTGTATCAATGTATGTCGAATGCTGCTTGGGGGTAGGGCATAATGAGCTAACTTTTACGATATAGATGGCCGGCTTAAAGAAGCCATCTACCCTATTGATAATTGTGTCGAGTTTGAGTTTATTAAAGACGACTATATTGGGTGGTTTACCACCGAGTCTGCATTTGTTCAGTCCATCCTCTTCATGGGATCAGCACTCCAGGACCTCGCGATGCAGAGAATTCTAACTCGCACGACGTTGTTTCACCTCAGGAAGACATTGTCTCTGCTAAACGATGCTTTGTCCAACCGACAAGAATATCTCAATGATGCGCTTCTCTATACCGTTTTCAACCTTTCACTGGTTGCTACTATCATCGGCGAGGATGAAGCATTTAATATTCACCTTTCCGGCATAAGGAAGATCATGGATCTGAGGAATCAACACAACAGGGAGAGAATCAACAGCAGGCTCGGGTTTAAAATAAGTCGATTGGAGCTTTCGGCATATACAAGCACCGGTACCTTGCCACCTTTACCCATCGGGCCACTTTGTTGGGAGTCTTGCTACCGTAATGCTACCTCAAGTCCGGACGAACCATTGTCTCTCAGGGCTGCAATAGTCGATAATATCCCGTTGCGTACGATTTTTTACGACCTTAGACACCTGACCGATCGTATCAATTGGAAATATGGTGGCGCTAGTCGTTTGACTGGAGTTGAATTTCAAGGTTCTATATCCTCAATCCAGTCGCGCCTCTTGCGTCTCACAGTAGACCCTGAGGATACAGAAAGTGAATGTATGCGATTGGGGATGCTGGCATTTCTATCGACCACTCTCCATGTCCCAGGCAAGAGACTCCCCAGTGCATATCTAGCTACCCAGCTGAAAAAGCTTTGTGGAGAGATTATTGTGCAGGGAACTAGCAGCAGATACGTGGTTTTGTGGCTGCTCATCGTGGGTTCTATTTCGGTGTTTGCACCTGATGAGCCGTGGATTCGTGCGAAGTGGACGGAAGTGGCGGATGTCGATCTTGCTTGGGAAGAGCTGGAGTTACATTTGCGTGATATTCTTTGGATCGACTGCATACACGGAGAACCGGCAAGGAAAGCATTTACAACTATCACCAATGCTCGATCAAGTAATAGTGGTGTAGTGGGTCGGGGCGTCGGAGGAGGTTTCAGAGTACCATTGCATGAGAACTGAATCTTACAATCCATGTGATCACGGTTCTCGGCATTATCAAATAGCGCGACCGGCATTAAATCGGCGTGGTATCCCCGCGTGATAGTTTCAGGCAGTTCTCTTCATGTAGGATACCGGGACTGCTGATTGTTAATCTCACTATCACCATTGGCTAAGGCCTGTGATCAGATAGTCAATGAAACGGCGGTTGACTTGAAAGGCACGGTTTTGACTTAGAGTCGGGAGTTGTGCTCATTAGTAGTTGTATTTATCACAGGTGAATGGAAAAATTTCTTCATAAGATTGATGCTTTAATTGAGAATAGCATTGTGATGTACATCTAAGTCTAACCATAGCAGCAACTGCTATCAAAGCCTCGATAAAAGGAAGGCACAAGCATGTCATCGTGATGACACTGGGGTCCCTCATCGTGATGCTACACCCCCCAGTATCACCGAAAGTTGCAGGTTCCGCATAGGGACAACGCCGCGCTGGAACAAAGCCTACAAACAGAATTTTATGCTGCAGCAGTTGTCAAGTTTGGTCCACTCTGGGCGGAATATCGGCACTCCTTAGCAAAAGTGCGAGGTCACAGGTTTTGTGCCGAGCACAGTGCATATTTCCGGAGATATTGCAACTCTGTAATAGGGCATATCTTCGAACTCGGGCTATTCGGCATTTTCCCTCCGACAAACAAAGCGAATGCAACCACTCAGTAGATCAACATTTCGAATCCGTCATCTCACTGAAGTTAGAGAGTATCATTCGCCCTCTTCAGATAATACCGAAGCCGATGCAGCAGGGGTTAGAATATGTATTGATGAGTGCGCAACTGGGCGTGCTACGTCTTCGTGATAGCATGAATCCGTTTATAAAAAGGGATCCCTCAACATAGTTCGAGGAGAGCTTAATAGAAATAATATACATGCGCGGAGAGTTAATTCTCAATCAATATCTTGCACTCAGCAAGACTCATTCAGCATGACCGCTAATTTCACAGTCATTTTTGGTAAAGTTGGAGCACTGTTTCCATGGCCATGGCTTATTGTTGGACTTGTAGGTCTATGTGTTGAACGAAAAGGCTCCTTGGATCGCTGATTTTGCATTAGGTCGTCGTTGGAATCGGTTCTGTCCCAGTCTACAACCTATTCTTCCATCCTCTGAGAAAGATACCAGGGCCAAAGTCTCATGCAGCAACCCGGATACCTTACACTAGGATGATAAACTCTGGCCAGACACACACCAAGGTCCTCGAGATGCATAAGAAATATGGTGATATTGTCAGAATTTCTCCTGATGAAGTGTCAGTCATCGGTGAGAATGTATGGGATGAGCTGGTCGGCCACCGCAAGCTCGGTTCTCCAGAAAACGGCAAAGACCCTCACGTATTCGGTGTTGTTGCAAAGCATAGTGTCCTCAACGCGAATCGCGAGGACCACGCGCGATTAAGACGAACCTTGTCGCATGGATTCTCAGCATTGACGATCGAAGCGCAGGAGCCGATTATTTCTAGCTACGTGGATCTTCTACTTCAACGGCTTAAGGAGAATTCGGACAATGGAAAGAATGCCTTGGAGCTTACGTCGTGGTATAACTGGACGACTTTTGATATCATTGGAGATCTTGCGTTTGGTGAAAGCTTTAGGTGTCTTCAAGATAGCGGCTACCACCCCTGGGTCAGTTTGATATTCAAGCGGATCAAATCTAACTCTATAGTAATTTCAGCCAAGCGCTGGGGCTGGCTGTCCAAGGTTGTCCTCGCTTTCCTCGACCAGTCTGGAAGCCATGCGATCGGCGCTCATGTTCGGCTAGTGGAAGAAAAACTGCGCGCTCGAGCATCCATGGATACGACCCGGCCAGATTACTATCATTCGATGACGTCCCAGGAAGACGACAAGGTAGGCGAGACTCTGTTTATACTCATCTTGGTATCTGACAGTTGGCATTTACTGATCAATTGTAGAAATTTTCTCCTGATGAGCTTCGTGACAACGCCAGCACATTGATTATTGCCGGGTCGGAGACGACAGCCACAACATTGTCGGGAGTGACATATCTTCTGGCCAAACACCCAGAGGTTCTGCATAAGCTGGCCCAGGAAGTCCGCACGAGTTTCCAACACGAGGATGAGATCACCATACGAGGCGTTCAAAAGTTGGATTACATGCTGGCCGTCTTGAACGAAGCCCTCCGCATGTATCCTCCAGTGCCTGGTGCCCTGCCGCGAAAAATGAACCCTAATGGCGGGTTTATCAATGGCCATTGGGTGCCTGGCGGTGTAAGTCTGGAAGATTGAGAGTGTATAGAATGTTGCTGACCGTGGCACTAGACGGTGATCGGGATTCATCACTACGCCTTTTATCGTAACCCCAACTTTTATCAACTGCCCGATTCGTTCATCCCTGAACGTTGGCAAGACGATCTACGGTTCCATAGCGACGCGAAAAAGGTCTTCCAACCCTTCTCTTTCGGACCAAGAAATTGCATAGGAAAAAAGTATGTGAATCAAAACTCAACGAAACGTAGTAATCTTGAAACTAAAATTGTTGCAGTCTTGCATACGCAGAGATGCGACTGATTCTTGCGAGGATCATTTGGAATTTTGACATCCACCTCGCAGTCGATAGCGATGGGTGGATAGAACGAAGTCAAGTGTTCACACTTTGGTCAAAGCCTGATCTGAATGTCTATCTCGTGCCTGTGGGCCGAGAGTAAGTACAGTTATTGATAGTGAGACAGTTGGATAAGATGTGGAAGGCGGATCAGATTGAAGTGGCCTAGGTGTTTTCTTTTATGCGAGGAGCACGAATTTGTTCACCAATATGGATCGATCACCTGTTCAAATTCGATACATGCCTGTCTTATACGGCAGATATGTCTCAAGATTAGCTCCGGCAGGTGACACATGAGGGACTATCTTTTCTCGATTAACCCTGAACCTTGATGTTCAGGGGATACGGTAGTTACCAATATTGATCATGTTTAGTCCTCATATGAAGAATTTGAAAAGACACAACCTGTTTTTTAACTTTTTAATATTTTCTTTTGCTATCAAGAAGTTTGCAGAAAACGCAGTTCGAAGGCAAGAGTTCGGGACAATTAAGACATCGGCGGAAAGACAGTCTTCTAACTAGTTAAGACTTGTTTGAGTCATCAAATTGATGCCCATGAACTGTGGTCTCGCCCTGAAGCGAGATACATCCTCCATGACTGCCACACTTGCAACTGTCAATCGTGGGGAACCCGCAGACACCGGCCATGCCGGGTGTTGGGCAAGGATCCGGGAGCTCTGCGTCGGCATTTGCACACTTCGGGTAATAGCCACAGCAGTTTCCAACGTTCCGTATCACGCAGTCGCTGTCCTCAGTACAGGCAAAATGTTCTGGGACGTTGATCTCGTCAGTGCTTTGTTGATCGCGCGGTTGGTTGCTGGTATCTGTTACTCGCATGCCCCCAGTCCTTTTGAGGGGAGTATATCAGTGCGGTGCTCATTTACAAGCGTACTATGGAAACTGAGGTTGGCTACTTACAACTGCGGCATAGCGTATGCACAAGCGGCGAACGAGGTGATGGCAATAGTGAAGAAACGCATTTTGATTGTTTGTATCGAGAAAGATTATTGATGATTGTTTGGTGATTGTTTATCACGCAGTAGGGTGGTGCTTGCCAGCAACCTTTATACTTGTTAGTGCCATACTTACTGCAATTCTGAAAACTGGGGAATGTTCGCTGTGTGAGTTTGGGATCGCATAGACGATTACCCGGACTAAGGTTTCTGTTCCTCCTTGGGCCTGGAGCCGCTGATTCCGAGACACGGTTTCGCACGGGATATTGGCGAGGAATTTGAACCGTCTGGAGGCAAAAGATAGTGCCTTGACTTTACCTGACACTCGTTCCAGTGATGTCTTGGCGGCCCTGAATGCCGCTATCTCAAAAGATCCCACCAATAGCGGATGAAGGGGTCATGGCTGAGACCATGGTCCGATACGAGAGTGAAGGTTAACTTGTGAATAGACGGCCTCTGTCAATCTTCACTTGGTTGGCATGACGAGTAAGATCTAAGAAAGCCTCTGAGCTGAAGTACTAGTATTTTAGCCTGTTTAAGCATAAATAAAATGCGACTGATGTGAAGGAGATCGTTGGTGATGTATGATGACGCAAGATTGGATGCTGAGGTGAGACCAACAACTGAAAACCGTGTCCACTAGTCTTAGACAGCCCCAGACCAACCTCCTCTGCCAAGGCATGGTATCATGAACCATGTGGGCTCAAATGAAAGCGATTCCACGTTTGGATGGACCTTTTGGGCCAGTTTATTTGCCCGGCAGAGTAGTTCGACTTTGGGCATTTACGAGGAGCATATGGGAAACGAACTTCGACCCCGCCGGACCTTTTAACGTCCTCATGAAGCCTTAAACAGTTGGGTTTTCCCTATGGCCCATTTTCTCGATATTACTTCAAGTTCTTTCCATCTGGCGTGAGTAGGTTGCTGGGGCATCTGTCTCATGAATGTAAGGTACATATCGAGGGCACAAAGTTTCAAATTCTGAGCTGTTAGTCAACGTTTTCAACGACGATTCACTAGGACTTTACAAGGAATAATGGTAAAAGTTTCCCCCATGTCATGGAATGCTTCAAACTGTAAATAGGCATTGGAACTACCTAGACGACTCCACAGCCTCAAAGTTCTAAACTTTTACGAACGAGACGGATGCCTCTAAGTCCGACAGATTTCTGTCCCCTAGGCCTCTGAATCACAAGATCTAGTCATCAGACCAGCAGTGAGGCTGAGAAAAGGTTCAGATAGTGCTGTGCCGTCATTCCCGCCCACCAAAGTCTTAGACCTATCGTCCATGGCTTTTCTGCATTCGGATATAGAAGCTCTTGGCATATCCATCATACTATTGAAAGGAATTGTGTCGTTGTGCTTACGAAACTTCGATCATAGCCCCGCAACAAGAGAACACTTCTACTCCACATGCATCACCGGCGTTAGTGAGGAATGTATTTCTGTAGTTGACTGATGTGGGGAAAACTGAGAGGTGTATTGGGTTTATAACACGAGATTCGACGGCATGTGGCTAGAACGGCGTTTTGCTGTGTACTTTCTGGTTGCAAACTAAAGCGCGAAAGCTAGCATAGATATCATAACTAGAGAATACTTCGTAATTACCAGTATAAGCATATCGGTGCCTGATTCTCGTTTATGTGAGCTATATAGTAAGTGTATGTAGAAAGGATAGGGAAATCCCACAATGTGTCGAAGCTTGCGAGTCACATCTCGGTATTATCCCAGTCGCCGGAAGAGGGTTCCACGTGTCTAATACGTCGCATTCCAAGGAAGTCTTGTTGAGGAGCTCTCATGTGGTTTTGCTAATTCTGTATCCTAAGAGAAGGGAGACTTTCAGCTCGGCTATGTTCGTTATCACGAGATGGGCTTCAAAACCCTACTTCAGAATGGCCAGTCTGATAAGTGCTATACAGCGTTTAGGAAGCATGCTGGCCTAAAGCAAATCGATTTTGGATCAGTACGTAGGGCTCTTCTGTAAGATATAGACTCTTCTAGCCCTATTGAATCACTTAACTGCCGTTTTAGAATACGTCAATTTCCTAAGTTATTGCCCCATGCCGATTACCCAGCCAAAAAATGCCACTATGACTTGGTGAATATATCACGGATCGGCTCTTGTATCCAAGTAGGCCAGGCCCTGAAACTTGATAGCATAATTTCACTCTCAGGGAGAATCAACTCTCCGCTTCTTCTGCTCATGAGTTGGGCGACAATCTTGTCAGCAACATCCTCAGGCTCAAGAAGATGAAAACCATGCCTCTCAAGACCCTCGATATACTTTCCAATGCACGGCGTCCGGACGTAATGAGGGTGGACAATTGTGGTGAGCACATTAGGTGCCTTGTATCTATGCCTCAGTTCGGTACCGAGGGCCTCATGAAACGCGCGTGCTGCCGCTTTGCTACCGGCATAGTCGGCGATGCCCCCGAAACAGAAGAAGGAGGCCAAACTAGCAACGGTAACCACGTGGCCCTTGTTGGCCTGAATCATGCTCGGAAGAAACTCTCGGGTGGTGAACCAGTTGGCAAAGCAGTTGACACCGAATATCTTTCTCAGATATGCCTCGTCACACGCGAGTATGTTATGGTGGCTAGCAATACCGGCATTATTCACAAGGATAGACGGTGAGCCAACCTCGTCGCGAATAGCCTCGGAAGCGGCGGACACGGATGCGCCGTCAGATACATCACACTTGTAGAAGTGTACTCGAGGGTGGTCCTCGAGCGGTTTGGGAAGCTGTTGAACATCAACCACCGCAACGCGGACTCCTTTCTCCAGAAGCTTCTCGGCCAGCGACTTCCCGATCCCACTGGACCCCCCAGTGATGACAGCAATCTCATTGGGCCAGTCCCAGTCTGTTGTAGGTCTGAAGTTCCAGGAATTTCGGGCCAACTCGCTGAGCACCCTGTGTGCCCAGCGAAGGGCGCCCACCACGAATACACCACCAAGAACCGGTCTAAGGAGAGAGATATTTGCCGATACGAGCGAAAGTTGAGGCACTGCCTTCGATAAGGCTTGAACAACCTGCTGCATTACATTGGGTGCACATGTTGTGGCTAGCAGAAGCGACCCTGACAGCAGCGCTGAGGCGGGAGCATGGCACCACAAAACCATGGTCGGAAAAGGCGCTGTGAGTGCGACTTGTTGGTTGAGTTATTATATGGCAGTCGGAATGGAAGACGAACTGGAGCTGAAGGTGATGATGAGGGCACATCGGGGCTTTTAAGCAATTTGGGTTTGGAGATTACCAACGCGTCATTCGCTTTTCGGGCCAACGTGTTGCCATTTTGGGGATCAATGCAACAAGGCAGGTCCTTGGCAGAGTGGCGGAGCCAATTAATTTGGCATAAGTCGTAAGATCCTGGCTCTCAACTGAATACCCCAGCTTCAATCTCAATGGGGATGTATTTACCCTGGTTGGCGGCGAGGCAGGGACGAGTGAGCAGAGTAGCCCGGAGTGCAAGAAGAGTGCGGTCGAGGTAAGAAATGAAGGATACAAATTCGAACCAGACATCACAGGCTCTGAATTCGATTTGTTCTAGTAGAGCAGCTTGAACCAACTGTCAAGCTTTGGACCCGAGGTCTTTTCTGATCTTATTTATATCCAAGTAAATGACCACGAAGGAACGAACCATAAGTCTCTTCGTCTTCCGTTAGCCTTCAGTCGGAAAGGCGGTCCCATCACGGTATTCACTCGTTATGAACGGGGACCAGCCTGTGCTACCCAAAGATGGAATCATGGAATAGCGAATCAACTTGATAGATATGCTCCTCACAAAGCATGGACTTGTTCATGCTTCATCCAGAACAAATTAAAAACAAGATTTCCCCCAGGTTGTAAGATTACCTCTTCCTATTGGTCTATAATTGATCACATGGAAAAGCAAGGTGCATCCCAGCTCATGCAGCCTCTCTCAGATTTCACATACAAGATACGCTAGACGATTTCGTCTCCCTCGATCATTAGGAATTTATGCTCGAGCATGAAGAAAAAGTCCAGGTGGAAATATGAACATGTCTGCTTAGTTTGCTCAGCTACGTAGATAAAGTGCATCGATCTAAAAGTACCTAATGAAGCCGATTCGATCTTGTTGCAAATCATCGGGGCTGGCCATGCTAATGATTGGAAGTCGCAGGGCGAGTCGGTTCCACAATGTAGCCACGGCGGTGAGAATCGGATGTCCTTTCTCCCGAGTGTTATTTTATGTCTGAGACAATAGTGTTGTCTTAGAAACTGGCCAGTGAAGAAGCGGTTGAGTAAGCTGGAGGGGAGCCGATGTGCACCACACCACATAAGATTCCCCGCGTGGCTGCAGAACCAAGATGCGGTTTTGGACGTAAATGGACAAGGCTTGCATACCGCCTTCGGTGATAATGTCGGGATTGGGTGTAGGAAAGTCTCGAGGAGAATTTGCTTAAGAGGAGAACGAGCACGGAATCACGCGCCCTCCTCCTCACCCGTGAACGCTGTAGAATTCCGGGCTTCTTGTACCGCACGCTGGGATAGATATATAAAAAATACGGTCGGATTCTTTGATCAAAATGTCTTTCATTAGTAGCTTCCGCTCCTCGAAGCCTAAAGAGGCCAGCGGCAATTCTTTGGGGCTGGTCAGGCGCATCTCCCTCCGTTACAAAGGCCCGCCCAGCTCCCCAAGCTTCCGCGGCGGTCGAGTCCCCAGGCAAGTCTCCCCGCTTCCGCCATAGGATTGACGTATAATGTGGATTTATTATTGACGATAGGATAGACCCAATGACGTTTTTATTGCTGTTATGGGGGTCACGGGGTCCGGAAAAAGCTCCTTCATCGCACTATGCTCTGGCCAACCAGTACGGATAGGACACAGCTTGGGCGCATGTCAGTGGGCAGTCAGTAAATCTTGGAAGAAGAGGCTAATATACCCCCAGGTACTTCAACAGTGGATGTGTATGCCTATGATGTATCTCCGGATCAGACTATCTACCTCATTGATACCCCTGGATTCGACGACACTAACAAGAGCGATACCGAAGTTCTAAGCGAAATCGCCGCTTGGCTTGGAGAGTCGTACAAAAAGCGTGTTCTCCTCAGTGGAATCATCTACTTACACCGCATTACCGATATACGGATGCAAGGATCGGCCAAGAAGAACCTCCTAATGTTCCGACAGCTATGTGGTGAAGATGCTCTCAAGAAAGTGGTGCTTGCCACCACAATGTGGGACAAGGTGCCTACCGAGGAAGGTGAGCAAAGAGAAAAGGAGCTGGTTGATACCCAGGAGTTCTGGGGCTGGATGCTGCAGAAAGGCAGCTCGTGCAGTCGACATATGAACTCTGAGGACTCGGCGAAGCGCATTGTGCAGACGCTGGTTGGCCATGAAACCCCCACGATAACCACTCTCCAGGTAGAGCTCATAGATGAGAAGCTCCGACTGGACCAGACGTCTGCCGGGCGGGCCCTACATACCGACCTTCTAAGAAGGAGGGATACATGGACGAAGGAACGACAGGACATCAAAAACCAAATGAAAACTGCAGAAACGCCACCAGACCGTGAAGCGAAGAGGTTGATGCGTGAAGAGTGTGGGAGGTATTCGCGCATGATAAAAATGGCTGAAGAGGACGTCGCTAACCTTCGTGCCTCTATGGAACATCTGCTTGTACAGCGCGAGAGGCGTGTCGCAAGAGTACTGAAGCAATTGAAGAAAGATAGAGCTGCCGTGGACGAGCCACTCCCCATTATCGAGGACCAACCGCGTGCCAACCAAGACATCCCGGAGTTAGAGAAAAAGTCTACTCCTGAAATGCAGATCGAGAATGCATACACTGAACATCCGGACCTCGACCAGGAAACCGAAGCAGAGGATGACGACGCTCTTACCGCGACATCTAATGCCATCTATTCGGTGGGCATGTATGGCTACTTCTATAGTTGCCTTGGGTCATCATTTTGGAGCAGGTATGTAGACTATTCCATCTCTTCACGGTTCGTTCATCCGTACTAATGGGACCTGACAAGCAATTCGGTTCCGCCCAAGCAAACAAGAGGCCACGAGTGGCTACGGTCCGTTTGCTTCGGTGACGATTACAAGGGCGTACCCACCTGGATAGCCCGCTATACAGATGGATGGAGTAAGAACTAATATCATGACGAATAGGGATATGTTCTAATTCTAACATTCATTCTAGTGAAAAGCCCGAACTTCGAAAAGCGATACTCGCAGTTGAATGGTGAAATCAAAGCTCGGGGGCTTGATAATCTCGACATGGTGGCGCTTGGGCCCAATCAAAAGTACTATGCGAGATGGAAGGATGGAAGTTGGGCCAGCCTCGCGTCCGACGATGCGAACTCCGTTTTCAGCAGATGCCACAGTAAAGAGAACCGCTCCAATATCACTGCCGTTGCCTTCGGGTATGAAGATGCCTACGTTATTGCATTCGAGTACGGATTCCGGTCGGGACGTTTAGGGTGTAATTGCAGTTTGAATGGTCACTATCCTGGCCTTGCACAGCTCTTTGGGGAGACAAGACACATCAATATCACTGTAAGCGCCCGGTCCCAATTGTAAGGACAGTTTTATTAACCGTAAAATAGGCCATCACTCTCAATCCTGAGAACACGACCGACTTTATCTTGATCTGGAAGAACAATCTAGAGGATGATCGTCACAAAATAAGCTGGTGCAGTCAATACGGTAATGTGCAGAATTCAATAGGGATCTGGTGGCAAAACAGCAAGGTCCAGGATATCTTCTAAATCAGCCCTTTAGATGTATAGTGCTCTTCTTTACATTTCTTCAAATGAGTGCTTCGTCAAGTATGTTTTATTTGGGTTTATTTGGAAGCACAGAGCAATACATCCTAATTATCCTCCTAAGATAGATATACTAAGATTTATTAGCTCTCTTATGATTCTCTAATTTTACTTTCTCTCTATTTCTTAAACTTTAACTTGACCAAAAGAGGTAAATAACAATATATGTGGGTGCAGGAACCATTACCCAAAACCCAGCGAGACTGTTCGGTCCTGGCATCCTGTATGCTCTTGGCGTGCGAGTAGCTTATTATTAGTGTGGTGACGATACTGAACTAAATATCTTCCACACCCTCATCGGACTTTCCAGTCTGACGTCCCCCGCTTTCGCAAAACGATAATTCGTGTGTCGGACATTGCGAAATACTCCACTCTGTCGGACTTGTCGGTCTTGCTAGTACACTCTAGACGCGTCCAGCGCATATACCTACCGGATCTTGGGTATCAAGAACAATAAAAACACAATGAAGTCTACATAGAACCAGACAGTCTGATTGTTTTTGCGTTCATCTAGAATCATGGAGCCTTCAGCCACTGCCCTCAGCGCTCACGGGTTCGACTACGACAGTGGGGTCTTAGACAAACCACTTGCCAACTTCATTCAACGATTCTATACTCTCTCCGATGAGAAGGATGGCGTGGCAGCATGGGCTGCTTGTTTTGCTGAAGATGCAACTTTGAAAAAGGGAGATATTGTGGTTGTTGGACGCGAAAGTAAGTTACTATATTTGTCCATGCGAAACCAGGCTAAAAACAAGTTCTAGGTCTGGTTGAGCTGGGCCAAAACTCTTGGAACGGTCAGAGATCCCGGCTTCACAAAGTATCCAAGGTCTATCCATTTAGCCAGCCACGACCGTCTGAAGTGATGTTGCATGGCGTAAGCCAAATTGTGTATGACGATCAAACCACTGGAGAGCTGGCATGGGCCGCTATCCTACAATTTTCAAGATCACGAGGTGGACAAATCCATATCCAGTCTTACTATATTTACCCGGTATGATTCTCTTCCGTGTTTCAGTCGATACCTGTCTAAACTAACTAAGTAATATCTGGCAGACTGCCCTGGTAAAGAAGGCATAAAATAATTAGATATAGATAGAATATATCTTGATTCCATGGTCTATTTTGATACTCCTTGGTGTAGAAGCTTTACAATTATTAGCCTATAAAACATATGTCAGTGATTATAGGTCGGTGAGAACTTGCCATTCTAAGAGTCGAAGAACGACAGCTGCTCTCGCCTCAACAAAGCTTTTTCTCACGTGTAGTGAGTGCCGGTGGAATTTTCCAACCAACAACACCACAACCAAAGACCGGGTGGGTCCGCGGTCGCGATGTCGACGTCGGTCAAAGGAGAGGAATTGCAACCAAGCTGCGTAGTCAAAGCCAACAACCACAATCAATTGCACATGTGTTTGGTGTTTGGTTGGGGACTCCCGCATTTGATCAATTGAATGAGACCATCCAGGTCATCATACGAGCCAAACTGGCCGCAGAATAACAAGTCAAAGATCACGATTTCAAAAATAAAGAATAATTCAAGAGTAAAAGACGGTTTTTCATTTTTAGAGCAGCAAACAATTTGCTGCTTAAGTAGCATGCAGCAAATTGCCCTAACTAACTACGGAAATTACGTACGCTCTCAGTAGAGAGCAATACAACGCGGTACGTCTTATCACGAAGCTTTTGCTTCCGAGGTTATTCCCAGCAATTGTCATCCGTAACGCCTTATAGACTGTTATATCACACTTTTTTAGCGTAGACTGGTCAAGTAAATGGCAACTGTTCTGGTTGCAAATGAAGGCTACGTGGGAATGAGTACGTGCAGGATATTTCCGAGCTGGAAATAGCAATTTAACTTCTAGGTTATCTGAAGATAAATGAGACAGGCGGCAAGGCAAAGACACTGAATTTCCGAAATCATCTATCCCCAAGGCAATGAGGCAAGCAACTATCGTGTGAAAGACATACCTCTAACTCACTTCTTCCACTTCCACAATGATCTGGAATTGCAATAGGCCTTCAATCCTGTCATTCCCCACTCACTTCCAACTCCGCTCCATTTATGACCTCCGAAAGGAACGTTCGGAGCAACATCAAAGTGTGAGTTAATCCACACACTACCAGCTGATAGACACCTAGCCATTCTCTCTGCCCGATCAAGATCCTTACTCCAAACAGAGGCGCCGAGTCCGCTGTGACTATCATTCGCGCGCTCAAGCACTTCCTGTTCATCGGACCACTTAAGAATTGGGAGGATGGGGCCGAAAGGCTCCTCGACCACAATTCGTGAGTCGTCAGGCGGATTGTCAATGATGGCGGGGGTAACAAAGTACCCTTTCGATTCTGTCACGATACGACCCTCCAGTGCCTGCTTCCATTTACAAGTGTCAATGGATGCGTACAGGTCTTTGAGCTTTTCATACCTAGGCTTCTGTCAAACAACGATCTTTTGGCGTGGCTTTCGGTTAAGGGGCTTACTGCATCGAATTTTGGAGAGGACCGACAAGAACCTCTGGCTCAAACCCGTCGCCGACTTTAATAGTCTTTGCAAATGCAACCATGGCATCACGGAATTTATCGTATATGTTCTCATGAACGTAAAGACGCTTGATCAGCATGCATATTTGGCCCGAATTCAGGAATGCAAGTGTCGTAATTTTGGGCACTATCGCATCGATGTCGACGTCTTCGCAGATAATAGCCGGGTCGTTACCTCCAAGCTCGAGCGTAACACTCTTGAGGGTCTTTGAACAGCTCTGCATGACCCGCTTCCCCGTCTCGCTCGATCCTGTGAAGGTGATCTTATCAATGCCTGGGTGTTCTGTGAGCATTGGTCCAAGGCTGTCGTCGCCACTGAGCACCTGGAGAACTCCGGGGGGGAAGATTTGCATTCCGATCTCGCCGAGCTTCAAGTCGCAGTATGGCGTAAAAGGCGACGGCTTGATTATCATGGTGTTGCCGGTAATGAGTGCAGGGCCGACTTTGCCTAGTCCAAGTAGAACAGGCCAATTCCATGGAACAATCCCGCAGCAAACGCCCAGAGGCGGGAAGGTCTGGGTGATAGACCGGTCTTCGTCATCTTCAATGACCTCATCTTTGACCTCCATCGTTGCGAACGTTCGCAGCCATTTCAAAGCCATTGAAAACTCTGTCTGGGCTAGTCCGAGAGGCTTACCCTGTTCCATCACGAGCAACTTCTCAAGGGGCTCGCGTTGAGCCTCGATCGCATCTGCGTAGGCGAGAAGCATCTGTGCCCGGCTGTCGAATGGAAGTCGAGACCAGCTTTTGAACGCCGTTCGAGAATGTTCGACAGCCTGGTCCACATCACTTCTGGTGGCACAGGGAACATCCCATAGCGCCTCGCCGGTGGAGGGATTAACAGAATGGAGAGTCTTTGAGGTTGGGACAAACTCATTGTTGATGATGTTGCCCGGATAGGCCTTCGACCAGACCAGTCAATAAGATTGTGCTTCACTGGGAACGGATCCGAGGAACTGACCGTTGTATCGATCTGGGCACACATATTTCAGGTACTCTCTTGGTTTTGAAGCTTTAGGCGCTCAGTGCTTTCATTCGGTGCAACAGGGACTCGGGTCAGCAAAGATTCTAAATCTGTCGTAGGAGGCGGGGGCGGTTGGTCTTTGTACCATGGGGAGAGGTGTCCGCACGCAAGCTGGTGAGCGGCCCGCGACCAGCACTCGCCAACCAAGTGTGCGGCCCGCTGATATCTGCCTCTCGGCAAAAGCATGAGAAAGCGGACATCGGGGTAAGAAGTCCGTCGTAGACAGCCGCGTAGTGCCGGGAAGCGTTCATCCCTGTGCTTTTTTTAGCTTATCTCCCTGGGATTTAATTCACTCTAGAGTTTACACTATGTCCCCCGTATTTGGCTCGTAACGTGGACTCTGATATCTCCAGCTTAATCAATAGTTGAGGCTCGCAGTGGTTGGTTGGCTTGTTCTTCCCACTTATGTGACGGTTGGGGTATCTTGGCTACAGCGTAGGCAGTAGTCAAGGAGGTCCTTATGTGAAAGGGCAGAAGTTTAGGATCTTGCCCGTAAATAAATAAGAAAGTTATGCATTTTTAATTTAGTATAAGCTTTTATTACTACGTTATTTCCATACAAGTACAGCTTTAATTACCTGGCTCTTTTGTATATTATCAAACGCTTTCTTATAGTTCACCCCATCATATAACGTAACTAGTTTCTCAAGCGGAAAGTTACCACGAGACTGCTCGTCGATCAAATATGGAATCATCTAGCGGCAACGAAGTGAGTTTCAGGTCAAATCTATGGCATTCATTTAGGATGGAGCTCACCTTGGCGGGATCACTGTCCCCTTCGCAACATCCAATATAGTGTGTCCCCTTTACAATGTGTGAAAATACCTCAACCTTCACACACCGACCTGGAGCCGGTGCTCCCACGGTCGCAGCTTTGCCTCTGGATCCCAGGGAGCTAATCATTTGCTCGATAACCGCTGGGACACCGGAGCAATCAGCGGCTCGAAAGACACCATTTCCACCGCTGATTTTCCGGATCTCTGCAGGAAGGTCAATTGCCTTATCGGCACTGAGAATAGTGTGGGTAGCTCCGAGTTCCTTGGCAAGCTCGAGTCGAGCTGGGCTCACATCGATGGCGATGACGGGGTCAGCTCCCCTAAGTTTTGCAGCCATAATGCAAGACAATCCGACAGCTCCAACACCGAAAACAGCCAGACTCTGGTTTGCTCTAACATCCAGAGTGTTCAGGACTGTCCCTACACCGGTCTGTATGCCGCAGCCGAGGGGAGCAAAGAGCGACAGGTCCGTCGACTTGGGCACCTTGACCATGCACCGGCCAGACACCAAGGCGACCTTAGAAAAAGAGCTCTGCCCAAAGAAGTTGCAGGAAAGCTTGGTCCCGCAGCCGGTTAAGGCCAAAGGCTGGGTGCCATCTTCCCGTCGCCCACCAAAGTTTTGCGACGCATAACTCTGACAGTACGATGAATACCCCAAACGACAATCTTGGCAGGTGCCACACGAATTGAAGCTGAGCAGGACCTTGTCGCCGCTTGAAAACTCTTGCAGGCCAGAGCCGACTTTGAGTATGACGCCGGCACCTACAGCACAGGTCAGCTACTTGACACCTTCCCAATAGCAGGGAGTGAAACAGACCTTCATGGCCCAGTACAGCAGGAAAGCTCGTAGGGATTATCCCGTTCATGCACGAAATGTCAGTATGGCATATTCCTACTGCGTGGATCTCGACGATAGCCTCATCCGGTAGCGGCTCTTCAATAGTGACCGACTGAAGGGTCGGCTGAAGGCCTTTCCCAGGGACAACAAGTGCATCGGTCACCAAAACCATCGTCAAGCGGTCGAGATATTCAGGCTGGAAGGAAACGTAATGAATGATCGTGACGCCTGGTCTGGAGATTTCGGTTATTACTCGTTCTGATATAATGAAATAAAGGAAGGAAGAGACGGAATAATCCTAATTCCCTACATAATTCTCATTAGTCAACACAAACAGGCCGGTCGATTGTCGTCGGACAATCGCACAAAACCTCCGATACAGGTGGAGCTACCACACTTCGGAACCTGTACAATGCAAATGCTGACGGTATCACTGCCCGTGGCGTAAATAACAGAGAAAGCCCGGTGCGAAGTCAGCGAGTCACCAAGAACTCTTGCCATCAAGCAGGGGCTGAAGAGAACACCTGCAACACAATATGTCTCCCCACAAGAGCGGCCCTTGTTTTGCCATTGTCCAAAACTTCAAGGCAACTAAGGCAGCCTTTGCGGCCGACATGATATCGTCGTTCTCGAACCTGATTCGAAAATCGGCGCCTGACGCGATCATTGATGTCTTCAACGGAGTTGAAGACGCCGAGCTTCCTGATCCGAGAGATTATGCCGCCGTGTTCTTGACCGGGGGCATGTTCAATCTGGCGCTCCCTGACGTGGAACCATGGGTCGCGAGGGAGTTAGAGTACATTTTAACATTGAACGAAAAGGCCTCAGACACAAAGCTAGTCGGCATCTGCTGGGGCCACCAAGCAGTTGCCCGCGCGCTAGGCGGCTCGGTCGAGTTTATCCCCACGGGTGGGCATGTGGTATGTTAGCGACATCTTGTCCTCGCAGCACAATGTGCCTCTAATGGATTAATTATCTAGGTTGGTCGGAAAACCGAGAAACTTGTTGGACCTGGGAAAGACTTTTTCGACGCTGATCAAGTGGTAAACCCTCCCCGTGCGCCCTTCTTCTGCCTGGTCACCCGCTAACGTATGACGCAGGACCTCATCCACTTCCGCCTGCGGTGGGCTTCTAAACCAGGTGGAGGCGCAGTGCTAATGGCCGAGGACAACTCGATCCTATATTATCCTTCTAGAAACATCCTGACGCTGCAGGGCCATCCAGAGTTCACCAGTTGCGTGTCTCACGGCGTCCTCGACGCCGACGGCGGCACATTCAGCTCCAACATGGATGTCGAGGAAATGGCGTCGACTCGTGCCTCGTTTGATCAGGTAAATGATGGGGAAAAGGCCTTTGCCAGTGTTATGGACTGGGTTCTTGGACGAAAGCAGGTTGTGCCTGGTTCTAAGTGACTGGTAGTGCGGTAGCTCCGCAGAAATGGATCTTTTACGTCGTTCGATTTTTCTTGGAAGGCTTGTCGCTAACTACGGTTGTATTAACCGGGCGGCGCCGTAGAGTATATATGTATAGTCGTAGATAGGCATTTAGGTCGGGATGAGTCGATTAATGGTCAAATCTGCATGACAGACTGTTGCTAGGCAGCTTGCTGACTGGCTGAAGTTGGACTTGTGGCAATATGTAGAGCGTGTAAGAAGAACGACGCATAAAGTTGATTACAAGTATTAATCAAATCAAATCAATCAATTTCGATATTGGAAATAGGTAGCAACTTTGGGGTTAAAGTTGATTTGATAAGCGCTGAGCATATCTGCTCTAGCTTTAGCAACACCTGTAGAGACCCGAGGCACTGGCGATGGAGACTACCGGGAGTCGCCAAGGCCTAAGATCCCTCCAAGTAGCAACTCCAGCAGCCCATATTGTATACGTGACAACTCGCTTGTGGTCTCAATGTTAATGTTACTAGTTACAACCACGGAGGCCTGTCTTTGCGCTGTCTTCTAAGATAAGCAAGGGGGTTGCGCCCCCCCCCGGTTCGTTGCCAGCCTTCTTGTATCTTTATTGGCCAATGCGATATCTTCTCCTATCTTCTCACGTGTTGATAGAGCAACTAATACTATACTAGAAAAAGCAAGCCAGCAGGGGGCACGCAACTGGGGGGGAGCCGCAGCCCCATTGCTTATCTTACCTCCGCAAGAACTTAAAATCGGATGACCGATATCCCCGCCCATGCTGCGGAGAAAACACTGCGTCATGTGCCAATGCAACACAACACGACGAATGAAGCCTCACCCCGTTTTTGCTGGCGCTCCCTCACATTGTATTCCGCCTGCTCCAGCCCTCAAATTCAGCATGCCGCAATGTATTGATCTGTTGTTTATCTCTGTTTTTTGGGGACCTACCTAATGTGTTGTGGTGGCTGTGTCTTCCCCATTATCCCACTGGCGGGACGCTAGTCTTTAACCCAGCTCCTACCTTCGCCTACATGCGCCGCCCTTGCCTGCAAACCTCGCTCGTAGCTCTTAGCCGTCACAAGCCCGCGTTATCACGACATCTGCATCTACCTGGCCGGGCCATCAGCTCTTGCGATGGAACGGAAAATTGCTTGCCTGAGGTATGTGTGTGCCTCCTCGCTGTTGATGCCGAAATGTGCACTATCGGCTTGGTCGGTCGGTCGGATAAGGCCACACCGCAGCCTTGACAACTGCTCCGCAGACCCGTGTGAAGTGAAGCAGTGACTAACTCACGGCGCATCCGTGCCTATGCAGGTGTCGGACTCGCAAGAAAAAGTGCGACCGGAGCTACCCAGCCTGCACGCCGTGTCGACAGGCAGGCGAGCCTTGTCATCAGCTGCGCCGTCGTAATGCAAAGGTTACTCAGCTCGATGGCGATCCGCTCGCCATGAAACGTGAGATCAAGGCTCTTGAGAAGCGAATCGAAGAGATGGAGGCTCGGTCCACCGCCAATGCATTGCAACATGACACCCCCGAAACTGTACATGAGCTTAACCCAAGTGACATATCCGACAACACAAGCCTGGACACATCCCCTAACAGCGTGGACGCTGAATCAGCGCTGTGTCTTTCGGCGCCCTTTGGCTCTCTGCCACCTGTTCAGGTCGGTAACGATATTTTGCTCTGGTAGGCACAGTCCTTCGCCGATACGGCGCTCTGCGGTCTTGGACTCTTTGGCTTTATTGTTAACCCTAACGTCCATAGGGGTGAGCCGTTCTGGCTGAACCATGATCCTCTGACCCAGTGCGATCCTGTATCAGACCTGGAGGCTGAGGATATCCCCGGGGCAGCAAGTGTAGACCAACTGAGGACACATCCCCAACCGGACCCGCAAGCTCTATCCGGATCCTCGGAGCGCACCTACCTGGAACTCTACTTTCAAATCATCAACCCACAATGGCCTCTTTTTATTCAAAGCGACTGTCAGCGCTGGTTCGATCATCAGGAAAGCTACGGCTCAGCTGAGGTTAGCTTCCAGGAGTGCTTCATCCAACTGATTTGCGCAACTGGGGCTTTGTTTTGCAGCTCCTTCCAGCCAAGTTGCCCGCACCTCGCCAAGTCCGATGCGCTGTACCAGCAAGCACTTGAATCTCAAGAGCGCTACACGTCACCCAACTCCCTCGCTCGTCTTATTTCCATGTTGGTGCAGATCATATACTTGCTGCATCAACCAGATTCGGACGTCTTGAGCGATACGCTGGCGACAACGGCCAAGACCTGTCGCAAGGTATTGAAACAGATTGGATGGCGTCTTCGGAGTGTGTCCGATACGCACGCGACATCACTTCAATTTGAAGATTCCCAATACTTTAGCACTGATACCACGAGGATGGTTCTCATGACTTGTTTCACTATTAATGAGGTTGTATACAGCTCGTGGAACATAACAAGGTCAACCGAAGACGAGGCCCTTGATGAAACGGCAAGTCCACACTCGGCACCTTGTCGTTGAGAGACGAGTGCTAACAGCTTTAAACCCAGCTTTGGAGCCAATGCTCGCGTTTGATACAGCAGAAGACTGGGTTTTCGCGCGACCCTGGTGCTGAGCATACCTTTGAGATTCGCCGCCTTCAATTCGAGATCCGCCGCTTCAACCGCCAGACAGCACACCTGCCTCCAACAGACTCTAACCGCCTATGCTGGAGGGACACCCTCAAGGCAGAGCTGGATTGCTGGAAGAGGGCCATCGATGGCATAGCCTTAGAGGGGGACTCGTCAGTCAACCACCGACCGCAAACGATGAAAAAGATGTACGACTACTCGCTCTGCATCCTTTTCGAGAGCGAGCTACTTACTCTAGATGATGTCTACCTCGAAACCCTCTGGCGGGCTGCCAGCGAAGCGTGCTCGTCATTTCGCAGGATTCAAAACAGCGGGGCGATGATATACTTTACCTGCTCAGCGGTAATTCTGCCCTGGCCATCCAAGTCTGGCCTTGATGTGTGCTCTCCCACGCTGACTCGTTCATCGTTCCACAGCTTCTTGCTCAGTTTCGGATGGGAATGATCTTGCTGGCTTGCTTCTGGCTCGCGAAACACCACGACCGAACCTCGGCTCGCCTAGCTTCGGAAACATACGAAGCCGTCGATGCCTGCTTCGACACATTGTCCAAATTTGGGAGCAGATGGACGAGCACGATGCTGTATCGTAACACGTTTGAAATAGTGGCGGCTGCTACGCCTTTCGTGAGGCTGCCAAACTCGGACCGCCACGTCTTTCCGCGGCAGAATGTTGCCGAATTAGAGTTAATGCGAAGCCAGCTACAGCGCCGGCAAACGCCCGAGGTCATTATAGCTATTCTCAATCACATCCTATCTACAGCCTAATTCACTACATTTCTTACTCATATGTTGCCACGCCTCCCTGTCTGTGATGACCCTCTCATATCTCCATGATAATGAACGAAATACGGAGCAAGGCAGGTGAGGCTTCTAAAGTCTACCAGGACATACGAGAGCGGTTTCCCCATACTTTGACGCTTATTATTAAGGCTGCATTCGTCAAGGGCAATGGGGATCCTGGGGTTGGGGCTAAGCCAAGAGTTGGAAGAGCCCGTCGGACATTTATGTGCGACAAAGTCCGACAACTAACGAGTCATCTTATCTCAGGACCTGGGGAAATCGGCTGTGACCCTTGACCCCGACAACTTGGTGCGCTTGCCGGGGGCATTTTCCCCACAACAATTGATCGTGGTGCAGTTCCGACCACCTCGCTCGAGGTTGGCGACACCCGACGAAACATTTAAGAGCATCTTCGACGACTGGCGTAGATCCCATCTGATTGATCATACTACAGTAGCATTGTGATCTCGAGATCGCTGCAACTGAGGCTACAACTACTTATCCAACCCCAAAAAAGTCTCTGACTGTGTTGAAAAGTCACGACCCGACCATGTCCACCAAAAAGGAAGCTGCCAGTACCACGGTCAATATGGAGACCAGCAGCGTGCAGCAAGCGGAAGTCGACCTGCCTCAGAAGCAGGGCTTACTTGGCAGAATTCGCGGTCTCACTGCGACAGCAACCAACTCGGGCTCCCAGGAAAGTGCCGAGTTCTTAACTCAGCACCAGGGCGAGTATGGCGACTACACGCAGGAAGAGGCGGGCAAAGTGCTGCGCAAGATTGACTGGCGCATGATGCCGCTGCAGTTCATCACATCCACTGTCTCTGGCATTGATGTAAGTAGTGTTGCCACATTGGCGTACTCTGACCTTCCGCACCAGCCTTGTTCCTTTGCTCGTCGGTTACTGACACGTTCATCTGGCCTAGAAAGTCTTGATCTCCAACGCAGCCTTGTATGGCATGACACAAGATCTGGAGCTGGTGGGCCAGCAGTACAGCTGGGGTAAGCAGCCGTTGAGCGCCCAACATCCGCCTGAGTTTTTGACTGACCGACATTGAACAGCCGGTTCGATCTACAACTTCGGCTACCTCGTGTCCATGTTCCCCATGACGCTTATTATCCAGAAGTTCAAGGTTGGCAAGATCTTGGCCATCTCCGTCATATTGTGGGGCGTTGTCTCGATGCTGCAAGGCGCCACGACCAGCGCGTGGTCGCTGCTGTTGCTCCGCTTCCTCTTGGGATGTTTTGAAACGTCTCTATTTCCTGCCCTCACCACGCTGAATTCGATGTGGTACACCAAGAAGGAACAGCCAACCCGACAGGCCGTCACATTTTCGGGCTTTCAATCTGTGAGTTTTCTCTGGACATTCTTCTGGCCAGCCCACTGACTCTTTGGGGTAGCTTATTACTGGATTGATCTCGTATGGTATTGGCCGTTCCAACACTGCTATTGCCTCGTGGAGAGTTTTGTTCCTTGTTATTGGAGCCATCACCATCGTCTGGGGTGTAATCTTGCTATTCTGGCTGCCCGATTCGCCAAACACTGAAGGCTTTGTTCGCGGAAAGGAAAGGTATATCGCCCTCAGTCGCGTCAAGGACAATATGACTGGCGTCGAGAACAAGGCAAGCGCATCAATTCCACTGGAGCTCATCTCTTTGGTCTTACTAATTCTCGTCTCTAGGAGTTGAAAGGGTACCAAGTTAAAGAAGCTTTAACTGACTGGAAAACTTGGGCTCTGTTTATCTTCTTCCTGTGCATGAATGTGCCAACTGGTGGTTTAGTGACCTTTGCGGCCCAAATCGTTTCTGGCTTTGGCTATAGTAGACTTGAAACAGTTCTCCTCGGTATGCCGACGACTCCTTTCCAGGTTCTGGCAGTTTTTTCCGTTGCCATCCCGCAGAAATGGATGACGAACAAGCGATCAATCTCTTGCGCCGTGTCACTTCTCGTCCCCATCACCTGCTCGCTTCTTCTCCGATGTAAGTCGATCTCATACTAAATCAAGTCAAACGTTAAGCTAAAAAAAAAAAAAAAATTAGACCTACCCCATGAGAATCAAAAAGGGAGGTTGGTCGCGTACTACTTCTTCTACTTTTTCTGGGCTCCTTACGCCACTGGTCAGTCATCGTGGTGCACCTAATGACTGAACTCGTTGCTAATTCCTTGTAGCTGTTTCCCTGTCCATGGCCAACGTCTCGGGCCAAAGCAAGAAGACGACTGTGAATGCAACCATCTTCATTGCCTATTGCGTTGCCCAGATCATTGGGCCACAGTGCTTCCGGACCAATGAGGCACCTAACTATCCTACCGGCTACAATTGCATTCTTGCGTTTGAGATTGTGGCCGCCGTAGCCATTTGCGTCTACGGCCTAGGATGTCGGTGGGAGAACCGCCAGCGAGACAAGAAGCAGGCGGACGAATATGACATGTCGACCGAGGAGATGCTTGAGGACAAAACTGACAAGGAGAAGCCTGCTTTCAGGTATGTCTACTAGCCACGGCTAAGGAGGGGGGTTCGGTTGTAGAGAAAGTCTGCTGTGAGGCGGCTGGACCATTTGGTTGTATAGCCATGTGTTTAAAGCCCTGTAATAGTTCGGATTACCAATCAGGCTTTAAAGTCATAAATAGATAGCCATATCCCGGTGAATAATATACATTGTTGCCATTCATCAGGGTATTGCTCTTCTAAACTGCAGCTATTAAATAACAGAGTATTTACTGCTCTAACTTCGGCATATCTACAGTACCTAGTTAGAAAAGTTCAGTTCATTAATTAATCTCACTTTGATGAACAAGTATAATTTCATTATGACTTGCGTAATCGCGCTTCAAGTTAGAATAACTAAGAAGGATATACTCTCTGGATGGAGGGCAACTGAGAATTGGCAAATCTCAGGTGCTAAAGCCCCGTAGCACTTAGGAATCCTCGAAGATGGATAGGCCAATTGAAAATTAATTGGCCACTCGTCGTCTACAAGCCCTAGGGTCCCCCTCTCACAGGTTCGTTCCCAGCCCGCAGTACATGGTGCGAACGAGCGAGCGGCGAACGGATTGAGCTCGGTATTTAATTCAGCAGAGTGATAAGTTCTCATTCTCTATTGTAGGCTGCGTCTGATGGACATGCCTCTAAGCTTAGTTGTATGAGTGCTGCAATCAGTTTCTCTAGCCACAGCAATTTAGGGCCGATGCCGTCAGCGTTCATATTTCTCAATATCTTACCCTCACTGTCAATGTGCAGTCGTACTTAGAGCAGATTGATAATGACGGTCTTATTAACCCTTGAACAGTTAGCTTCTTCAGCTCTACGGGCAGCTAAATTGGAAGCGATATGGAAGTCAGAAAGGGTGGTGTTGAGACATTCGTAACGAGCTCTTCAATGCATTACGTATGAGCAGTCAGTCAAGGAGAAAGTTTCAGGCCGGAGACGAATTTACGCATATTTCACAGCATGAAGTTATTGCAAGAGGCAAAAAAAAATCGGATTGCGTAGCCTGTCAGGGCTATCGAGTTGCGCAGCCGAGGTTGAGGGGCCTGAGGCGGCCGTTGGCGTCGGCGAGTAATAACAGGAGGGGGCAGCTGCGCCTACAATCAACGAAAGGATGGATGTAACAATTCTATATCGCACTTTGTAACTCAGATTATTGTTGGGACTTCTATCATGACCATGATCTTCTCTTGAGTTTCACAGCCATCTAATAATTACACGATGGAGGTTGTCAAGCCACTGCCTATCCGTGCGCGCCGAAACCGCTGATAGACGAAAAGAGAACTCCAGTAGGATCACACCAAGCAAGCAGGGCCATCGTTGCCTTTGACAAAAGTGATCCAGAGATCCCTACAGCTGGTCAAAGGTGGTCTCAAGGACCTCGCCAAACCCAATGCCAACACACAGCGCGTGATTAGTGACGGCTCTCCTCCAGCGGAGAAAGTGGTTCGTGGTCTTCACCACCACCTCGACGCCCGTTAACAGCGCCCTTGCATCATTGCTTCCAAGGCAACGCGAGGTCACTAGTGTGCTCCGAATTCGGGGCCAGGACTGCATAGGGGAACCCAGAGCAAGAACTTCCCATGTCCCTCTTCCTCGCGGGATACGTCTTTGGACCCTTACTTTTTGGCCCTTTCTCTGAACTCCATGGCCGCAAATACGTGGTTCAAGTCACTTCCCATGTTCCGCATTCTGGAAGACTTACTGAATGACAGAGTTTATCAACCACGCCCGACATAACGGGCCGGGGCCAGCCAGCAGAGTCGCTTGACTCAAGTTTTGGGTTTATTGGTCGCTCGAAGCGATGATATAGAATTTGATCGTATTGATTCTACGTGTCCCATCTGGTGCAAAGCGACCCATTTTCAATGAAAGATAAGTTTAATGATCTTCACGATCTCTGTCATCTCAGTTTGAGGATTGCGCACACTGTTGTCTACCACGAGATACCTGGAGTATCGGCAATCCTAACGACATAATTACTCGCGCTATGGACGCCCTTGCGCATGTCTTCCATGACTTGTGTCATGCCCTGAGAAATTGAAGCAGTTAGGATGGCGCCTGAGTGGTATTCTTTACATTTCTTCTAATGAGTGCTATCTCAAGCATGTTCTGTTTGAAGCGCAAGGTATAGTCTCTTTCAAAAATTAAAATCTTTTTTAGCCATCCACTCTACCCATTTCACTTTATCGTGATACGTCCAAATGAAGATCCTGATTGTCCTCGTAAGGTAGTCGTGCTAGGATTCATCAGCTCCCTAGTGATCCTCCGACTCTGCTTTCTCTTTGCTCCTTCAACTCTAAATTTACTGGAAAAAGTGAATAAGGGGGTGTGCTTGATTTAGTGCCCACCAATAAGGCTTTAAGCATAAGCACGAAGCTATGCATCTAGGCTAGCGAGCAACTCTCAGGAACATCTTATTGCCAATAGTGCCGTTCTTAAGAAGTTAGGCTTCCAACATTGATTTAGATCAGCATAAATCAGTAGATCGTTTTATGCTGTGAAACATTTGCATAATTGCTGCGGGTTTGGTGTGATTGCTCTCAGACCTTGTCACACAACAGGAATGCATATTGGGTGGCAAGTGTGGGTGGCCAAATCACATTTCGCTTCTATCTCAGCTTCAATTAGCGGGATGCAGTCATCTTCCACCGGTTTTCAAACTATTCGTTCAACGGCAGGGCTTACAGAGCTGGATGTCGGTGAGGGTGTGCAGTGCTCTCTCCCATTATTGGACAATGTCACCCAGCCGCAACCACTAGACGCTGGTACCACAAGCCGCGGAATGCAGGCCTCAATAATCTAGATTCTAGGCTTCACTCCGCTGAGGTGAGACATAGTACATCTCACGAATCGAACCCCGCCTTTTGTGTTGTATCATACCTCAAATCCTTGCAAGGTTGACTGGCAATGGTGACAGACTGGTCGAGACCCATCGTTGTTCACACTAGTTTGCGACTGATCAAAAGGAATAAGTGAAGATAGGCCATTCTCAGAATGGAGCTGCTTGCGACGCCCCGGGAAGAGTATCCCTGGATTCCTTCATGGCTCATAGTAAGTAAGTGATTCCATCCTATCCAAGTACGGTCTGTAATAAATGTCTTCCATAATTCCCACACTAATTTATATTGTGACCTATCGTTCACATCGAGGTTATCTGTCGGGGGCTATAGTGGTAAAGCAGGAGGGAGCTTACGCCATCTTATCGCCTGACCTTCATGTGCGCTCGATGAGCCCATTCCCAATGTTTCACCAAGAAAATGATGAAGCACCCCCGGTCCAATCACAGGCTGCAAGCCGTGTCCAGCTCAAGCCATTGAGCCACCAAATTCTTGCGTACCCCTACCCAGCCAGTAAATGTTGTGAATCAACACCGTCATGGTGACACTGCCCAAGCCACAAAACTTCCCCCTCATTCAGCTCTCCCAGCTCTATTTGCAGCTGAGGTGAGCTGTGTCTGCTGATCCGGGACAGAACCGCGAGTGCAACCACACCAATGAACCATCAGATATATGCAACTATGCAGAGGCAAGAACTATTTATATGCCGTGTCCCTCAGAGTGAACTAGTCTCTGTTCCCTCCTGTCCTCATTCTGCGTAACCACTCCTTGAACACAGTGCAATCAATCAATTAGATAACTTTGTTGAATACCATTATGACTTCCCAACGTCCACTTAGGCTCAACGGGCATGAATTCTCCACGGCTGATGCCACTCCTGATGCCGATGCTAGTGACTCAAACTACATCTACATCAAGGGCAACGGACCTATCAAAGGCCAACAAAAACAGGAGTTAGCCGACCTAGGCGTCTTTGTGTCCGAGTTCTTGGGCCAAGACACCTACCTGTGCCGCTACGAGCCTGCAGACCTCGAGCCAATCCGTGGTTTGGCCTTCATCGAGCAAGCCAACCTTTATCCTCGCCATCTCAAGAAGTCGACCCGGCTTGAGGATACAATCAGCACAGCAAGTGCTCCAGAGGATACCTTCACTGTTGATATCATACTTCACAAGGGAGAGACATCCCCGGATCGTGTCGTCAGCGATATTGTCGAGAAGACTGGCCTCAATCCTGAGGATATCTCTGAAGAGCAGAATATTCTCAGGTTGACTGCCGATGCCGAGACAATTGCCAAGATCCAAGATGTCGACGCGGTCAAGAAGATCGAGAAGGTCATTGACAAGAAATTCTTCAACAACTTTGCCCGCCAGGACATCCACGCTGATAATAAATCCGGCGTTGAGGGCCCGACTTCTGTCCCTTACAATGGAAAGGGAGAGACCGTCGTGGTCGCTGACACGGGCTTTGATACCGGCTCAGTGACCAACACGCACCCGGCATTCATCGGGCGGGTCAAGGCTCTCATTAGTGAGGGTCGGAAGAACGACCGCGGTCAGAACAAGGGATTGACCAATGATTTTGACGGCCATGGAACTCACTGCTCCGGCTCCGTCCTCGGTGACGGGCTTTCCGAGTCCATGGGTGGCAAGATACAGGGCACGGCGCCCAATGCATCCCTTGTCGTCCAGTCCCTCCTCACGAGCAATGGCGGGCTGTGGACTCCCCCGAATTTGATGAACCTTTTTGAGGGCCCGTACAAGCTTCATGATGCCCGAATCTCAAGCAACTCCTGGGGTCTTGTTTGGGTGAAGAGCCAGGTGGCCTATGATTCCGAGGCCAATGCGACTGATGGTTTCATCTGGCACAATCAAGACCGTAAGTTTATTCTGCTCACCAAACATCTACAATGGGAAATGACTAATTGTTCATCCAGACGTCATCGTGTTTGCTGCCGGAAATGATGGTGAGGAGGTCTCTCCAAATGGCGCTCACATTGGAAGCACCAGCTCTGCTAAGAACATCATCTGCGTTGGCGCAACTCAATCGAGCCGCCCCAACGGAAACTACAAGTACGACCCCAAGAAGCCTGCCGGAGACCCAAACAAAGTCGCAGGCTTCAGCTCCCGCGGCCCAACCCTCGAGGGACGTGTCAAGCCTGACGTTGTGGCCCCGGGCATTGCCATCCTCAGTGCTTGTTCCAGAGACCCCAAAATCACGGACCGTGAGCGCAACGCGTACGGTCCAACCCAGGATAAGCTCTGGTCGTTTGGCTCGGGCACTAGCATGGCCACGCCTCTTGTCTCTGGATGCTGTGCTACTATTCGTGGCGCCGTCAGGGCCAAAGGGGTTGATAAGCCGAGCGCAGCGCTTATTAAAGCGTTGGTGATTAACGGCGCCGTGGATCTCGGCCTCCCACAGTCTGCTCAGGGATTTGGTCGCATTGATATCGAGAGATCGCTCGCAATTGTCGACAAGCGGGACACGGCAGGTTTTGGTTTTGTCGACGAGGGATTCGTTTCTGGAAAATCCCTCGCCGAGGATGAGACCTGGACAAAGAGTATCCCCTTGAACGTCGATGTGCCTGCCACCTCGGGACGTGGTAAGCAGCTGAAAGTCACGCTGGTATTCTCGGATCGGAAGGGGCTAGAGTTGCAGAACAAGCTCTCCCTTACCGTCGCAGTCAAGGACGCTTCGGGATCTACTGTGGCTGAGAAGCGCGGCGACGACGGTGTCGCGGAAGAGAACAATGTTGAACAAGTCGTTCTCAAGCTCCCTGAAGGATCTGAGTCTGTGGATGTGAGCGTTGTTTGTGATCGGATTGCACGTCTCAACGACAAGCAGGCCTTTGCTGTAACCTGGGGACTTTATGAGTGAAGGACGTATGACTCGATGAAACCTTGAGGAAGATAGGATTGCGACTGAAGTTTATGTCATTTATTGAGCAGTAATAAACAGTTTGCCTCCCTCATATTGTGGGCATGTACGTGCAGAGTTGATTGTAGATTGCCTTTCATGGGCAGTGCGTCTATTTACATAAATCATTGTGATATCATTCGCTAAGGCAGCTAAAATAATGCCTTTTCACAATTCTCGGGAATTCCAAACTCTGTGGATAATCCTGACAATACACCGTCAATTATAGCCAGTCCCTTCATGGCCATAACTTGGGTGCCCTCTCCCCTTTCTTTCTAGCAGAGCAACGCCTTGGCCTCTTTGAGGCTCGTTCATCACCTTCATATCCATAAGTTTCTCATAGAACGGCACTGACCGTTCCCAGTCGCCCGTAAATAACATGCTCCGTCTCAGATATGGCATCGGCTCTATCGTTTCCTGGATACACTTAATCAACCAAGACCCTAACCCTTGGCCTTGGTAGCCGCTATCCACCCAAACATCAGTCACGTAGACAAATGTCACGAAATCCGTCACACAGCGGGCGATACCGATGAACTTGGAGGCGGGTGTTGAAGACGCTGTCGGGGTGGATACGGCAGTGTCGTAAAGCCCAAAGCAAAGTGAGTTTTCTAGGGTTTCTTTCATCGCGTCCGTTGATATCTCTTTGGCCCAATAAAATTCATCTGACGCGAATGCGTTTATGAGATCTGCGACCGGAATAGCGGTATGGTCGGTTGAGATGAGATAGTTGTCATTTCGCCAGGTCTTGCCTTGGACACTTGATCTGAAGCTTTTCATGATTGACGACAGAGGCCCTTCTGGTGCTATTGTGGTATAGATTTTAGGAATTGCAGGACATAAACCGGAGAGAGTTTTCTGCCTTATATCATCGGGTCTGATCCGAAACCGGTAAGCTCTCTCGGGCCGAGTTAGCGATCAGGTCCTAAAGAGTGAGTCATTGCCGCGAACTAGAAACGGACTAGATTAATGTTAGAATGAGTCAAATATCTCAGCACTTCATGAAATGAGTATTCCTTGCCTGTCCTGTCGGTGCCACCTGTCCTATGCTGCATAAGATTGGTGGGCATGGGAAATTGCTCGCTCATATGCCGTATCTTCAGGGACGAAAATCCAAAGTTCCAGTAGATGTATCCCGTTATGAGATTAACGATTGTGGCTCAAGTATCGCGCTCAAAAGCCACTAAAATAGTCTTCATATTGATTACACTTCTTCTAGCGACTTGGTAAACATCATCAAAAGAATATTTATGTTAGCAAGGCGAGCCGAACCACCCAGCTCACCTCAAATAGAGTTACATCTAGTTCGCTCCTATGGTCAACGTCTTTTTCAATGGTTTTATCTATCCGACCTCTGGAGTAAGTTACCATCTGGGGTGTTCTTACCTATTTTCTACGTTATGCGACGCCGATGTAGAGTAGCCAGTACCAACACATTTACATTTGCCTATTTCTCTATATAGTAGCCAATTTATAACAGACACAACTATCTGTTGATTCCTCCTTGCACCTTGATTCGTAAGAATGTCATGGATCCAAAAGGCTATTCTAGGTACCAGTTTTATGAGCCAGTATGTTTTCTCTACCAGAAAGTAAAAACGGCTGAAAACTTGACTCTGAAGTGGGAAAAAGTCTTATTTAGGGTATCGATGGCTTCCATGACATATTCTTAAGATGCGGACACAACTTTTGCTCACCTTCTCTAGATAGATTCGATACTAGCTTCGGTCATCTCGTTACTTCGTCACAACCCCCGGCCTGAATATAGGGGCAAAGTGGTTCAAGTAGCAAGAGCGTTAGTAGTGACTACGTGAGTAGATTTATAAGCACGGGTTTCAGATAGACTTTTGGTGGAATTGTACCAGAAGAATATCTGAATTCCGTAGCGGATCTTATATACTTACAAATTTACTCTCATTGGCACCGCTGGAGATATAATTCACAGAGGTTCTACGGAATTGCTATGATGGGCGGGTGTCTACCCAAGCCATCAACCTGATTATAAATCGCCAACCACAAAAATGCATCTCATCTAATCCCTGTCGACTCAATCTACTTATAATATTTAGGTTTTAGTCTCAAGACCACTTTCGCTGCTACCATGCTATGGAGGAAACTGCAGCGTTGCAGCCAAGCCAATATACGAAAAATCCCGCCTGGATGATGCAACACCAAAACCACCTACCGCTTTGAGTCTTAATGAATGACATTCCAACAAAACCCTGGAACCTCAATGAGCCAAGCCTCTATTTCATATGCTTCTGTGCAGTAGCGGTGGGCAGTGAGCCGTAAAGGTGCCATTACCTTGCTATCACAAAGGTTCCATAAAAGATCTTCACATCAAAATCAACTTCCTATTTTGTATGCCAGAAATCGCCTGTGGGTCGAGATAAGTTTTTCGAATATCTAGCTCGTATTAACCCCAGTCTTCGCGGCGAGAAGGAAGTTCAACTCGAATAATATTTCTGGGGTGATCGATGAGGCGATCGCTGGAATCACAGCATTATGCAAGCAAAACTAAGCTCTTGGCAGCAGGATTACAGGGTTCCCCTCTTTGCTCGACACAGCTGCCTTTTTCTTTCTAGCATAAGCATCTAAGACCTTTCGTATGATACTAAAAATCGGGCATGTTGTGAAACCAAGCTACATGGAGAGTATTCGTACAAAACTATGAACCCCGCCGCAAATCCCGATGCAAAAAGCAACAACCTCACTCCTCACTTTCCAGAGCTTGACCATACCAATCATTCGAAGTTTCAGAAATGAAGCTTTTGGCTAGCGCTATTGGGCTCGCAAGTGTAGTTTCAACATCGCTTGCGAGTCCCACCGAGTCTATTTCGTCTCGAGATACCCGCATAAGCTACGATGGTCACCACGTCTATCGTATCGATACCAATACACAGAAAGACATAGAGGACGCCAAGGCCAAGTTCGCTCATCTCCCAACTCTTCAATCCCACGATAGCTTTGAGGTCGTTGTTCCGCCCAATGAGGTCCAAGCGGTAGAAGATCTTGGTTTGAATATCCGCCTTCTCAGTAACGATCTAGGGGCTCAAATACGCGCCGAAGCCGTTCAGGCGACCTACAAAAGGGAATTGAGCAAGAAAGGAGAACTACCTGATCTAAGCTGGTTCGAAAGCTACCATGCCTACGAAGATCATCTCACTTACTGGGATGATCTCCAAGCTTCATTCCCCAATAACTCAGAGAAGATTAATCTCGGACAATCATATGAGGGAAGAGACCTCTATGCCTTTCACCTCTGGGGAGACGAGGGAAATTCTGAAGAAAAGCCTATCATCTACTGGCACGGCACTGTCCATGCGAGGGAATGGATCACCACAATGGTAGTCGAATATCTGACCTACCAGCTCATTGACGGATATACCTCTGGTGATGCGAATGTCACATCATTTTTAAACTATTACGACTTCTGGATCGTTCCGTTCCACAACCCTGACGGTAAAAGAACATATCGACTTCACTTGCCTGATATCCGTGACTGACGAGAGCTTTAGGATTTAAGTACACACAGACCACCAACAGACTGTGGCGTAAGAGCAGGCAGCCTCGTAGCAATACAACTTGTATCGGTACTGATCTGAACCGCAACTGGGTACTTATTCTCACCACATCAAACCAATCCTGAAATTATGCTAACGAGTGCAAGGACTATACGTGGTACCTTGATCCAGAGGGTGGTGGCTCTGTTTCGACAAACCCTTGCTCCGAGACCTTCAAGGGCCGTGGACCTGGCGATACCCCCGAGAACATTGTTCTCTCAGCCTTATCTAAAAAGCTCGCAACCACGGGTCAAGGAATCAGGTCCTATATTGATTGGCACTCCTATTCCCAGCTGATTCTCACCCCTTGGGGATGGAGCTGTGCACCTGAAGACCTTCCTGCCACTCTCCCTCGCATGAGAGAAGTCGGTGAAGGTGTTGCAAGGGCCATACGTGCAGTCGACGGTAAAGAGTTCATAGTTGGCCCTGCCTGTGAGGTACTCTACTCCTCTACAGGGACTGGGCGTGATTACCACCACGGAGTGCTTGCAGCCAACCATTCCTGGAGTCTTGAGTTGAGGCCTACCAGTTCCGGGGAAGGTGGATTTATCTTGCCTCCGGAGCAAATCTGGCCTTCTGTAAGGGAACAATGGGCTGGCCAGCTCTGGATGCTTGATGAGATCAAGAATGACTAGTTGGACAGGGAAGGCTGATACCATAGGTCTCCGTCAGGACTGGAAGACGAGGAACAATCAAGTAGTTTTCAACAATTCCCGTCTTAGTCTAGACTCCTAGCTGGCTTACTTAATAATGGTAAACATAAGTTCAGCATGGACGAAACTAGTTCTATTATGGCTATTCTAAGGCTATATAGTTGTGGTTGTTTATACCGGCATGATCTTTTGGCTTAATGTTGAGCTGACACTAACAGTAAAGCCTAGCCTTACTTCTAATTCTTGGCAATAATTTGTAACGGGTTTTCGACTCTGGAATTACTGTCTCTTCCCATAGCGAGCTCGATTTCCTTCAGCGCGGCAAGTACCTTCTCATCATGACTCCGTCGACCAATGATCTGCAGGGTTACCGGCATATCCTTGTACTTCTCAGGGTCGTACATTTCGTAGACAAAACGATCCTCTTCGTTCTTAGGAACGTAGCCAGCCTCGATGGGGTCTTTCTCCGGGGAGACTGTCGTGACAGGGAATATCGCACCAGGGTAGTCAAGAAGATTCCAGTGTGAAGTGTAGCCCCAGTATCGAGATTGATCATGCGGCGGCGCAGCTCCAAATGAGGGAGGGCAAATAATGACATCAACCTCTCTTCCATCTTCTCCCTTGGAATTGGTCCAAGCCCGGGCGTACTCTGCACGGTATTCATCTCGGCGGCGGCAAACCTAGGATAACGTCAACAATTTGGCATAAATAACATCAAATAGATATTCTCTTACATCCCACAGCTCATGTTGGCTAAGATTTTTGATCTGAGGGTGTTCTTGGAGAATGAATTTGGAGAGGGGCAACACCGACTCTCCCCCCTCTTCCATCAACCCAAGTGCTTCCTCGCCGCCATCTGGCCAATACAGCTGCGTCAGGAGTTCCCAGCTTGTTTCGTGATGGAGAGATTCGGCGTCCCAGTCAACGACCTCCATACCTGCCTTTTTGCATGCTTCAGCGACCTCCTTGAGAGCTCTTGTCATTGGTGGGTGTGGCTTCACAACACCATCCCACCACATGATAGCAACTTTAAGCTGTTGAATAAATCTGAAAGGAGTCCAAGGCTTAAATGTGAGGGACGGGTCAGTCAGCCATGGCTTTGATTCCAACGCAGCTTTCATGAACAACTCAAGAGCATCGCGGTCTACGGTCATAGGTCCAGGCGTAGATGTAATTGCTTCCTTTCCTATCATCAAACCTCTAGCTCCCATGACGGATATACGTTTCAGGGTTGGCCTAGATGGTTTATCAGTGAGAAAATCGCTCAGAGGAACTTGGATACAAATTAGATACTCACTTAAACGCGTAGATGCCAACATGAGCTGCCGGGCAACGAACGCTGCCGCCGATGTCTCCTCCAACTCCCTATTCAACGAGGGTCAGTATATGTCAACCCCGAGCCAACGGCAAACCCAGGAGTTCCATGAAGCATACCAAAAGACTTCCACGCATGCCTATCAGAGCTGATTCTCCTCCACTGCTCCCGCCTGGCGATAAGTCTCGATTATACGGGTTGACGGTACGCCCATACACAACGCTGACGGTTTCAAGATGCATAATTGTTTGAGGCTGCGTGGTTCGGACGTAAAAGACACACCCTTGGTCCCAAAGCGAATCGTACAGCAAGTTTGAGCCGTGCTTTTTGCCTATCCACGCAACCAGAGACGCATTTGTAGTCACATTGTCGCCCCTCATACCATGGTGCTCTTTGGTGGAGATTGGCAGACCGAACAGCATCCCTTTCGGTTCAGGTAAGGAGTCGAGATATTTCGCGCGGGCGATTGCTTCATCCCACAGCAGATGCGTAACGCAATTGGTCTGTTCATTTCCCGACGGTTAGTTCCATTCTCTTCCCAGCGTGAGGGCCTATGGATGCGCTACTTGCCGCTACCTGTGCGAGGGCAGCCCGCCGCAAAAATGCCCTCGTCACCTCCTCAACGGATATCTTTCTCTCCTTGAGAACGTCGAGAAGCTGGGTCACAGAGTAGTTCTCCGTAATCTCAATCTCACGAGCAGTCAGGACGGTCTTTGGCAGGCCCTGCGAACTCTTTGGCAGCTCATCTGGCACGCCCTGAAGCTTCGGCTCGACCTTGTTCAGTCCGGCATCGCGCTGAGCTCTTGCCCAAGCCACCTTCTCCTCGCACGTTTTCAGCTGCGCAACTTCCGGGACGTATTGGTCTTGCATTGTGAGTCAATTCTAGGCGGGCAATACATGCACGGTTGGGTATTGGGAGCTTTTTCGAAATTGTTATAATTAGCTCAGGGACGAGAGCATGCCACGACGCGGGATTGAGGGTGAAGGGTGAGATAAATCGGAGTAATGGCCGGACAAGTCGGACAATGACGGCAACAAACAGCGACGGGGCTCTGGGTCCTCGTGAAGTCTCCCCGCATCGTCTTATCAGCAGCTCTGCCCCTCTCTGTTTCCCTCCGCCAATTGCGGGTTTGTAGATACGGCTTCCCGAGGCTAACCGCCAAAACTCACCACCTGTCCAGCCCTGTTGCTTGGATTACACTCTTTTGCGAAAGACATTGCAAAAGACTAAGCCGCGAATTCGAGATATGGGCAGCATCGGCGTATTCTACTACCCTTCAAGAATGACATAGGGCGAAGTAGCTTTGTCATGATGCCCAGATTTGTTTTCAAAACCTATCCTTTTCGGAATTGGATGTCCGCCGAGTAATTTCGGAGCGGAGTTGGGTCTATTTGATTAGACTGGTCTAGGATAACCTTCTATTACTGACCTCTTTTTTTATCTATTTGGGGATTTTGCTTGTGATGAAATACGCTACAAGCCGACGGGAGTACACTCAGAGAAGATGATCGCAGTGCGGCGATATCTAGCGATGTTTTATTTAGGCATACATCACGACTCACAGGATGTTCAGACTAATTGGAAGATAAATTGGGATGAAACAGTTTTAGTATTTGAGATTTCGTGAAAGAGAATTCTTCAAATCACCCCATTGTTTGAAATTGGGACTCAATTACCCTGATAAGATATTTATTTGGGGACGATTTTGGTTTGGAGTAATCGAATGCTAAAACCATTGCGATTACGAGTCGCTCCTCGCCAACTTGGCGCCAAATAGGCGTGTTCCCAGGTCTCTTTAACCAGTGGCAGCAGAAGGAGGAGTACCGTAGGGCACCTTGCCAACAATGTTTCCCGGAGGCGAGTACCGAGCGACTGTATAGTATGAACCATCCGCAGCCTGCGCAGTTGCCACGCCAATCTTGTAGGTAGTGCTCCACATGCATTGGGCTAGGAGTGTCAGTACATAGAATTTGAGATATGGGACCACGGCATGACTACTCACTATAGTGGCCGTATGCTTGAAAGTTTCCTCTTGGAATAGCTTCACCGTTGTAATTCGAGACCTCGTCAAGCCTAGGGTGGGACAAGCGGATTAGTTCTGAGAAGCGAAGACAAGTGAGAAAAGGGGGCAACCTGCCATAGTTTGGTGCCGATACTTGCAGGATTGAGGATAGGGGCCGAAGACCTAAATCACGATGTTAGACTGGTTTTTATCATATAACTCTTCGCTCTATTTCACAGTGAAGGAACACTTACTTAGAGTACGCAAGGTTCTCGCCTTGGTTTGGCCTCTGAGCGGAACTAGAATGTTCCAGGGAGTTGATTGAAGCGATGTAGTTTGCCCAATCCCTCGCGGCACTCTCAAGCGAAGGGTCCCAGACGACTGCCCTCAGCCTTCTCCCTGCACGGGCAGCATTGTGGAGACGCAAGCTCTCGAGCTGGTCTGCTGAGACGCTGGGGGGAGGCATGTTGAGAAGTTCGACATATTCAGCTTCTGATACTATGGATCTGCTCTCTATTCGCCCATCATGGTACTCTGGTTTTCCGGCATAGGAAATAATATTGGGAGAATCTTGAACAGTTTTGGTGATGTTCACTGGTGTGTCATCGTCGATGGTCGCATCAGCGATAACCGAGGTCGCGAAAAGCGCGAGGGCTTGTAGAGAAAGCGTTGAAAACAGCATCTTGTCAGATTTGATTTCAAATCTGATCTTGAAGATGATTCAAGATGAGGAGTATTTCTTTACGGAATAATAGGACATAAGTATTTATACTTAGGAGTTGTTGAGGGGCGATGGCTAGCTAGTTTACATGAAATGACATCTCTGAATCGTCAGCTGGTTACCGTAGAAGCAAAATACCATCAACTTGTGGGCAGGAAAAAATGTCATACGATATCTAAACTATCATGACCTACGATGCTGTATCTAGGACAATACACTCCATGTGTGTCTCATATTCTTCAGCGACTACGGAGCTTGTTTTAAAGTACGTAGGCTATGTTCACCTGGAAACCTTCTCAGGGAAAGCGGAAACCAACGTTCGATGACAGCGTGCATTCCAATGCAGTCTATAGTACCGATGACATTTGGACTCCAGGAGTTTCAACTGCGACATGCTGCTGGAATGCCACCAACACACTCCATGTCTTGGCTCACTAACATGACTTTATCAAACGCCAAATTGCATTCACTCTCTTGGTAAGAGATGCTTCGAAAATGGCGCCTAATTAGGGTGGTCCCAGCACAAATATCAGGACACACTTGCCTACTAAAAATCAAACTGAGGGTTAACCAGAGGTGTCATTGCATAATCAAACAGTGACGACAGTCTGAACCACTCATGCGCCACACCGTCAGCCCGCCCCTTCCTTACTTAATCCAAGACCTTTCATTGAAGCGTTCAACGGCTTTTCTCAACGGTCTCTCTTAAGGCCGATAATACCACGTGTTCTAAAAGTAGGAGAAACACTGCCTCCCTGGAGTTGCAATGAGCAAAGATCGCTGTGAACCTTACGAATCTACATGCCTGAGAGAGGCGCATACCAATTCAGCCCTTTGCAAAAACCCACAGCGATGTTCTCAGGGATATCCGAGAACAAGAAATGTAAAAAGGCAAAAAGCAATGGCAAAACCATACGACAGCTAGTGTTCGCTACTCGTCACAAGCTTTGCTACTCATCGGCACCCATTTTTTAAATAACATAGGGAGGGCGGGTGGGTGCCATGTTCTTATGTCGAACATAATCCCTAGCTTAATCCCACCATTTTATCCATCTAGGTAAATACAAAGCTCGTTCTCCAGGTGGGAGACAAGTGGTGTCAGAGGCTAAGACGCTCCTGTTGATGTATACTTGTATGCACAAATGAACAAGCATTATTATCGCAATAGCGAATAATACTGATGCTGATGGATATGTACCGTAGAGCTCTTAGCGATGGCTTACGTCCTATAGGGGTCGACCCCAATGAAGTCAAGACTACTTAGCTCAAGACTTTCCAGTGAGGGTGCGGTGGCTATTTCAATATAGCTGCATATCACGCGAACAAACCGTGAATTGTCGAGTTGATTATCTCTAAGACGAAGTATTCGTTTAGGTCCTGTATGATTTTTATACACCTTAGCTATGGTAGAGAGGCAACAACCCAGCATGGTCTAGCTAAGTGCAATGATACCGGTAGATTCGGATCATGACTGTAGCTCCACAGATAAGTCCTACATACCAAGCTTTTTTGGTGTCACCTTTTCCATTTGAAGAAATTAGAACTTGGAGAAGCTAAGATGTATTTAGGCAACCAGAGTGGGGAAGTAGGCATCTTGGTTAGATCTGCTACCCACAAGGTTGCATGATATACGCGCCAGGATTGAAGGCGGCTATGCAAGGCATTTTGAAACGGTTGCCTTAACGCTACAGCGGCTACTCCATACAGTCATACAGATCAAAACTTCAATATTTGAACTTATGTTCTTCCTTGCGTAGGTAGATCATACATGGTGTTGGATTTCTAGCTCCAATATCAGCTGCCTGATGCGACCAGGCAATATGCTATATAATCTTGGGCGGTTTCGCCTCCATAGTCCCTCTCTCATTAGCCTCCTTCTAAGCCTGTCATTCATGCCCAGTATTGTCTCAATACCTACAGATCACTGTGCCGATTGTGGCAGCCTTTCAATACGAACCGATTTCTTTTGGGTTTCAAGGATATGGAAGTTTGACGACTCACGAAAATACGATAATGGCTCTACTGTTGATCCACTTCCCCCCAAGGTTTGGAAGCTGGCTGCATCTACCGAAGACATTGAAGCTTTCCGCTCGCTGTACAATCTGACTCTCGTCGATGCCACACCCCAAGAGGCCGCCTCAATGCCGTCCTGGCCGCAACCCCTCTTCCAGTTTCTAGTGGTGGCGCCGCCCATAACTGCGTGCGGCTTCGGCTCAGCACAGTACTCGTTCTTCGGCACGACGGTCACGCCAGCACAGTTCCTCCAGGTGGTGCTTTCGCCCTTCATGTTCGTGGCATGGTGTGTCTCATTCGGCCTCACGCAGAGCGACAAACTCACTGGGGGGTGGATGTCGGTACTGGGATGGGCCGCTTGGTACGACCTCGTAGTCCACCCCTTTGGATACTATGCCTTGCCCCCACTGGCCTTCCAGTGAGTAGCATCCTTCGCACTCGTCATTCAGCGATGGGTGGGCGGCTTGGGCACTGTCGCCTACCAGATCGACAGCCTCAATGGGTGTGTCCCTGCCGATGGCATGGCCTATCTCGAGCAGGGAGCGCGCAGCCACAGCTTCTGCATCGTGCAGAGTGCTACGTTTGCTGTGTCTACGCTCTTTATGATGCTAGTAGTTTATGCCAAGGCTCCGGGGGCCTTCAACGGCATGATGGTCATGCCGGCCCTCACGGAGCTTGTCATCGCTATTTTTGTGGCAAGCCAGGGCACGCCCATGGTGGTGTCTGGGAACTGCATGCTTGTGGAATTGAAACCAGATCAAGGCTTCTTGGACTCGGATATCAGTACAAAATGGAAGGTTTTTGCGTCATTCATGGGGTTCTGAGACGTAGGAGGTACAGGCGTAATCTGGCATAGTCGTATGTGGTGGTGATGGTATCACATGCGCACTAGATAGACCTCCAAGCCCGCCAGTTCGTTGACACGCTGAGCTTATACAGATGCGGATGACTACATTCCAGATAGCAGGCTCAGGAATGCTGGACTACGATGGCGTCTGTTATAGTTTCATGCCAAAAAAACAAACAGCTCAAGGATGATATATAAATTTGATGATCATCTCATGCCAGACACGGTGAATAGGTAATGGCACCTATCTAGCAGGCCCAAGACTGCCACTGCGCCAGTGTCATGATCTCATCAGCGCTCTGGACATTTACCACGATCGGCTTCATGCCACATGCGACATTGGAGGCCGTGATGCCCTGGATCGCAACCCCTCAATGGTAGGTACTGTGGAGGCAGGCACAAAGTCAATGTCCACGGCGGGGTGAGATTCAGCCTCTCGTTGCTGCAAGGTTGGCCTCAGCTCACACTACTGATGACATTACGCCGTGACAGCACGTAGCCTGCATGATCTAAGACCGGTGGTCCCGAACTCTCCCAATCGGATACACGGCCGTTGAATATTTTCTTTTCGCACTTTTAATCTCGGCACTGTTCATAAGCTTCAGTCGACTAAAGTCAGACTGTCTCTGCTGGAATGGTTAGTGAACCATATCGGTGAGAGATGAGATGGACGAATCTCGGGCGAATTCTGGGGTGAGACGGTCCAAAACAAAAGGGCTGAGAAAAAGAAACAAAAGGCGGGCTCGGACAAAGGAAAATGCTCCCATCAGCCACTGCCTCGGGCCACCAATCGGTGAGTGGCACGTAGGGCAACCAGCTGCCTGGGATACGATACCCAGGCCTGTGCGTGCATATGGACTCATTCATGTATGAATGGTGTCTTGCGGAGGCCTCAAGTGAGCCCGACCATAGTCAGACTAACCATGAGAATTCCCCAATTGGCTGCTAAGGGCCTTTTAACGTTGTGCTAGCATCAGCGGGTACCTCTTGGCCCTGGCAAAAACCTCCGAGCTCCCTTCTAGACGGGCCCAAAGTGTATTCAGATGGGAGGGGTGGGGGGACCGGCGAAGCCTGGCCTGCGAACGAGTGGACGAACGTGCCGCCAGCGAGGCGGCACGGTGGCTTGCTCAGCTCAGCTCAGCTCGGTCAGCCAAGGGCACAAGCAGCCTCTTTCTTTAGTTATGCATGCGACCTGCAAGATGGTGCAAGCCCCGGGGCCGTGCTCGTTTGGCATTAGGCCCCGACACTATGGGTTCTGCTGGCATGGCCCAGGCCCCCAAGCTGTGGACAAGGGGGTCGGCACAAACCTAACTCCTGCCATGGACGTGCAATCGAGCCTGCTGGACACGCAATCCAGACACGAGGAGGAGCTTATGCTCTCGACGGGAGACACCGGTGCACAGTTGTGCCTCTCGGACCGCCCCCAGTGTGTAACTAGACCCGCCAGGGTCCAGGCCACCAACAAGCTGGCTCCAGTCAGCCATGTTCACTTCCAGCCGGCCGACGTATTGGGAGAGAGATGTGCCGGACCACGAGTTAGTTAGCCAGCTGAGAAAGTTTATTATACCACGAGCCTGCTCCTCTCTCTCTCTTTCCTCTCATGGCTGGCTCATCTCTCCTACGCTACACCAGAGGACTCGGTTCTGGAGCATCACCATATTCTTCTTCATAGCCTACCATCCTCACATACATAATCAACCATCATCATAACGATGGCTGTGGCTCCTCTGGCCCTGGACATGGACCGGTCCGTGGACCAACAGCTCCGTCGGTTCTCTTATACTGACGCTGCCCACGGCAAGGAGCTCTACAGCTTCTACGGCAACCGGGTCATCGAGCACGTCACGGCCTCGGGCACCACAGTGGCCATCAAGGTCAAGACGCCCGACGCCATGGACTCGACCGAGGCCGACATGATGCACCACGCGGCCACCAACAACATCCTGGCCCCCAAGGTGCTCACCTTCTACGACATCGTCGTCAACAAGTCCATCGCCCGCGCCATGGTCAGCGAGCGCGTCCCCGGGGTGCCCCTCTCGGACGTCTGGAACGACTACGACGAGGACCAGCAGGAGCACGTCAAGGACCAGCTCCGCGCCCAGCTCGCCCGCATGCGCCAGGTCACGCAGCCCTACATCGGCCGCGTGGACAGGCAGCCCACGCGCAACATGTTTGACCGCACGCAAAACTCCACCTGCGGCCCTTTTGCCACGGAGAAGGAGTTCGACAGGTGGTGTCTCGGCCACGTCGCCGCGAAGCCCCTGGCGCGGCTGCGGTGGAGGCTCGCCCTCCGGCACATGAGGAAGGATCCCAGCAAGACCAACAAGAATGGACGGAGGGACTCCAAGGCGTCTGCCAACGACTTTGACAGGCGCCAGCGGTTTGTCCTGACGCACGGGGACCTCACACCCCGCAACATCATGGTAGACGGCACCACGCTGACGGGGATCGTGGACTGGGAGAGGAGCGGCTTCTATCCCGAGTATGCCGAGTATGCTTTCGCCATGGTTCTCTGCCATGAGCATGAGAAGTGGTGGATCCCGGTCTTGAAGGACATCCTTGACCCGTGCCCAGAGCAGCGGCTCACATTCACTCGCCTGGTGGAGGACAACTACCCCTACTGATTGGCCACCGGTGGACGAAAATTGGTTGTTTTGGCTTTCCTTTCTTTTCCTTTTGTCACGCCTTACGCACATCAAGGTTTATGGTCTCTTTTGGTTAATCGGGCAAGCTAATTATAGCGGGTTTTTAAAAATGGGTTGGGCCGACAGGCATTAGAGCGCGCATTGATTCGGTGTCATATTATTTCTTCTTTAGGTACCCAGAAAACGTCAGCGCAGCGAGCTGCATACATTATTGCAGCTGGGGCGTTCAGCCAATGCAAATATTTCATGATTCAGGCAAAGAGCCCAGACAAGGGTGCATGAGCTGTGCTGTGCTGGTAAGCATAAGAATATGTGCCTAAGCTAGTTTGCCGGGGGTCTGGAGCCGTTTCGACGGTCTGATGGATGGGACGGGCGGGTGGTTTTTTCCCGCCTGGTGAGATGGCTGGACCTGGCTAGAATCTGGTCCAAGGCACTAGCTCCCTTATTCACCGGACGTTAGTGTAGGTCGATGACAATCTGCCGTTCAGCCCTCAGCGAGGCGACGATTCCGGCAGGTCTTTAGCGTGGCACAGTCCTGCAGTTCACAATCTCTGCTCAGCGTGCGCATTATCACGATCGTCGGGAGAGGGCTGGAGTGCTCGTAGATCCCTATTTTCGTTGTGCTCCCGCCATTGTGGAACGCTTGTCCTCGCTTCCCGGGCCCTCCGAGGAGTGAGCAAGCCATCAATGCATAAATGATGTATGTGGACGAGGGCATGCGCAGACCTCCATTTCTGTCCCAATTTGTTCACAACGTGCATGTCATCTAAGCCGGAACAGTCACCCAATCCAATTGTCCCTACACGTGTTGGCTGTCATCGATTACGCCCGAAAATACATGCATATGTAGCTGTCATCATCGCAGCTGTGGCCCCTCAGACTCCAGAACGGACAAGGGGAAAAAGGCAGAAGAGAAATTGTGACTAGGTCACTACCTCTAAATTCCAATAAACCAATAGTCGTGGCAGGCTGCGAAAGAAATAGCTAATATTGCCTCTATACCCCGGATTGTGCATTTGGGCCGTCAATCTATCCAAAAACTCCACGTTCTTTCTCACCACCATCGTAGGCCCAAGGAGTGAGCAGCGGCAAAGCCCGGCGCCACATCACTAGTCTTGGCAGCCGCTCTGCTAGTCACCTACCTCCATTTGTTGTCCCATCCAGCCTGCTCCACCACAAAAGCAATAGCAAGCTCTGAGAAGCGAGCCATGTGCTGCAGGTTGGATTGAGTTAGTATCAAAAGAGTACGGTGTAGACGAGAAGGGGAAGCACGTACGTCGAAGGAGAAAACTCCAGTCTCATCGTCAATGTCAATCACGTCACCCACCCCATGGACGTACGGGTCATACTCGCCGATGCGGCCACCGCCAGCCGAGGGATTGCCTTCAGAGGCGAATCCAGCGGGATAGCCCAGCTGAGTATACGACATGTAGTCGGAGCCAGCACCACTGTGGTCATTCTGATCAGTCGCTGCCATCACCACATCTACACGGTGGCGAGTTGCGGACAGAAACTTACCCGGGAAGTTCAAAAACATCAGCAGGAATCGAGATGTACTCCTTGGCCAAGCCAAGCAGCCACTTTGTGAGTTTCTCGTCGGCAGCCGATCCAATGAAACCAATGGTTTCGGTGGCATTGCGTGCGATAAATGCAGTCATATCCTGGCATGAGTAGTCAGTACTCGCTGAGTCTCCAATTGATGCCAACTTGGCTCCCCATCCACCTAGCTCATCGCAGGCGAGATGGGTGAAGCAAAGCGAGACGAGAAAGGCAAGTGCGAAAATCAAGTACATACGAATTCTAGCATAGCACCGATGCGTGCATTTGATTCCTTCTTGTATCTGGCAATCGCCTGGCTGCCCAGCAGGCCGCCCTCCTCTGCTGCGTACCAATGGAACTCAACAGGACCATATTCGGGCACGAATCCGCTCTCAGCGAGAACCCGGAATGCTTCAAGGATACTGACAGTGCCGGAACCGTCATCGTCGGCGCCCGGAGCAGGCAGAAGAGGGAACAGGTAGTTCATGGAATCCTGGTGGGCGCCGATGATGGTCAGTGGAGCGGAAATGTTCTTAACCTTGGGCTCAAAGCGCGCGATCAGCGACGGTTGGGGGAAGGGGTGTGTGAAGAACTCTAGTGAGATGCGCGTGTGGAAAGGCGCCTTCCTAATGATCTAATGAGAAGGCAGTCTTGTCAGTACGAGACTATCTACGAGGGCTTGGGAAGCAAACCTCAGCAAGTTGGCGATGGAGCCATTGAGCGCTTTGCTCTCCGTCCGTGCTCCCAAAGTAACGGGTGTAGAAACTTGACAGGTGCTGAAGAACACCGCGCATTCGCTGCGTTGAAACGCGCGAGAAGAGAGGCTTGACATATCGCTGGTGTGATATTTGGGGAAGATCTACAGAGGCCTCATGCCATAGGATTAGTACCGTGCCATGTAGGGAGCATTGGGTGTTCAGCCTGTCCTGATTGTCACATACGGGCATCTCCAGCAGTTTCGGCGCCCACGTACTGAGCATAAAACTCTTCGTGGTCTGTTATATCAGTGAATTTCTTGCGCTCCCGACGCAAGCGCATCTTATCACCCTCGGTCATCCATCGAGGGGACTCCTCGCCAGCCACGTGCAAGAGACGTGGTGCGGCCAGCTCAGCAGCGGCCTCAGGTTTCAATGAAAGGTAGGCATCCACGGGGTCAGGATAGGCCTCGAGGGCAGCAAGAATAGCAGGATCAACTGCATGAGAATGAGGGCCTTTAGGGTGTGCTGGTCCAAGCGGTTGTTGCGACTCCGGCGATGCGGCGCCGAGAGTGAGCAGTCGCGAGCTCACGAAGAGCAGCAGCAAGTTGGTCTTGGCGGCTCCCAACATCCTTCCTAATGTCGGCTTGCCAAGAGGAAGCGACTTGTAAAACACTTGGGTACTGCGAATGCAGCAAACAAAACGCGCTGTGTGCTACGGTCAGGGTAGGTAGTTGTGAGAAATGAAGGTTGACTCCTTTGCGCGTGGCTGGGCAGATTAGTTAATAAGCAACCAGAAGGATCATGCTTGCAGCCGTTTCTTTGATCGCGTGACCGTATGTAACGGTTCTGTTTAGCACGTCATACAGCGACTGTGCTACACGATTCAGATCCATATCTTATCATATCGGCAATAACAAATTGAATCCTGGTAGCTATGAGCTCTCGTTGTTCATTCCAATCATCTCTCTTTTGCGTCTTAAATATGGCTAGAATTGCGGCTATAGATAGAAACGACTCAAGAGGGGAACATCTGCGACCGTTCACTGACTGGCCAATTTTCGCCCGCCAAGAGCGCGGAAAGAAATAGCTCCTGGTCGGTCATTTCCAGCGGTCCTCCACTTTCCACCGACCTCGCCGTAACCTCGAATTTTCCAGATGTGAAGTCCAGAGCAAGTTAAGGGTATCTAGGGTTGTTTCATCAACCCCCGCGCTAGATAGAACCGACGCATTTCTGAGCATTGATTTGATGGGTCCTATGAACATCGGAGGCAATCGCTTGGGCGCCATCCAAATGGCTTTGCAATCAGCGCTCAACTGTCATCGCTCAGCCCCAGCCCTGTAGCTATTCTGAATCTGCCAAATAACCGTAAAGCGTATTTTCACATGAAGATCAACAGGGATTTATAGCGCCGGCAGCTTCAATGCAAGCCAGGGATGATCTACCTACCTAGTCAGAGTAAACAACTTTCATATTTAATAGACCTCGATGCTTCCTTTTTCCTTAATCCCCGTCCTAGGTTTGTTTGCCTCCCCTTCGTTGCCTCAGAGTCATCATTCCAATTAGCATCCATCTACACTCGCTTTGTCCCGTACCTAATTTCGACCATCAAGATGCTTTTTCCTCGTCTTTTCTGTCTTTCCGTCGCGTCCGTCGCTACCGCAGTCAATTTCCCTGCTCCCACGCAAGCACCCAAGAAGCGTAACATGAAGGACTGTTACAAAGTCCTCGCAGAGGAGAGCGAAGCCTTGAACGCCGTCCCCAGCGTCGGCGCCGACATGATTGAATTCCTTGGCCAACAGACCCAGCTCTTGACAGTCACTGATAACTGCCTGATCCCCTCCGTTACCGGTTCTCTAGCTCCCCAGTACACATCATGGCAAAAGTCCGCCAGCAAGTGGCAACTTGAGCATACCAGCGCGGTCCACGCGATCCAGTCTGCTTGCTCTGACGTGATTGAAGATATGGCATCTGGTCTCGGTCTGCCTGTCAAAGACGGCATGCTTGGTACAGCAACCGCCTGCACCCAGTACTACTTCGAGACTGAGGCAGCCAAGAGCGCCGGTGTTGAGCACCGCACAGGAGGAGCGGCACTCGCCGCTATGATCGCCACAATTTTGTTGGTCGTTCACTTATTTTGATAAGGGGACGAGGAAATAAAAGCGCGTTGGGATGATGAGCTCATTTGAATGCATGGATGGCGTTTTCGATTTTTGAATGGGATTTATAGCGAGATCTAATCATACCAGATTCTATACATGGTAACAGTGGGACAGAGCTGATTTCCAAATTATAGATATAGATTATGTGCCAGATATTTGGATTAGATAGGGGTTGTATCATACATCACAGGCCAGGATTGCCAACAAACCAGCATGTGGTCGGATCAACGATATTAAATTACTAATGTGAGCCCTGAGTAGAAATTTCTGGAGCAGATGTTGAATATTAGAATACTTATGAGCTCAACCGGATAAGGATCAACAACTAGTTAAACCTTGCCGTAGGATTTAAAGTTGTTTCGCCCCATATCTCGATAGCTTCAACATTAATTCTCATACTGCCAGTCCCATATTTGATGACTACAGTTCCGTTGTTAGACATAATCAACGCATCCCCAAAGTAGAGATGGCTACCGATGATGCAAGGATTTCCCTTGAAACGAATTATACGTTGCTCCGGACGAAGCACAAACATAAATGACCTTGCGACAGATGAGCCAGAGACCCAATCGTGAGCACCGTCCATCTCGACCGACGTTGGAACACCTGCCGGCCCAACCGAGTTTCGTTCACGATTTTCATTCCCCGTTTTGGTGTGTGATGCTCCCATAAACATTGGGACAAAGATGCCAAAGATGACCAGTTCACCTTTGGGAGACATTCCGCACATGGCGAGGATACTGACAGAGGGCATTCCCTCAATAGTGGCGAGTAGATCTTTGGCTGTAGCGAGAGGAGGCCCGTTCCATTGATGAACTCTTTCAAAGTTCTCAAAATCCAAATCTTCGTTCACCATGGTCGCCAGTTGGCTTAGGCGTGATAATGTTATAAAGCTATCCGGGGGCAACTTTGGTGCTGCCCACTGCGTTCTCCCGGTGTACTCCACAGTTTCCCGAAACGCCGTAGATAGGAGTCTGTAAAGTGGGTGAAATAGAAAGGGCATGTTCTTGAGCGCATCATCAAATTCCGGCCATCTGATTATATCCGTCTCCCGGCCTTTGCAGAACGAGTAGACTATGCTCTCTGCTGCTTCTTCGTACTGCGATAACATATGCCCTTCCCGGCTATCCCTGAACTGGAGAGCCAGCAAGAGAATAATAAACTTGGTGAAATAGTCTACGGGAATAGCCAGCGTGCAAAGCCTGGGTAGTCCTCTCGTCAGTGCCTGGGCTTCTTCACGAAAGCTATCTCGCGGCCTTCCTAGATCTGCCTGCCCCCGCAGAGGCTGAGCCGCATGCAGAGCATCCAATACATCATGGTAGATCTCATCGCCGTCCTCATCATAATTAACGGAAAGTCGGTCTGCCGACACATCTGCTGGGAGTATTCCGGAATACGAGTTACGAGCAGCTCGCTTTTGTGCCTCGGCTGAGTCGTCCTGTTCTGGCATATACGCCATCCTCGCCAAGCTCTGGAACAGGAGTCTCCTGTGATCCGCCGCAGTACGTCGACGGGAACCGGGGCTGCCTCCAAATAAATCACACTGGGCGTCTGGGAGGATCCAGAATATCCCACGGTAGAGTTGAGGAAGGCTAAGGCGCGGAGGCGCCTGATCGCCCGGCCGGCGGTAGAAGGGTGCAGTACTTAGATATGCAAGCATATCGTAAACGAAATAAGCGAAATTTGCCAAGGGTCGGGGGAGGTCCCCTCTTGCATGCAATTGCGAGACGAGGCCAACTGCGTCGAGGACATTGATGCCCGAGGGTAGCTTCTCTGGCGCGGGGCCGACAGATCTTTCCGTTGCGAGGCTGTCTAGGATGTCAGAGGGCAACGGCAAACCCTCTGTCTGCATCCTATCCATGGGATAGAATTGATTTTCTTCCTCTAGCAGCGGGGCTTTTTCTGCCAAAAGCTTAGGATGTGTCGAGGCGCTTTATGGAAATCAGAATGTTGGACAAGGACAAATCCCGTAGTGGCAGCTTGAGGTTGTGGTACGAACGTCGTACGAAATGGCCGCTCGGGCAGCACTGCGAGGTGTCAATGATAACGGAACGGGGCATCGGGGTGAATTAATCGCTGACAGATTTTCGGGTATCTAAATTTAGCGGGTCACGCACGGGTGGCCATCGTCAATATTATATTAATTGACGGAGCGTGCATTGCACTGCCACTCTTTTAGCTGCGCACTTGTTGCAATCTTACACGATACATTCCGAGTTTAAACATGGGGGAGAACCTTGCAATTTTTTACTGAGTGCTTTAGAAATGGATTAGGTACCCTAATTAAAGTCTCAATGCCCGTTCTGCTGGTGGAAACCTCCAGTAGCCGATAGTAGGTCTCACTCCAATCCAATGGCAGGCCAATCCAGAATGGCAGCGTTCAAGGGAAACTCGCCATAGAGCTATAAGAGCCAAGTCAGCAACTTCCACTATTTCAGGAAGTCTCACTGAGCGAAAATATCAACCAAAGGGAATTTTCCACATACGTCAGAACAGTTATAAATTCATCTTAGAAGGATGCCAGTTTGTTAAAGTGAGGTTGTTGCAGCAGGGCTGCTGCTTATCCCGCTTGTTATCCCAGATGTCCACACACTATGCCCATAGCAGAATAAGCTTCCAGAATCTGAGAGCGAACGTCCACAAGAGCTCCTTAGAAGTAGATGGCGATAACAGATTGCGGAACAAGAACCCAGTGGGTCTCAAGGAGCCGATTCACATCGGACCATGGCCCTGTGCATCGCAGTTAGCTCATAAAACGAACAGTAAGATCTATTAGTCGAAGGTTCTTTGCCATCAGAACAGCAGAAAGCGCTGGCCGCCTCAGGCCCATAGACATTAATAAATGGCCTTGCTTACACAGAGGCTAAGAACTAAATATTCAATACCTTCCGAATACATGATTTGTCGTTGGCGTTTGCATTTTACAAAACTAGCCTCCATACATCTTTCACCGAGCATTGATCGCCGTGTAATTGTGAGCGTCATCGCCACCTATCAATATTATGTTCGAATCGTTTCCACCTGATCTTGGTAACAAAATAAGAAATAGAACTTATTACTATCTAACTTGATAACAGTGTCGTTTCAGGTCCATATGGTACTGTTTGCTATACAATAGGCTTGACTACCGACAAAAATTCATTCAATGTTCGCTGTGACCAGACAACTCACATACGACATGAAAGATGAAAAGTCGGAGATTCAAACACTTACCCTAGCCAAAGCCAAGGCCCCTTTCATATCTTGCGGTGAATATTAACACCTTCAGTGCATTCGAGCCCTGGAAAGAATCCCAATAATGTAACTTGGGGGCGAAAAAAAGAAGCATTATCCGGTCAACAGAGTGTAGGGTACGGTTGCTTGGCAAGCTGATGACACGATTCTGGGGCAGTACAATTGCTGGAGCCTTGCACTGCCACTCTACAGCGCTACTCAGCGCTACAGCTCGCTACAGCTCCACCAACCTCAGTTAGCGATTACGCTTTTGTCATTTTGACACGGAGTGACTCATAGCAACAAACTGCAATATATACATCTTATGATGATTGAGCTTTCCTGGTTCTCATCTTTCGTCAAGAACGCATACGCTCTGTGCCTGTGAAGTAATCTGACCTCCCCGCAGAGCCCCCCCCGTTTTCCAAACTCCATCACATACCTAATTTACGCCAGCATCAACCAACGGATGAAGGGCCTAATTGAGATTGACGGCCGCACTGGCGAGGGCGGCGGTCAAGTTGTTCGGGTAGCTGTAGCACTTGCAGCTTTGACGGGCCAACCTTTGAAAATAACCAATGTCAGAGGAAACCGTAAAGGAGGAGGTGCGTCAAGCCGTTTCCTGTTCTTCAGGGCTGGCGCTTCGATTCGTAGCTTATCATGCTGACTTCGATTTCAAGGATTAAAATTCCAGCACGTCACAGCTATCCAATTTCTGGCGGATGTCACTGAAGCTGAAGTGGAAGGCCTCCGAGTGGGCTCCTCGACTCTAACATTCATCCCCAAGAGACTACCCACAGCCCTAGTGAGCCGCAACTTCAAAATCACCGCTCCTTCTGGAGCAGCAAGTGCTCTTCTGATCTTGCAAGCCGTGCTCCCATTCCTTGTCTTCGCGGGTAACAGCAGCGACGAGCCCATCTGGTTGGAGATCTCGGGGGGGACGAACGTGTCCTTCTCCTTAAGTTACGAGTACCTAGACCAGGTACTTCTGCCAACGCTAGAGGAGAGATTTGGAATCCGGGTGGACAGAAAATTGGAGATGCGAGCCTGGAGCCTCGGGCCCCAGTCGAGAGGGAAGCTATCACTCAAGATATACCCGCTACCCCTTGGCCAGAAGTTACGGTTTCTTCAGCCTGAGAATACCGCTGACCCGGGCCCAGATGCTGTCAAATCTGTGGATATCAGCATCGTCGTGCCAGAGAAGTTCCATAGCACCCTCCAGAACGAGGTCGTCAGGGGTATTGGTGAGCTCTACCCCGACGCGGAATGCAAATTCAAGGTGGTGGAGGAATCAGGAAGCGACAAGCGATGGTATATCTTGCTAGTGGCAAAGAGCGCTTCGGGAGTTAGATGGGGAAAGGACTCGCTCTGCTCGATGCCCAACAAGACCAAGTCACCCGAGCTCTTTATCAGAAAACTCGCCAACAGCGTTTGCAAGGAGCTATACAAAGAAGTGTCTGTAGGTGGCCAGGTGGATGAGCATCTCCAAGATCAGCTCATCTGCTTCCAAGCTCTTGCGGATGGATATTCGAGCTTTAGCAGGGATGAAGGAGCGGCAAACGAAGGCAGGGAGGGGACCGGGGAAGTGAGACAGGCGGAGGTGCTTGCGGACGCAATGGGCAATCTGACGCTCAGCGACGGACGACTGAGAAGGGAGCGAACGCATGAACCTTTCGGACACGGATCTTTGCACACGAAGACTGCTCGGTTTGTGGTATGTGAGCTCCTGCCTACCGTGGAGTTCTACAACAAGGGAGATATTGCAAAGGGTGTTGGATTATCATTCACATAAATGTTTCACCAAGGAGTATAAAAAAGTCTAAGGAGACCGTATTCCGATCGAAGGTTGTGTATAATTCCAGTTTGGCCGTCTTGCCAAAAACACAAATATCACCAACCCTCATATTATTGTCTATGCGAGCCTTCTTGTTGCACAGGCTCATTCTCTCGCATGCGTAACTCGCTCGGGGTGGAAAGGTACGGAGAGGCAGGCCTGTGCTAAACTTCTCACACCTGCAACTCACCTTCAACTCACAACGTTACCCAGCACACAAACACCAAGAAAACCCATGCACGCATGCAATCAGGTTTTAATACGGCACAAATAAATATTGTTACTTGCTCATCTCTTTTCAACTTGTATCCGCGCTCTCAGCCTCGTCGCAAGACCAGGCACACCGACACTGCACACACATCGGGCTCATCATGGACTCTAACTCTGACCATTTCCCCGATTCTGTCGAATCCAAAAGCAAGTTCCAGCTAGGATACGAGGCCTTCCGCCTCAGCGAGGGAATCAAGCAGCGTATCAAGGAGCATGGGGACGAGATGCGGCGTATCGCTGCTGCCGAAGACAACAGGAAGAGGGAGGTTGAACTCATCCGGGAGGAAATCTTCCGGAACGAGAACGGCATCACAGACTCCTCCAACAGCCCAGACCAGTACAAGGAGAGAATCCGAAAGTCTTTCAAGTCCGGCCGCAAGTTCGAGAGGCTCCTACGAGAGAAGAAATCGGCGAAGGCAGAGGAGGCGGTCGCAAACAACGAACTCATCGATGGGATCATCGGGGTTCTAGGGCCACACCTGGTGCGTGAGAGGCTTGAGGCCTTTGCGGCCCGCCAGCGGGAGGCATCAAAGTCAACTGTGGAAATCAATGTGAGAACGGATCAAGCTGGTTACTTGCACGGTGAAATCTAACATCTCGAATTTCCAGAGAGGCATCAAACGCTCAATCGAGGATTCTGTGAACATGGCTAGCCACAAGAGCCCCAGATTCGAGGAGGAAACACCGTCCAAGCCAACTCAAGAAAGCACATTGATTGTGGTGCCAGAATGAGTGGACCCGTGATCTCAACTCCTGGGTCAACTCTACGCGCGGCGGATGCAATATTTGCGACACGTTTACCTATTGCGCTATCTGTTACCAACGGGAATCTTGATTTGAGTCGGCGAGATGGGAAAGGGAGGGACGAAAAACTTCGTGCGTGATCATGTTTCGCTCAAAGTCGAGGCTAAGTCAGAGTGATCGCTCTCGAGAGCGCTCGTGATGGATAGACAGACATCTAGATACTACCTCATCTACCTTGAAGCAGTTAGGAATATCCTGCTAACATTATCAGCCTTGCTCACATCATGACGTGCGTGACCAATGCAGCAAGTTTCCAGAGCTCTCAAAGGGCCGATCTTGTTCCATTACCCCATATTCCCCGCAACCCTCATCTGGGGCAGTTGGGGAGAATGCATGCAGTATATTGGACAGAAACCCGTCGGATGACCGCTCAACCCCATGATATCCAGCGCAGAGATCATTTACCGATCGTCAGGTGGCGTTTTAAAGACGTCAACTCCCGTTGGAGGAGGCAGTTGGAGGGTTACATTGATTGCGGTCGCCGGCATAATGGAACCAGCCTGTGACCTGACGTAGCGCTGCTCTTCCTTGCCCGTAGAGGAAATTTCTGGGTTTTGCACCTCCACAGCCCATGATCAACAACCGTTTCATCACATGCGCATTGTTGTCTCAACTCTCCATCGGCCCTTTAACACGCAGGACTCAATTGTCTTTTGTCTTATATTGCGGCGATGGAGTCCGTACCTCCTTCCAAGGCGGATCACAATGACCGCCCCAATTACCGTCTCAGTTTCCTGACAATCATGACTTCTTTCGTGGCATTGTTCCTGGCTACGACTCTGTCGCTATGGCTCTGGCCGTGGACAACTTCTGCCGCCGGGTGCTCGAGCGATCCTACACGGTTCACCTTGAGTGATCTACCATACATTAACTACTTTTATTCGGACTGTCATAGCGCCGCGCAAGTCATTGTGAGGAGCCCGTTGCCGGGCAGTCTGCTGGACATTGTTACCCCGCGCCTGCTTGTACGCTCCCGATATGTGCTCCCACTACGCCTTCACTGCAAGCTGACAGAATATCTTCACAGATCGCGTGGCCTGCTGGAAACAGCGGTCTTGCTGCTTTCTTTGAGCCTCAGAATGGTGTCAAGGGTTCGCTGGCGGTGTCTCTCGTCAATTCGTCAACCACGGGAAACGCGCTGGAGCCCATCTACGAACCCACCGATGATGACCCAATCGTGGGCGTCTCGGGGCAAATATCATTCAACACCTCGGCAAAACTGACCGTCCCTATTCTGGGCAGTGTCCGCACCCTGCGCGGGTACACCGAGGGCGGATGGCTTGATTCCAACATCCAAAACACCCTCCGCTTCTCTGATTACGGCGACGGGAGCGTCACGGTGGATCGTCCCTGGTTCGATAATGTGACGACCATGACGCTGTCCTTCTCCCCAAGCAGCAAGGGAAGCTCGGCCAGCCTGAGCGACCGCATCGTCGAATTCACCGCAGGGACCTACGTCTTCAATGCCTCGTTCAACTATCCGCAGCTGACGCAGCTGCAGCCGTCTCAGGTGCTCACGGAGTCTGCTCATGACCTCATCGCAGACTCTCCAGACCAGACCAATTCTCTCTCGTTCCTGTCCTACAGCGACAAGCTCCTAGCGGGCGCGTGGCGCTTCCTCACCTATTTTGGCCGAGACAGTATGATTTCCATGCTTCTTCTCAAAGACATTCTAAGCGCTGGTGAGGGAAGCGCGTTCGAAGCCGGAGTTATCGCACTGCTGGAGCGGATTGACAAGAGTGACGGGAGCGTTGCCCACGAGGAGACCATTGGCGACTATGCTACTTACCTGAACAAGCAAGCCGGACTGATCTCCACGGCACCACTCTACGACTACAAGATGGTTGATACGGACTTCTTCCTCCCCATCCTTTTGGCAGAATACTTCATCAATAACCCCGTTGGAAAGAACAGAGTCAAGGCGGTGCTCGACCAAGTCACGGCGCACGCTGAGGGAGAGAGCGGTACAAGCTACCGGGCGCTTGCGACGCTCAACGCAGACAAGATTCTTCGCACCACGGCGCCCTTTGCGGCAAAGAACGGTCAGGTGAAGGAAAACCTCATCCGTCTCAAGGATGGAGAGTCAGTGGGCGAGTGGCGAGACAGCTCGACCGGCCTCGGTGGCGGTCGGATCCCGTACGATGTCAACACCGCTCTTGCGCCGGCTGGTCTCTATGCCATTGCCACCCTAGCCGATGCAGGCTTCTTCCCAGACCACCCAACGTGGGCGGATGACGCCCGAAAGGCGGCCAAAATCTGGGAGGATGAAACGCTAGAATTCTTCAAGGTGTCCATCCCACGGGATGACGCTCGCTCGCTTGTAGACAGCTACGTCTCGTCGAACAACTTCCCGTTCCCATCAGAGAGTGGCAGCATCACAGGGGATGTTCACTTCTACGGGTTGGCGCTGGATGGCAGCAACAACCAGCCCATAGTCAAGATCATGAATACTGATGATTGCTTCCGTCACTTCCTGTTGAACTCGACTGACGAGGCCCAGCTCACTGCGTTTGTCAGCCAGACAGCGGATAACATTTTGGCACCCTTCCCCGTAGGGCTGACAACGGACGCCGGCCTTTTGGTCTCAAACCCCGCGTACACCATCTCCACGGCAGGGTTCGGCCGAGCCGATTATCATGGGACTGTGGTGTGGGGGTGGCAGCTGTCGATGATGGCCAAAGGTCTCGAGCACCAGCTCGGTCGATGTGACACCAGCTCCCCACCAGAGTTCTGCCAAGACAGCTCCGTGCACATCAAGGTGCTCAATGCATACAACAAGCTGTGGGACGTGATTGAAGAGAACACTGCGGTGCTGAGCAATGAGCTGTGGACGTGGAAGTACGAGGACGGGCGGTTCGACTCGATCCCGCTGGGCGAGCTGAGCTCGACGGAGAGCAACATCAGCCAGCTGTGGAGCTTGACGTTCCTGGCCGTGAGGAGGAACGAGGGATACAGAAATAAAGCGGAGATGTTGAGCGGTCGGAAGGGGTTATATGTTCAGGACTAGCCTGCCTTGAACCTGCCGGGCTGAGGTTGCAAACAAGGACGGGTACCTGATCGCTGCCTTTGCCTCGATTAGACCATGTTTACCGTAATCACGATAAATATTTTGGATTGCCGTTACAAGGAGTAGCTGTACTAGAACCGGAGTTGGAAAGAGTTTCAGGCTGCTGTGTTTATAACATCGAATAGAGCTGTCTATATTCGTGCAGCCCCTGTGACAAGTGAGAGTGCAAGTGAACCTTGATGTCCATCCACAGCGTCAGAAGGGTGCTGCTCTTGCCCGCCTCTAGCGTATCAATAACAGCGGTAGGTAATACAACAACTGGCGTGACGGCGACAACCAAGGCAGTGGCAAGCTGGTGATCACCTGCGCCGGTACCCGTAGTCTGTGTGTGGGGAAGACCAGATGAGTTCCAGATGGCACGAGACACTTGCGATAGATAGGCACAGCTAGGTCGCTTCCCAGGAAACTCTTCTTCTAGCTGGATTCCCCAATCCAGACTTTTATAGTGGCGGGTGGCTTGTCTCGCGCTTCAGAATGGCGTGCTCGTGACAAAACTTCTAGAACAAGAGAAGAATCTGGCCCATCCGGGGTAAAACAGTCCGGGGATGTCGTCAGCCAGCTTGCGTGCTCCATCACTCGCATCGATAACTAGGGCTGTTATATATTTAGGTCTGACCCCATCACGCAGCCTGCTGTGCCGCCTGCTAAGAAGCCTTCCCTCCACTCTTATCAACGTCGAGGTTCCTGTGCTTTGTCTGGTTGGCCAGAAAGTAAATGCATATCCCTCATGGTCTCAGAATAGCAGCCTGCCATGCTTCGGTCATCCTTGGTTCTTTGAGCGTGGCAGATGGGCAGCGTCTGGCCTCCAAAGACGGAAATCAAGCTCAAAGTCACGCGTGATGACAACCGCCGCCATTGAGTTTAGGTCGTCTACGTGGACAAAGATAGTCGTAAAACTAATGCCGCAAAGCCGCTGAACTCAATGGCACGAAGCGAGCATGAGGCTGCGCTAAGAAATTGAATAAATGCAGGCACCAGACGTACGTTTTAATTTCCAATGCCAATTGCCAGTCAACCACTACATTGCAATGCAAATCAATGCAGAATGAATTGTCATTCTTTAATACGGGTCCGAGAGCAACGGCATATTGCACCCCTTTTATATTACGGCAAGGCTACCCCGAACGAACATCGGAAAATATCAGAAACATCCCACCTCGTGTGCTCGAGCGTTGGGAGGATCTGTGCTTGAGTAGGGAGGTGGTTTTGTATCCACTCCTCCTTTGGCCCTGGCGTCCATCCTGCCCTTCGGCCTTCGGAAAGGTGGACGGCGCAAGGCAGTTGGATATTAACTAGACCAAATTAACTGCTCCGCTCGACAAAATAGCTGCGATTCGTCAATTACGTCGCTGCGGTTGACCGGTGAGACGGAAGCGCTGGATGGGTAGGGAATCCGCATATAGTACTGTGTGCGTCGCGTTGCATCGCGTTGATACGCCCGGGAAAGGTTCTGCGTATTCACCAGAGCGCCGAAATGACGTGCGGAGATGCACCGTTCCGGGGATCCAAAAACAAAAAAGCGGAATGTAAGTTGCGACGGAATCCATGCTGTCCATGCCTAGCTCTCGGGACAACATGATTGGTATCTTGGCAGCCGGCTCTATCAATCAATTGAGTAATTGAATAGCTGATCTTGCTTCTGGGGCTGTATTTGGTGACCTCGCTTCGGCCAAATTGAACGTTTTGGGCCATTGCTATTGTTCTCAAAGCTTGCTCACGGGTCTTGAAGTCTCAGACAAAGACCAAATACACATCATAGTGGTAAGAAGACAGCAAGACGCTGGTGGTCCAGTGAGTTTAGAGCACCCTGATGGTTGATGGCTCCTCTCCTAACAAGGTCAACCCCCAAAGAGCTGTAGGTCACAGGAAATGATGGGCATGGGGCAATTAGCGGGAGGTGTTGTGCGTCTTTCGCAAATTACTTCACGGGGCTGGAAACACGGGAGAAATTGCGGCTCGAGGCATTAATACCGGCTGCCGGTCCATCACTATTGATTGATGGGTGCGCCGTTGACAGATCAACGTGCATTTGCAACTGTCGTATAATTCATGGATTATATTCTATTCCATGGCAAGTTAGTTCTCTTGTCGGCAAGCTGCTAGATGGCTAGACCCTACGAGCTAAGGTTAGTAGTGGCATCCATGTATGTAGTCATAATGAGCCAGCCCCTGGGAAGCCGTGCCAAATTTATGGTTCACCAACTTCTCCATGCCCCAGTCAGCCGCAAGCCCGAACCGTGTTGTGATCTGAACACACTTGCCTCCCCCCTCAAGAAGCCAAGTGGTGGTAAGCCGCAGCCATTGGTGGGCATCCTCCACACTGCTGTGCCAAATACTTACCTCTTCTCTCGCATCAGTCCGGCTCTGGACACCTGACCTGTCTTGTCGTGCCCGAGCCAAGCCCTGTATCGCTGACCAACATTTGTTAGCATCCTGATGGGCTTCCAGATTGATTAGCGATCATGAATAGCCTTGGCAATTCCAGTTTAGTTAGGTTCCATTGGAGTTGATCAGCTATCAAGCAAAGACGCCATTAGGCGTTTAGTCGTCGTACTATTGAGCAGGATTGATAGACTGAGTCCACATTTGGTAGGTAGGCCAGGCTTTTGCGGTCCTGCCCCTCATGTTTGATGATAGAGCCAGCTGACGCTTTAGTCAGGTGCGTAACGCAGGCCGATCTGAGGGGGAAGGCAAGAGCTGTAAGTATGCAGCAAATATCAGTCGTCCAAGGCCCAAGGCTCCAAAGGCAGCGGGTGCCAATTGGGCGCTGTCCGCCGATGGGTAGGTGCGCTCGGGCTGACGGTGAGTGAGTAATATCTGGAGGGCGACGTCGTATTCTATTTGCGTGTATGGTGACCTCGTGGCTCCGTACCAGAAAGGAGTGAGGAATCATGAACAGCCCTGTCGCGGCCAGCCGTGGCGATGTGCGACAGCCGCAGACTCCTGCCAGTGTGATGAAGGTGGAAACCGGCCACGGCGTGCCAGGAGTGATTGATTCTTCAACGCAAGGCACAAGGGTAGCTAATTTATCAATGCCACTAAAAGCGCGGTCTTGTTGATGCCATGAACGGGGGCCCGCCTGGTAAAGTCCCCTATCCAGTCATTCATCCAGCGGGAGGAAGGTACCTGCTTAGTACCCACCACCCAGAGGTGGGCTGGCCAGGTACACGTGTTACAGAGTACCTACCTCGCTACAGAGCACTCGCGCTTCTGAGCATCCGGGTCCAGGTCAGAGTTGAGGCATCGGATGGAAGCCGCACTCGCTGTACTTGCAAGGGAGCCAGCTAGAGGCAGATTCTGGAGGTACTGCCTAATCAAAATAATCTTGATTCCCGCTTCGCCCACTTACAAGCAATCTAATCTGACTGCCTGTGAAACCCCTACCAAGGCGCAATTCCTCTCACTCAATTTCAGAGGGAGGCGAGCACCGCCAGCGCTCATCAACGGCTGTGGCTGATTGGGAGATCCTCCAAAATCCCTTTGTCTTCTACTCAGAGCGAGCGAGACTCCACCGGCGTAAGTGGACGACTGCTCCTCTTCTTGGATTGTCAGTAGATGGGCAGGTACCTGCAAATCGCTCCGTTGCTGTTGTCAGGGTAGAGCGGTACTTCCCTGTCACTGCCCCACGCGTCGAACTCAAGGCGAAACCCCCTTTAACCTCCTCTCCACCGCAACCACCAGCGCCATCGCTCACGCACAAGACCTGCTACGAGCAGGGTGCCGATACATCCCGTCCATCCTCATCACCCTAATTCGAAGTCGCTGCGCGCTGCTAAATGCCAGACGGGAACATACACACATCTTCTCTCAGCTGCGACCACCCTCGACGAGCCTGCCGCCTCCCCGTCCTTCAATCATTGCACCTCTCGCACATTGCATTCGCCAGCGTTCGTCCGTTCCCCTCCGGCCAGTCAGCTTGAAGCATTGTGCTCTCTTCTCCACTTCACGTTGATTTAACTCCGCTCGCCGATACGGCTTGCTTCACTATTGCGCCCTCTTCACCTTCGGTCCTAGAACTGCAACATCGAGGCTGTCTGATTGCCTCGCCGCAGCACGGGTCTGACCGAGTTCGATCACGTCGTTTCCGCCTGCATCTCCCCCTCCATTGGCTACGACCCGACCGACGCCGCACATAATCCCCGTGCCTCGCTGCTGGCTTATCCTCGAGAGCTGACACAGACGCACAAAGCCTCAGCCAACAACTACCGAACCGAGAGGCAGAAAGAGGGACTGAGAGTTGACTTAGTTGCGAGACCAACTAGGCGCTGAGCCATTGCTCTACTTTCTGACGACGTACTTCCCTACTCATCCACCACAACCCTTCCCGCGTCCCACCAAAACGTCGTACTCTTCGCCACCAGCTCGAACTTCCAGACTGTTCCCCCCTCTGGTCACGCGTGGGCTCCGCGGACTGCTTGCCGGTTCTGCTTTTCTTCACTGCGCTGGTTTTACTGCATTCTGTCTGCTTTTTCCGTGCATTCCATTTCATGGACGCCAGGACGACCACGGCCGAAACCCAGCATTCTTATTATAGCTCGCCGACCTGGACACAATCATCTGCCGCTTCCCCCGACCATCCCTCGATCGATACGGCAACTTCGGCGACGACAGCAGCAGAGAGGACTGCTTCCCCATCTTCCGCCAAGCTCGCCGGATTCTCACAATTTTCCCATCTTGCCATACCGACGACGGTCCAGCAAGCACCATCATACCCCCTTGAAGGCTCGCTGGACGGCGCCTCAAACCATCACACCCTCTCCCACGTACCCGGAGCCGCTGGAGTTACCCAGTTTGCTTGCCCCATCGATTTTCTCCCCCTGTGGTTTCCCCAGCAGTCCAACATCTACTACGCACAGCTCCTTAACTACAACAGACTCGTCTCTCCCAGCCGCGGGGGCGGGCTGCAGACACCACCACTTCCACCCGTCGTGTCTGCCTCTCACGCCCAGGCAGGGACTCGCTCCCGATCATCAAGCAAGGTGTCGGTGAAAGACCACTCGACTGCTAAAAATTCCACCGCAGGAGGCCATGGGAGTCGGTCACATCAGGGTCCGGACAAGAATCGCTCCGTCGTAACCAAAAAGGAGGCTCCGCCATCCAAAATGCCCTCAAAAAACACATCAGCGCAGGCCCAGCCAGTGGAATCGGCCAAGAATCCTTCTGGCAGGCCGAGCAATCTCTCCTCTTCCTCCTCACAGCGTTCACAGGCTCCTTCACATTCGAGTTCAGTGCCCTCGACCCCCCATCAGCGAGCTCGACAATTCTCATTCGAGTCCCGCGAACCGTCGCCGACCGAAAATGTAAACAACCACTCCCCCCGGTCTGCATATTCAGAGACCAATACCACCCTACCTTCCCTGAGGCCGTTGCCGCCTCCTCGGCATGGGGGCTGCAAGTACGAGACTTCGCAGATCAACTCTAGGAGAAGAATACCGTATTCCATCGGCAACGAGAAGTTGGAAAAGATCCCGTTGGGCAAAATCAAGGGAAAATTGACAGAGGAGGAGGAACGCAAGGTAGCCACAGATATGCGCGAAGTATACGATCGATTAATACCAAGCGAGGCTGTCGAGGAGAAGAGAACGAAGCTGGTCGCCAAGCTGGAAAAGATTTTCAACGAGGAATGGCCAGGTCACGATATCCGGGCACATTTGTTCGGCTCATCGGGCAACCTGCTCTGCTCAGATGATTCTGATGGTACTGCTCGCTTTTTTTCGATCTCGGTGTACCCCAACATGCGACAACTTTGCTGACACTCTGCACTACCTAGTCGACATATGTATCACAACGTCATGGCACGAGCTAGAAGGCGTCTGCATGATTGCTGATCTATTAGCTAGACGTATGTGTATTCCATCATCATTCTCAACACTTTGGCATTGGCTAACAACCCTCAGGTGGTATGGAAAAAGTTGTCTGCATCTCCGCAGCCAAGGTTCCCATTGTGAAAATGTGGGATCCGGAGCTAGGTTTGGCATGCGACATGAATGTCAACAATACTCTCGCGCTCGAGAATACACGAATGATTCGAGTTTACGTAGAGACAGATCCCAGGGTGCGGCAGCTTGCCATGATCATAAAGTATTGGACGAGAAGGAGGATAGTAAACGATGCCGGTTAGTATCCCCCTGCGTATGTCGAATCTGTTTCCCGCCTGTTTTCTGACATGTAGAGCCAGCTTTCGGTGGCACTCTGAGCTCCTATACATGGATTTGCTTGATAGTTGCATTCCTCCAACTCCGCACGCCCTCAATTCTTCCGGCCCTACACCAACTTCCTTACAAGATCCAAAAACCAGATGGCGCAAAGAGCGATTTTGCGGACAATTTGAAGAAGTTGAAGGGTTTCGGGAAGGCTAACAAGTCATCCGAGGCTGATCTTCTTTTCCAATTTTTTCGCTTCTATGCCCACGAGTTCGATTACGACAAATATGTCCTCTCGGTTCGTCTCGGTACTCTAGTGACCAAGACCGATAAGAAGTGGCACTACGCGATCAACAATCAGCTATGTGTGGAAGAGCCGTTCAACACCTCTCGTAATCTTGGCAACACGGCGGATGAATACTCTTTCAGAGGGCTTCATCTCGAGTTACGCCGAGCTTTCGACCTGATATCGGCTGCCAAGTTTGAAGAAGCATGCGAGCAATACGTATTTCCAAAAGAGGAGGAAAGAGTTTGGTCAAGGCCACCGCCCCAATCCCGTCCTGTTTTACTTCGCAGCGCATCACAATCTCATTCAGGAGGCGGTAGAGGTGGCCGCGGCGGTCGTGGTGGCAGGCATAACTACAGAGGAGGCGGTGGCAATAATGGGGGTTCAAATCGGCGTGCCTCGTCCAGCGTCCCAACCTACGACCCGAACGTGTTTACGCCAGGCGTAACGATGCAACAAGACTTGGCGTGGTACCAAAACCCTCAATACCAATACCAATATCACGACCTCATGAACCCGCATCTGGTGTATCAACAGGAGGGCATTCGGCAGTTGCAATTGTATAGCGCATCCTTTGGCCAGCACCAAACTATTGGCCAACAACAACCCATGGGAGCAAATACGAATCCGACTCAGAATCAACAGGCAGACCGTTCAAGGACCGATGGAATTGACAATCCGCCGATCAGTGCCCCACTGCGCCCAGATTTATACTCGCTGTACGGGATGACTCTTGGCCCATCCTTCTTCGCTCATGCAGGCGCATCAGGCTACGGGACCTATCCCTCCTCGCCGGCGACGACCAATGGAGTTGGACCTGACTATCGACGGCCCTTGCAACGAGGATCTGTCGCAACTGAGAAAGGTGGACCGGGTCCAAGTAGTTCGCTTAGGTCGCAATCTCAACCAGCGCGGTCACAACCTCCGATGCCACCCAGCGCTACCGGGCAGATACCAATCCCAGCGAGCCAGTCTACAACGAACGTTTCTAACCCAAGTCAGG